GCCCCAGCACAATCGGTTTCATACTGTTCATTTGATGCAGGTGAGATAACATCAAGCAGAAAGCACCTACTGAAGCCCATTTCCTCAAGATGGGGTGGCAATATGGCCGATGCTCTGAGTTTCATTGACTCCTCTCTAGATACTTGGTCTGTTTAAACCCTGATGAGTCATTGGCTAGCTAAAGTTAGAGCACAGAGTATGGAGAGACAACGAGGCCCTTGAAAGCCATGCCGATAAACTTGGACGTGATCTTGTGTATGCAAAAGGGGGACTCCTCCGAGTTTTGAAAGCCTAAGAGAGACGTGCTCAGGTTTCTTGAGGTTAATTTGGAATTCCCCAGGAGGTAGAACCTTCTCTAGAGGCAGGAGAGTGAAGGAAGAAAGAGCTGTAGTGGTTGTAAATTGTTCCCATGGGAACTGGTGGGGATTTGAACAAATGGAATGGAATAGAGAGACCCGAGTGGGTCCTCAGAGAAATGAGAGATGATGAAGGCCCAGGACTAATGAAGTGTGTAAGTGTGTGTGTGTGTGTGTGTGTGTGTGTGTGTGTTTGTGTAAGGAAAACCGTGCCTCAGCACTTCCCCACCTGGTCCCAGCCTGAGATCTCTGCACCCCAGCTCTTCAGGGAAGTCACCTTCTCTCTCCAACATGGAGCCATGACACCCTAGAATCCTTGGGGGCCTCCTTATGCTTTTATAGCTTCCTCAACCTTACAGTCCTTACAGCAGAAGGGGAAAAAAAACCATTCTTCTTTCCTTTTAAACTGAAAACCAGAATCTGATAAATATGTAAATGAGTACGTTTGCCTACTGAAACATAAGCTAAGCTACAACCCAAGCAGTGGTGATCTCGAGATCATTTCCTGAATTCCTTCTGTTTTTAAAATATTTTTTATATTTTTAAAAGATTTCTTTTTATTTATTTGACAGAGATCACAAGTAGGCAGAGAGGCGGGCAGAGAGAGAGAGGGAAGCAGGCTCCCAGAGAGCCTGATGCAGGGCTCGACACCAGGACCCTGAGATCATGACCTGAGCCAAAGGCAGAGGCTTAGCCCACTGAGCCACCCAGGCGCCCCCCCTGAATTCCTTCTATTCCAGGTGTTATGACCGATACATCTGAAGTTTCTATACACTTACACCCTAATTTAAGAATTTAAATTTTGGGACGCCTGGGTGGCTCAGCGGGTTAAGCCTCTGCCTTTAGCTCAGGTCATGATCTCAGGATCCTGGAATCGAGTCCTGCTCCGAGCTCTCTGCTCAGCAGGGAGCCTGCTTCCCCCCCACCCTTCTCTGCCTGCCTCTCTGCCTACTTGTAATCTCTCTCTCTGTCCAATAAATAAATAAAAATCTTTTTTAAAAAAAGAATTTAAATTTTGAAGACAGTCCAAAGGAAAACCTTCACTCTAGAAGGGGACAATTTGACTATTATTAATTCTAGCTAGATGTTCTGTGGCGAGATAATTAACAGTTTTTCCAAACAGGTCCAACCTGTATGGCTGATTACTAGGACTAACAATTTTTTTTCTGTCACGAAGCAGGTACAGCTCCAAATTGTTGCCAATGGTTATTTTTGGGATTCAGGGGTATGTGTGGGGGGGTGGATATTAAAAGAGCGTGTTCATCCTTTTACTTTACACGCTCCTGTGGTGTCTGAATTATTTTTTAAAGATTTTATTTATTTATTTGACAGACAGGGATCACAAATAGGCAGAGAGGCAGGCAGAGAGAGAGAAGCAGGCTCCCCACTGAGCAGAGAGCCTGACATGGGGCTCGATCCCAGGACCCTGGGATCACGACCTGAGCTGAAGGCAGAGGCTTTAACCCACTGAGCCACCCAGGCACCCCTGTGTCTGAATTTTTAAGTGAGTATTCTTTTTTTGTAATTTCAGAAGGACACAAAAGAATTTGATTAGACACAAACGTAACTGTCATACAGAGGATCAAAGGAGCCAGCCTGAATTATCTGATTTTAGCTGAATTTGAAAAAGACTACCTGATATTATCTAAGGATCAGGAGGCAACTTCTCACGTTGCAGCTGCCTACCAGCAGATGAGAGATAATGTGTCTGCAAAAACAGCCCACGGGCCGTGACACTGGAAGGGGCCTTGCAAGCTAAACAGGACTTCCTCACAACACGGGGAGAATCTGAAGGGCCTTCCCACTTTCCCAGAAACAAATACAAGTTCCTCTATTCTGTTGTGTTTTTAATTATTTTTATTTTCTAAAATTACATAAGTTTTACATCCTCATTGTAAAAAAAAAAATTCAGACAATACAGAAACATGAAAACCTTATTCTTTTAGAAGTAACCACTGTTCGGAGTTTGGTTGTGTGTCCTTTCGGACTTTACACACACAAGCACACACACACACACACACACACAATTTCAACTCCTATTTTTCTTTTCTTTTTTTTTCTTTCGTTTTTTTAAGTAGGTTCCACACCCAGTGTGGAGGCCAGTGTGGGGCTTGAACTCACAACCTTGAGATCAAGACCCGAGCCCAGACCAAGCTTCGGATGCCTAAGGGACTGAGCCACTTCCTTTTTGATTTTCTTTTTCTTTTTTTTTTTTTTTAAGATTTTATTTGTTTATTTGACAGACAGAGATCACAAGTAGGCAGAGAAGCAGGCTTCCTGCTGAGCAGAGAGCCTGATGCGGGGCTTGATCCCAGGACCCTGAGATCATGACCTGGGTCGAAGGCAGAGGCTTAACCCACTGAGCCACCCAAGTGCACCTTAAGATAGAATTCACATACCATAAATTTTGCCATTTTAAGGATTTTTAAAATTTATTTATTAGAGAGAGCGAAAGCAAGAGAGATCACAGAGGCAGAGGAAGAAGCGGACTCACCACTGAGTGGAGAGCCCGATGTGGGGCTCAATCCCAGGACCCTGAGATCATGACCTGAGCTGAAGGCAGCCGCTCAACTGACTGAGCCACCCCGGTGCCCCAAACTTTGCCATTTAAAAATAAGTGTACAAGTCAGTGGTTTTTAAAGATTTTTTTAAAAAAATTTTAAGTAATTTCTACCCCCCACATGGAGCTCAAAATCACAACCCCAAGATCAAGAGTCAAATGCTCTTCCGACTGAGCCAGGCAGGTGCCCCATTCAGTGGTTTTTAATATATTCATAAAGTTGCACAATCATCACCACTAATTACAGAACATTTCACCACCCCCAAAAGGAACCTTATACCTATTAGCAGTCACTCCTCATTCCCCACTCCCCCCACCCATCTTGGCAACCATTAATCTATTTTTTTTAAGATTTTATTTATTTATTTGACAGACAGAGATCACAAGTAGGCAGAGAGGCAGGCAGAGAGAGAGGGGGGAGGAGGCTCCTCGCTGAGCAGGGAGCCCGATGCGGGGCTGGATCCCAGGACCCTGGGATCATGACCTGAGCCAAAGGCAGAGGCTTTAACCCATTGAGCCACCCAGTTGCCCCTCCATTAATCTATTTTTTATCTCTGTAGATCTACCTATTCTGGACATTTCACTTAAATGGAATCACACAATATGTGCTTAGTGTAAGGTCTTCAAGGTTTGTCCCCTTTGAGGCATGGATCAGTGCTTCATTCCTTTTTATGGTTGAATAATATTCCATCGTGTGGATAGAGTCTATTTCTTGATCTGTTCATCGGTTGAAAGACATTTGCATTGTTTCCAGTTTGGGGCTAATAGGAATAAGGCTGCTATGAGTATTCATAGATACATTTTTGTATGAACGTCCATTTTCCATTCCTTTAGAATTGCTAGGTTGTGTAGTAACTATGTTTAACTTTTTTTGAGAAACTGTCAGACTGTTTCCCACAGCAGCAGCACCATTTTACGTCCCTCCGGCAACGTACAGGGGCTCCAATTTCTCTACACCCTCATCGATCTGTGTTCTTTTCTTTCTTTCTTATTCTAGACATGTGGTATCTTATTTTCATTTTGATTTGCATTTCCCTAAGGACTGATGATACTGAACATCTTTTCTCTGTGAGTTGCTTTTTACCTTATCATCCTGTTTACCTCTCATCACCCAGAGGCACCTGGGTGGCTCAGTGAGCTAAGCCTCTGACTTGGTTTTGGCTCAGGTCATGATCTCGGTGTCCCTGGGATGGAGGAGCCCTGTGCTGAGCCCCATGTCAGGCCCCGCACTCAGTGGAGAGTCTGCTTGTCCCTCAGCCCCTCCCCCAACTTGCGGGCTCGCTTTCTCTCTAAATTAAATAAAATAAAATCTTATATATCATCCTTGGGGAAATGTGTATTTAAATTCTTTGCCCATTTGAAACACTGGATCATTTTTCTTTTTACTGTTGAGTTATGAGAGTTCTTTGTATATTCTAGATACAAGTCCCATAGCAGATACAGGATTTGCAAATATTTTCTCCTGTTCTGTGGATATTCTTTTTCTCTTTTTTCTCCGTTGGTGTATTATGGGCATCCTTCAATGTCAAGAGAAAACTATGTCATTCTTCCCTTTTCCTACCTTACACATTTTTTCTTCCTTTCGCTCTCATTTTTTTTAAAGATTTTATTTATTTATTTGACACACAGAGAAAGATCACAAGTAGGCAGAGAGGCAGGCAGAGAGAGAGGAGGAAGCAGACTCCCCGCTGAGCAGAGAGCCCGATGTGGGACTCGATCCCAGGACCCTGAGATCATGACCTGAGCCGAAGGCAGAGGCCTCAACCCATTGAGCCACCCAGGCGTCCCCATTTTTTTTTTTTTTTTTTGGTGGCATTCATTTATGATTGTACCACAGCTTCTTCGACAAGTCTTCTGCTGAGCTTTATAGTCTTCGGTTTGTGTGTTGGTGAAAGACAAGGGATCGGCAGCTCCTGGGCAGGACAAGCAGACATCTACCTACTGTGTTGTCTGCTCCTGGATGCTGTGAAAACTCAGGCGGGCACAGGAAGTGTCTCTAACCTGCTTGTACTTCCTCTCAACCCATGTGGTTTCACAACCCCTGCAGGCTCACCCACACCCAGTGTCACCAGCCTGTCGCCTGTGTGAGAAAGTCCCACTGTAAGAGGCCCTGGGGCATTATCATTTCCTTCTTTCACCCTGTCTGGGTTGCCGGCAAATCCCCAGGACTCTCTGAAACCAGAGTGTTGGATTAGGTCCCTCCAGCAGCTGGAAAGATGAACTCCTGCGTCACCGTCATGAGGCTACTGCTGTGTGGGCCTTTTCTCTTTGGTAGGCAAGGGGAAAGGGGCCGGGAAGGGAAGGGACATGTATATGTGGCCAGAAACAGCAGGGCTTTGTGGAACTGGAGTAAACGAGCAGCTGCCGTGGGGTGGGATGGGCCATAGGTGACGGTGAGGCTCAGGAATCTTGGAGGGAACGGGGAAAGGAAAGAAAGTCAAGAGTCCAAAGTTGAAGCACGTTCTGGGGGGAGACAGAGAAGGGAGACACAGGTGGCAACAGAGAAGCGGAGTGGTGTCTTAAAAGGAGGCAGATGGCTAATGGGTACCTGCAGCTGTGGCTGGGGTCTGGTCCTGCTCGAGGTACGACCGTGGGCCACCATCTCAGCCCTTTCCCCTTTCTGTGCCTCAGTCTGTTTGATGGAACAAATGGTGGGGCAGCTTCTCTGCCATCCCAGGATGCTGCAGAAAGAAGCCTGATGCCTGGAAGGAAAGCGGGGCCCAAAGGGACAGTTGGGGACCTGTAGAGGATGCTTGGGCTGCTTCAGGTGGGGGGTGACATGGGGGAATCTGAGAGCTGATGGAAGAGACTGGTGCATGGTGGCGTGGGCAGTAAGGGAGCATTAGATGAGAAGCAGTTCCACAGAGATAGGGGATCCTGAAACCATGAGTCTGTGGCAGAAGCCTGAGGCTAATATCTCGGGTCTCAGGCCCAAAGGAGAAGTGGGTGTATAGGGAGATGCACCCTGCCAGGGGGCAACCCCATCGCCTGAGGGGCCCCTTCCATCTGCCTCTGTCTCACGGACCTCCGCCTCCTCATCCTTCCTTCTTTGCTGGGAGGTCAAGCGGGCTCTGGGTGGTAAAGGCGTCGCTGCTTCCAGATTTCTCCCCCGGAGTCAAGTTCCTGAAAGGGGAAGCCCAAGGGGGAAGGTCCGGCTCTGCCTCCAGAGCTCGTGGCTTGAGCACCCCGAGGAAGGAGCCGGGTCTTCATGGGTCGGCCGCCCCCTGGGGGCACGTGGGCGACGGCCAATCAGCGCTCGCGGCTCTAGGGGCACGTGCGGGGGACTGGCCAGCCGGAAGTGGCTGACCGCACCCCCTGGTCTCCCTCAGCCAGGGCCTCCGGCTACAATCTGGAAGTGCGGCACGTGCAAAACTTCTCCTTCCCACACGCCGGGAGGCATTTCGGGTACCGCGTCCTGCAGGTTGGAGACGGGTGAGCTGTGGCCCCAGGCCCTCCCTGGCCCCGCAGAGCCAGGACAGGGGACCAGGACACCAGCACCCGGGGTGGGCCAGATCAGGGGAACTGGTAGGGTCCTAGGGTCTTCCTGTGTGGAAGAGTCACGGTGGGATTTCTCAGAAACAGGAGCGAGGCCCTCCGATACAAGGACGAGGACCGTCTGTCGTTAAATCCCCACACAAGTGCCTAATAAAAGAGGAGATATCACAGCCCCTAAAAGGCTTCGCAACACTTCCAGATTCCCCATGGGGGCTCTGACTAGACAGAGAGCGCCTTGATGGCAGGGATTTTGTGTCTTTCTTTTTCTCCCTCATCCCTAGTACATGCCCCAGCCTAGCAAGTAGTATATATGACATAAATGATTTTTTAGAAAGATTTTATTTATTTGAGAGAGACAGTGAGATCACTGGCAGAGAGGAGGGGCAGAGGGAGAGGGAGAAGCAGACTCCCCAGTGAGCAGGGAGCCCAACGCAGGGCTTAACCCAGGACCCTGGGACCATGACATGAGCTGAAGACAAATGCTTAACCACTTAGCGGGCTAAGCCACCCAAGCGCCCCCCGTAAATGACTTTTGAGTTGATGACTTATTGAATGAACTCATAATTTGACCTTCTGGCACATCAGTCTCTGGTCCTCAGTTTTTCTAGACTATGAATGAAAAAGATTCTTAACTTTCTAGAAGTTTGATGTATTCGATAGGGAAGAGGTAGGGGCTGAGCCTCCCGGAAAGGGACTGGCTACAATGTTCTGAGATATTTGTGGATCTGAAACCCCTAATGGGTAGGAGTGGGTGGGTGAAGACGGGGACAATTCCCATCTCACCGGTGAGACTTTTCATCAGGGTTGTCGTGGGAGCTCCAGGTGAGGGGAACAGCACAGGAAACCTCTATCAGTGCCATCCAGACCCTGGCCACTGCCTACCAGTAAGCCTGAGTGGTGAGTAACTGATGAGGGGCCTGGGAGGAATGGTGTCTCAGTGAAGTTGAGGCTGATCCCACCACACCTGGATTACCTAAGCTCCTCCAGACCCATCTCCCGCTGCCTACAGGTTCCAGCTATATCTCCAAGTACTTGGGAATGACCTTGGCGACAGACTTCACAAGTGGAAAGCTTTTGGTAAGAATCTTGTGTAGTGTGATATCAGTCAATGCTAAGAAAGACAGATGGAAAAGAAGGAAGGGAAAGTTGAGTAAAGATCCTATAGAAGATTACAGACATCAGAGAGATTCTGCGTTTATTATCAATCAGCGTTTATTAAAAACCCAAGTATGAGCCAGCTATTTTTGAGACCTTACTTATGTCGTTCTTTTTCCAAATATGAACTGTGGCCATTGACATACAGAGATGAATTTTGGTGGTACACAGACTTTCCACGTTTTATAATTATATTTTTATTTAATAGTTTGTTGGGAAAAATATATGACACATCAAATAAATGATGTCTTGGATCGGATTTCTTGAGATGAGGCTAAGATTTAAATAAAAAATAAATTTGAAGTAAATAAAACATTAAATAAATACTAGTCTGCATAATATGCCCAGAAATTGGGAAGTGATGCACAAATGCCTGAAGTTCTCTTTTCTAACCTTCAGTACACTCGGGAAGGATTAGGGATCCTTATACACATTTTACACACAAGGAAACGAGACCCAAGGGCTTAAGAGGCTTGACCAAGGTCACATGGTTTTAAAGAGGTAGAGCCAGGATGTGAATCAAATTCCCCTTTGGTTCCAAGCCTGCTGGTCTTTACAGTTCATCCCAGCAGCATCTTCTGACACAGGTGTATGAGATAGAAGGCTGGCTAAGTGAAGCATTTAGCTAGCATCGATGGAGACCTGTTTACTTAGCTACTTTTACATGCCAGCCAATGTGCTAGGCTCCTACGGGGTCAGACAAGTGAGTGATAAAGATAACATGAGCCCGGACTTTTGAGAAATTGCAGTCTGGCAGGAAATATTGTCATAAATGAAATAAATAATATTGTATGTTCTGGGAATAGTGGGTGATTTGCCTTAAAAACAAGATGTGATTGGGAATGGAAGGGGATAGGCCTGGAAATGTAGGAGAGGGCCCAACTGTAAACAGTATGAATGCCCAGCTCAGGAGCTTAAACTCTATCCTGTAGGCAGTGAGCCTCGCCTGGCACACAGCTTTGGCAGTACGGATGGAGAGGCAGCTATAAGACCTGGGGCAGAATTACCTTGCCTTGGTCACCTGTTGGTTGTAGGGAGTGAGGTCAGGGGGTGGTGACTCTGAAGATTCTTGTTCTTGGCTGAGGGGGCCCAGAAGACACAAAGGAAGAAGACCCACCCACCCCTTTTTTTGAATATTTGCTTCCTTCAGGCATGTGATCCTGGGCTATCTCGGACATGTGACCAGAATGTCTACCTAAGTGGCTTGTGTTACATTTTCCACCAGAATCTGAAGGGTCCTGTGCTGCAAGGGCGCCCTGGTTATCAGGGTAAGGAGCTGGGGATCCAGTGGGTAAAAATCTCTCCCACGTAGCTGCCCGTGTAATGGAAACAGCATGGGCCCGCCAACCCATGGAGACATTTCACCGAGTCCCTTTGTGTCTGGCTTCTCTAGAATGTATAAAGGGCAACGTGGACTTGGTGTTCCTGTTTGATGGTTCAATGAGCTTGCAGACAGATGAATTTCAGAAGATTGTGGACTTCATGAAGGATGTGATGAAGAAACTCAGCAATTCTTCCTACCAGGTAAATATATTAATTAGTTCTCCTGATCGTAGGCAATAGATGCCTGGTTGAGCTAACGTAAGGCATAAAAGAAAAAACTTACTATGAGGTGTCTTCAGAACCTAAAGGCATAGTTGGACTGGACCTCTGGAAGAGACAAGAAACTAGGAAGTAAAAAGTGTCTGGGATTCTTGTTAGTTCTCATTTCTGTTTCTTTTTGGCTTTTGCTTCCCTCTTCTCTCTCCACACACTGACTCCCTCAGCTTCTTTGGATCACATGGGCCTGTGGAAAGCTCCTAAGCTCACAAATTAAAGTTTCAGGAGGGTTTTCCCGTCCTCTCCACCAACCCCTCCTTTTGCAAATTTCAAACTCTTGGAGAATAGATTCTCACTGGCCTAGCCTCAGCTGAGTGGCATGTGTGGCCCAACCAGCTGTATCCAGCTTAGCGGGGTCCCTCAGCAGAACCATCCCCAGAGGATAGGAGTTCAGCAGATGGCACTACATAATGGATCAGGGGTTTAGTTAATTTTATTTCTGTGTTTGTGTATATATTACTTCATTTTCAAAAGAATGCTCTGAGGCAGGAATGTGGGGTTGGGTTACCCAGGTCCCAGATAAGAAATTGACTAGAAGGGGCCCCTGGATGGCACAGTTGGAAGAGCAAGGGGGTTATGAGTTTGAGCCCCATGTTGGGGATAGAGATTACTTAAAAATAAAGTGAGGGGCGCCTGGGTGGCTCAGTCGGTTAAACCTCTGCCTTAGGCTCAGGTTGTGATCTCTGGGTCCTGGGATCGAGCCCCCTGTCAGGCTGTCTGCTTAGCAGGTAGCGTGCTTCCCTCTCTCTGTGTCTCTGCCTGCCTCTCTGCCTACTTGTGATCTCTGTCTGTCAAATAGATAAATAAAATCTTTAAAAAAAGTAAAAAAAATAGATTGGAGCAGACAAATAGGAAGGGATATGAAGTGATATTTCATTTCTTCCTTCTTTTTCTAGTTTGCTGCCGTTCAGTTTTCCACGGACCACAAAACAGAATTTAATTTCTTGGATTATGTTAAGACGAAGAACCCTGATGTTCTGCTGGGCAAAGTAGAACACATGCGCCAACTGACCAACACCTTTGGTGCCATCAACTATGTCGCGTGAGTCCCCATTTGTGGGAGACAGCCCACGTGTCAGTTGCACTGACCCCCTCAGGTTGCAGCGTATAGGAACTCAACAGATGGGCTTAGCAAGGGGCAGGCTATTGTAGGAATTCAAGTGGAGCCATGTTAGTCCAGGTTCTTTCATTTTTTAAAAGGATTTTACTTATTTACTTAAGAGAAGGAGAAAGCATGAGCAGGGGGATAGGCAGCGGGGGTGGGGAGAAGCAGGATCCCCACTGAACAGGGAGCCTAATTGCGGGACTCAATCCCAGAACCCAGGGATCATGACCTGATGCTTAACTGACTGAGTCTCCCAGGATCCCCTAGTCCAGGAATCTACTTCATACTAACTAAATCCCCAACGGCAATTCTTGGGAGGACGCAGGGGTAGATCATGAACCTTTGGGACAGGGAGTAATGCCAAACCTCACGAGGATCTAGTACTAAGAACTTGGAAAGTGATCGTGAACATGACAGCCATGGTTGGGTCACATATGAGTTGGGGATCAGCTTTGGAAGTCAGCAGGTGAACAAAAATCTCTGCTAGTGAAAATTCTCCTTGAGGAATTCCTTGAATTATTCATAAAATTCAGTATACTCGAGTCCCTCATTGGAAGCTGGCATATCCTGATTTCCTAAATCTGCTCTAGAAGGTCTTCCTCCTGGAGGTAGACCAGGTGGCTGTGTTTCAATTGAGGCCTGGATGAATGCAGTTAGATTGTGCTGAAAGGCCATATTGTATATTTTATTTGATTTTTTTTTGGTTAATGATTATAAACAAGACATTTAATTTTCATACTCATTTGGGGGAAAGGAGAAAAATCAGTTTGCCCAACTCAATGATGGTCTTTCTGGAAGAGTCTCCATCATTCTGTAGAATGGGATGGGTTGCTTGATCTGAGGATTTTGTACTTTTCATTCATAAAGAGAAACTCCTTTGAAGAGAGTAATCGAAGAGCGAGTCTTTTGAGCAGCTTCGCTGGTGCACAGCCAAACTCCCTCTCTGAGTGAAGCTTTTCCCACATGGGACACACAGCTGGGGTGTCTCTCTTGTGTGGATTTTGCCTTGCAGGAGACAGATGCTCCCTGGTGTGGAAACTCTCCTTACGCTTCGTACAGGCATAGAGTTTCAGGCCTGTGTGGACACTGATGTGACCAATTCACCTTCCTTTCTGACTGAAGGCTTTTCCACACTGGCCATATCTATAGGGCTTTTCACCACTATGGACTCTTCTATGAACAGCAGGTTTGATTTCTGAAGCTTCTCTGACAAATAGCCTACTCATAGGGTTTCTGTCCAGTGTGGGTTCTCTCACTAATGGCCAGACTACCTCATTGACTAGAGTTTTTCTAGCACTCCTTGCTCTGATTGGCTTCTCTCCTGTGTATATTTGCTGATATGTAACAAGATTGCCCTTGGCCCCGAAGCTGTTTCCCCAATAGGTACACTCAAAAGGCTTCGGACTAGTGTGGATTCTCTTGTGCAAGGTTAGACTGCCTTTTTGCCCTAAGGATTTTGCACGTTCATGACACTCATAGACCCTCTGTCTCCAGGTGAATCTTCCTATAGTGTCTTAGAATCTGGGGATTTTTGTTCCAGTTTCTCCCTTCAAAGGAATTCTGGAAATCCCAGCTGGAGGATCCCATGGCCTCAGAGTGATCATATTTGCATTGGGCTTCTGTCATCATGGTCACTGAAAAATACTACACTCTGGGCCTATCTTCCATGAGAGTCCAGCAGAGTGGCTGTTGGAAATCCAAACACGGCCTCGCCTGCCGTATGACCCTAATCCCCACCTCTTCATAGAATTCATCCATGGGCTGTTCTTAAGCCCCACAGTGGCACGTGCCACAGACAGAGGCCAGCATCGAGCCACAGCAGTGCCAGTGGAATGAACTACAACTCCCAGGAGCCCGTGTTATATATTTTTTAAAAATACCTATGGGGCACCTGGGTGGCTCAGTAGGTTAAGTGTCTGACTCTTGATCACAGCTCAGGTGTCCAAGCCCCACTCTGGGCTCCGTGCTGGGCAAGGAGCCTACTTAAAATAATAATAATAGTAGTAGTAACAACAATTTTAAAAATAGAAATATCTGTCTTTACACGTTAAAGTGGTCAGAGAACCTGAAAACGATTTGGGAAATAAGAGAATTGTATCTTTCCTTCTCATGCTGCCCCTGTCATACACAAAAATTAAGTCAAAAAGCAGGAAGGATTTCCTGGGCCATGACACTTATTTTTCTGATTCTTATTTCTTCGCCAAGATTGTACAGCTGGATTTGCATAAGTTAAATATGCATGGGATGACTCTTCTCAAGGCTCTACAGAAGTGTTCCCAGCCCTTTTCTTCTGAGGCTCACTTGACCTGTCATGTCCACTTCATTCTTCTCTTTGTAGACAGCTTTGGTGGGTACATGGCAAGGCAAGTCCACCAGAAAAAAAAAATGACAGCCTTGGCTCCTCAGTCCAGGTGACCAAACTGAATTCCAGCTTCCAGGAGAGAAAATCTGATTGGCTGAGGCTGGGTGTCTACAGGTCCACTCAGCTCTGCCTTAGGCATCAAGTCACATGGCACAGACATGGATTCTGGGGTCCCAGAAATGTAAATACCATTTTTAGCTCATGGACCATACACAGAAGTGATCTGTGGGCTGGCTTTGGCCTATGGGTTGTTGTTTGTCATGTTCTGGGTTCTGGGACTATAGCAACGAATGAAACAAAAGTCTCTACTCTCTTGATGGTTTAACATTATATTAGGGAAGAGAAACGCAATAGACAGGATCAGTGTGTAAATTAGATAATGTAGTAGAAGATGGAAGTTTTTGTTTTTGTTTCTTTTAATATATGTATTTTATATTTTTATTTATTTATTTGACAGAGAGAGATCACAAGTAGGCAGAGAGGCAGGCAGAGAGAGAAAGGAGGAAGCAGGCTCCCTGCTGAGCAGAGAGCCCGATGCGGGACTCAATCCCAGGACCCTGAGATCATGACCTGAGCCAAAGGCAGAGGCTTAACTCACTGAGCCACCCAGGCTCCTGAAGATGGAAGGTTTATAAAGAGAAAGAAAACAGTAGGCAGTAGGAAGATGAGGGAAGGTTACATTTGCACAAAGACTGGTTGGAGGCGAGGAAGCAGCCATGCCAATACCTGGGAAGACCATTCCAGGCAGAGGGAATAGTAAATGCTTGGGATGTTCCAAGAAGAACCAGGACAACAGTGTGACTGGGGAGAAGTAAGTGAAGGCGAAAAGTAGTAGGAGACGAGGTCGGAGAGACCGTGGGAGTCCAGAGCACTTAGGGCCTTTGAGGCCATAGGGAGGACTTTGGTTTTTCCTCAGAGTGAGATGAGAAGTCACTGGAGGTTTTGAGCAGAGGGGTGATAATCTGATTTATGTTTTTAAAAGGATCCCTCTGGGGTGCCTGGGTGGCTCAGTCGGTTAAGCGTCTGCCTTCCACTCAGGTCATGATCCTGGGGTCCTAGGATTGAGCCCTATTTCAGGCTCCCTGCTCAGTGGGAGCCTGCTTCTCCCTCTGCCTACCCCCTGTTTGTGCTCTCTCTCAAATAAATAAATAAAATATATATTTTTAAAGAAGTATTCCTCTGGTTGCAGGGCTGTTAAGCTGTGAAGGGGACGGGGGTGGAGCAGGAAGGCCAGGTAGAAGGCTATTGAAAAATAGAGATGAGAGGTGATGGCGGTTTAAACCAGGGTAGAAATCCATGAACAGGAGCCATGAGAGGCCATGTCCATGTGGACAGAGGCTGGGGAAACAATTTGCACCCAAGATGGAACAGAGGCCTTGGCCCTGCCCCATCAGAGCTTCTCCACCTGTCACTTTCCACCCCCCCCAACCCTGCTGTGTGACTTTCAGCTTCTCCTCCCAAGTCAGGTTATGTCATAAGTCAAGGGCTGTAGTCTGTGTAGACTGGCTGCTCTTGGATTAATTGTCCATCTCTAGTGAGCTGTGGGGTGGGGAGGAAAGGATCAGATGGCACAGGGAGAACTACTGTCCTAACAGAAACTGTGGGCACCCTGTCTTCATCCAGAAGGAGGCCGTGGGCAGGTGCGACTTTGGAGCATGGGCCTGTCCAGTGTTCAGGACTCCCTTCTCCCTTTTATGTCATATGCGCTGAGCACCTGCCCTGTGTCAGGAGCCAGAGACACAGGAGCAAACCAGATATGTTCCTCCCCTGGGGAACTCGTGATCTGGGGAAAACTGAAACGAAATAGGTGACTTCCATTCCCTGGGAGACTTGCTGTAGCAGAGACACCTACAGGCAGCCTGGCCATCAATGGTGGGGCGCTGCCAGATGAGCTTGTTCTGGAAGCATGACTTCCCAAGTTTCTCTAGCCGTGGAGCCCGTTTTCCATATTGAAATTGCACCTGGATCCCCAACATGTCTACCCAATAAAAGGGTAGTTGTTGTGTGGTTGAACTGGAGAGTAGGAAGCCCAGAGTGTCTCCTCACAAAGCCTCCCTGTCACTGCCCATGGGCTCCAGGACAACCCCTGGCAACCCAGAGTTCCATCAAAGACTACTGGTCTGGAAGGAGGGGGGTGGCAGCCGGGGTGAGGTAGGAAGTTCAGAAGAGAACTTGGAAGTCTGGGAACACCTGCCTGCCTGGAGGATGGGAGAAGGGCTTTTGCATAACCAGCAGGACAGTGACTTAATGAGCTGAGTGAGTGGGGGGAGCCCACATGATGTGGGGGAGACTTTCACATGTGCCTTTTCTGGGACACAGGACAGAGGTGTTCCGGCAAGACCTGGGGGCCCGGCCAGATGCCACCAAAGTGCTTATCATCATCACTGATGGGGAAGCCACTGACCACGCCAACATTGACTCAGCCAAAGACATCACCCGCTACATCATCGGGGTATGGTCGGGTGCTGGCCACTTCCCAAGTCCTATCCTGCCTCTCCTGTTCCCGATCCCCACTCCCCTTTCTCCTGGGTAGGGGGGGAGAGGCAGGGCCTTATCTGTGAATCTGGGGACGCCAACTCTCCAGTCTTCACTTTCTCACAGATTGGGAAGCATTTTGAGACCAAGGAAAGTCAGGAAAGGCTCCATGAATTTGCCTCAAAACCTGCGAAGGATTTTGTAAAGATCCTGGACACGTTTGAGAAGCTTAAAGATCTGTTCACTGAGCTGCAAAAGAAGATCTATGTCATTGAGGGTGAGTGGCAAACCCGGGGTTGGGGAGAGAGAGGGGAAGTCGCTTACAGAAGCTCATCTGGGACAATCAGACTAGCGACATGCTGGGTGATGGTGGTAACAGGAGCTCAGAGTGTCTGAGGCTGTAAGAAGGGCTCTCCTGGAAAAGGGCCTTGGGGGGGGATTTGGGGGAGGGACCCTTGAGGAGCAGCCTCTGTTTCCCCCTGAAATTCCATCTTCCTCATAAAACTCAGCTGGGGCCAGGGTGAGGCCCCGAACTGACCTCTAGCTTGCTGTTGTTAACCGAGGCCTGCGGAAGAAGTAGAATTTCCCACCCTCCCCAACCTGACTCAGCTCCCTCATTTTCCCTTGTCTCCACTTACTTAAGGTGGACTAGTGGGCTGGGGACCAAGTGCAGGGAGCCCACAGGCCCTCTTGGTCTGCAGTAAGAGAAGGTTTGGACTGCAGTCTTGGGATGGAGGACTTGCTCTGGGTGGGGGGTATTTTCCCAGGAATCCCGGTCTGCTGAAAGCTACAGGATTCCCTCTGGGAAGGCCCCTGTGCTAGAACACGGGCTTTGTGTTTGGTTCGGTTGAAGAAGCAAGTGGTGTATATAATGGGACTGGGCAGACCACTCAGGAAGGCATTCTGCCTTTGCTGTGTGACCTCAGCCAGGTTACTTTCTCTCTCTGAGGCTTGCTGAGTTCTCCACTAACTGGGGCTAATAATATCAGTCTCACAGCTTTGGGAGGTTTGACTGTTGTATTAGTTTCCTAGGGCTGTTGTACCAAAGTACCAAAAACCGAGAGGCTTAAACCAATAGGAATTTAGTGTCTTGTGCTTCGGGAGGCCAGAAGTCGGAGGTCAAGGGGCCGACGGGGGCAGGCTCTTTCTGACAGGTCTTAGAGAGAACACTTCACGCCTCTTCTAACTTCTGGCGTCCACAGCAGTCCCTGGCATCCCTTGGCTTGTGGCTGCATCACTTCTGTCATCTGCGTGTCTACAAGCCCCTGCATGTCTGTCCTCACGTCCTCTTCTCTCTGTGCGTGTCTGTCTGTGTCCACACTTCCCTCTTTCATAGGGACACTATAAAATATTGGATCCTGTTGGATCGAGGCCTACCCCAGTGACCTCATTTTAACCCGAGTGCATTGTAAAGACCCTATTTCCAAACAAGGTCATATTCTCAAGTACTAGGGCTTAGGTCGTGAAAATAACTTTTTTTTTTTTTTTTTTTTTTAGACAACACAATTCAAGCCCCAACCCCAGCTTAGCAGAGTGCTTGGTACCTCGCAGGCCCTCTGTAAATCGCAGAGCTGGTTATCTCTGGCTCTGATCGTCTATCCTGACCTGCCCTGACTCATGCTTCAGAGAGTATCTTAGATGTCACTTCCTCTGATAAGTTCTCCCCAAACCTGAGTCTAGGCTGAGGGCTTCTTTCCGGGTGCCGCCGTTAAGGGCTGTATGCTCCCTCTCAGAGGCCCCGAAGCTTACATTGTATTAAATTATGTGCAGTATTATTTATGCAGTGAACGAACAATGAGCAAAATCATGGTAATTGCTGTGTTTCTTGAAAGCTTTACAAGGTAACAGGCACTTTTTCTATATCATTTAATTCCTTCCTCTCAGAAGCTTTGCAAGGCTGGTGGGATGATTTTCATTTTATTAATTCAGGCTTGCACTAACCAGGTACTGTGAATAAGACATTCAGGGGCACCTGGGTGGCTCAGTCAGTTGGGCGGTGGCATTCAGCTCAGGTCATGATTCCTGGGATGGAGCCCCACATCGGGCTCCCTGCTCGGTGGAGAGCCTGCTTCTCCCTCTCCCTCTGTCTGATGCTCTGCTTACTTGTGCTATCTCTCTGTCAAATAAATAAATAAAGTAAAGCAAAAAATACACTCAGGGATATTGTCAACGTGGGGCTCATATTCAGGTTGGATAAAGAAAGGCAGAAAACAAAAGAACAGGGTAATTAGAGATGATGATAGGTGCTGTAAAGGAAATTAATAAACTGGATAGAAAGATTTCACTGGGGGAAGCCGCGTGAGATGGGCTTTTCAAAAGGCCTTTCTAGATGCTTTATTTTTTAACGGAGGTAGAATTCACTCTGAGATGACATTCGAACCGAGACACGAAAGATGAGACTCGAACAGCCACGTGAGGAATGTGGGCAAAGACCGTTGAAGTCGGAGAAGAGCCAGCATGGGGCCCAGAGGTGGGGAAGGGCAGGCGAGCCGGAGGAACAGAAAAAAGGTCAGCATGACAGGAGCTGATGAGCAAGGGAGACAACGTGGGAGAGAGAGGCCAGGCCTTCCAGTTCCTTATAAGCAGCTGGGGTTTTGATCTAAAGAGCGATGGCAAGGGATGAAGGGTTTTTGAGAAACGGAAACATGTGGTCTGATAGACATTTTTTCAAAAGATTACTCCAGCTTGCTCTGCAGAAAAAAGACACGACAAGAGGAAGAACGAAGTCAGGGGCTGAATGGGTAAGTGAGGACAGTTGTCAGGCAAAAGGCGAGGATGGCTGGGCCCTGTGTGGTGGCCTGCACGCTCTTCAGAGAAGGCCGCAGATGCATTTTGAACCTAAAACCATCCTGATTTGGTGATGTGGTGGGGAAGCCTGAGTGGGAGCAGAACCACAGAGCTACTTGTTTGCCCGGGTTCACACTGAGCTCAGCCCATGTCACTGCCCAGTCTGACGGGCGTGCAGGTGGTTTCTACCTTGCCCAAAGGCCGGTGCCATGCTTCTTTCTCGGTCTTTCCTCGAGTGTCCACCCATTCTCTTTACCTCGTCCCTAGGCACCAGCAAACAGGACCTGACATCCTTCAACATGGAGCTGTCCTCTAGCGGGATCAGCGCTGACCTCAGCCACGTGAGTGGCGGCCCTGAAGTGGGGGGGTGGGCTGAAGGATGTTGTGGGCACTAGGCTAAGCCTGCTCGTCTCCTTCCTGGGCAGGGCCATGGCGTCGTTGGGGCGGTTGGAGCCAAGGACTGGGCTGGGGGCTTCCTAGACCTGACGGCAGACCTGCAGGATGATAATTTTGTTGGAAATGAGCCACTGACACCGGAAGCGAGATCAGGCTATTTGGGTGAGTACTTTTCTGCTGCTTTCTTTTGGTCTGAGGGGCCAGGGTCACTCAGAACAGCTTTCAAAACCGTAATGAAGGTAGTTAAGCAACCAGCATGAACAAACTCAGAGTTTAAATAGGGCTGCAATGTTCTTTTTTTTTTTTTTTTAAGATTTTACTTATCACAAGTAGGCAGAGAGGCAGGCAGAGAGAGAGAGAGGGAAGTAGGCTCCCCGCTGAGCAGAGAGCCCGATGTGGGGCTCGATCCCAGGACCCTGAGATCATGACCTGAGCCAAAGGCAGAGGCTTAACCCACTGAGCCACCCAGGTGCCCCAGGGCTATAATGTTCTTAATTTTCCCCTTAATATCTCCTCTGCTGTGTAGTAGTCATGTTTTTGTTTTCTGAATTTTATGATGCTTGGACATCTTGAGGCCTTGTGAATCCCAGAGACACTGCCCCTCCCAGGGCTAGCTAACTCCTACAGATAGTGAACAAGGGGCCTGTGAGCAGTTTGCCAGCCAGCCAACCCTGAGCCCGTATCCCCAGCCACCTTCTTTACCCAACTTTCACACACCAAGCCAGTATTCCCCCCGACATGAATCTCTAGTTAGCTAAGGACCACCCTTTGTAGACCAGTGCCAGCCAGCATTGTTCAAACCGTCCCATCCAAAGCTTGTTCAAGCTTGCCTACTCAGCGACCTCTCTGTGTCTTACCCATAAATTAAATTCTGGGTCCATTTTACAGCAGCCTGCCTCATTAGTAGGGGGACCTGAGGGTCCTCCTTGAGGCTTCCTTCTCTAGAATTGCCCACGAACTCCAAGGTTGATTCACCTCAAGAGTTCTTCAGATGCCAAGGGCGGAAAAAAGGCACCTGGTCAGTCCACAGTTGCAGTTGCTTCTCTCTGACTCATGGTGTCCCTGTTGTGAGCTTGTCCTGCACAGTTCTGGGGCTGCTGGTCAACCCAAGGGGTTGACAGTCTCAGGCACAGAGAGGCCTTACTCTTGTGCACAGAGGTTATAGCTCTTCTGGTTCATGCTCATGTAGTCAACCTGTGTCAAGGCACAGACTGGCTTCAAGAGCCCTGGGATAGGACTGCTTCCAGGCTCTACCTAGAAACCCTCTCACCCTGCCTCATCCATGACCAGTGTATAGGGGCGGGCCATGTCTTTATTAAACTCGCAGAACAGGGATGCCTGGGTGGTTCAGTCGGTTGGGCATCTGCCTTCAGCTCAGGTCATGATCCCAGGGTCCTGGGATTGAGCCCCGCAAGTGGGCTCCCTGCTGGGCAGGGAGCCCACTTCTTCCTCTGCCTGCCACTCCCCCTGCTTGTGCTCTCTCTCTCTCTCTGTCCCTCTGACAAATAAATAAATAAAATCTTAAAAATGTATCTATGCTTTATAAAAAATTTAAAAAATAAACTCTCAGAAACAAAGACTTCATTACATAATTTCCTTGGGAAAATTAGTGCCCTTCATCTTGCATCTACTCTTCTAAGGAAAGCTACCCTCCATGACTTTCTCTCTCTCTCCCTTTTGACATTCTTTACTGAGTATTATGTGTCAGGCACTGGTCTAAGCGCATGACATGCATTGACAAATTTTATCTCATTTTATTCTTACTATAACCATGCTAGTAGGTATCTTTATTACGTACACTATTTATTTTTTAATATAATTAAAATATAATATAATAAAATATAAAAATAAAAAATATTTCTATGTTTTTGTTAGAGATAGAGAGCACGTGCATTCCAGAGCGAACAAGCCAGGGGGGGAGGGGCAGAGGGAGAGAGAGAGTCCTGGAGGTGACTCCCCATTGAGCACGGAGCCTGACGCGGGGCTCCATTCCAGGATCCCAAGATCATGATCTGAGCTGAAATCAAAAGTTGGTTGTTCAACCAACCGCCGCCCCGCCGGCGGCCCTATTACACTTAGCTCCTACACTATCACCTTCAAGGAGCTTTGCATCCCACAGTGTTCTGCGAGCCAGCCAGCAACATTGATGGTTCAAGAAAAAATAATCCATATTTTACTCTCTAATTAGGCACCGGTCCCACTAGACACACACACACACACACACACACACACACACACACACACACACACACGCTGCATATATTGTGTATATATGGACATGATTAAAGAAAAAGAGAAAAAAGAAAAAATTTTCAATTCCTGCTAACATAAATAAATAAATAAATATATATATAAATGATCTTGGGAGCCCTGGTACTATCCTCCTCCATATGTGGTCATCTTGAATCCTCAAAACCATCCTGTCCTATCCCGTGTTTTGGTTGAGAAAACTGAGCCTCAGGGCGTGACGTAATTATGCAAGATCACACAGCTGGGAGGTTTAGGCACTGAGAATACCACCTCGCCCCTGATTTCCACTGGCAAATTCCCAACTCCCGCACTCCAAGAACGTGCACGAATGGAGGGGAAAGGGGCTCAGCCTCTCTGCCCTTCTTCTCCTGCATGGTGGTGTCTCGGATGGCTCTGTTTGTGTCGCTCCTTTGCACTACTCTAAGCAGAGAAGATGAAATTGGGTCAGTAAGTCGTCTTCCTGAATCAGAGCGTCCCTAATGGATGGGTGCTGGCTAGAGCACGATCCCTGGTCCAGTTTCAGGCAGCATTTCCTCAGCCGTCACAGCAACGTGCTCACAGGGAGAAACCTCGTTGCCCATAAAAGCTGTGGACTAGGAGGGTAGCCTGAAGAGACAACTCCAAACAAAATGTGTTCAAGTCTCCTGCCTTATTTTTAATATTCATGCAGATTTTTCATTCATCTTATGACTATATCTCACTTTAATTTTTAAAGATTTTATTTATGTATTTGAGAGAGAGAGAACACACACAGGGGGAAGGGGCAGAGGGAGAAGGAGAAGCAGACTCCCCACTGAGTAGGAAGCCCAACCGGGGGTCATGACCCGAGCTGAAGGCAGATGCCAAACTGACTGAGCCACCCAGGGGCCCCGTTATGTGATTATTTTAAAATAGTGTAGTCTCCTTTCTCAACATTCTGGTCAGCTGAGGCTCAGGAAGATGCTCCAGGTTTCCTGGCTGCATTTTCCTGGGCCTGTGCGTTGGCCACAGTTTGAGAAATGCAGTTTCAGACCAAGATGGCGGGATGTGTGCCCCTTGGAGCACATGGCTGCTTTTCTCTGGGGAAGGTCCTCTGTTTCACAGCATCTTTGCTTCTAACCCAGTTTCCCAGAGTTTCTGCTCTTTTTTGTCCCTGGGTTTTACCTTCTTCCAGCCGCCACTGTGCTCCTGATTCCAAGCCCCTGTCCTCCCTCTTGCCCATTCTTTCTCTCTTTCTCTCTCTCTTTCTCTCACCCCCCTCAGGTTACACAGTGACCTTGCTGCCCTCCCAAAGGCTCAATTTGCTGCTGGCCACTGGAGCCCCCCGCTACCAGCACGTGGGGCGGGTGCTGCTGTTCCAGGAGTCAGAGGACAGAGGACACTGGAACCAAATCCAGAAAATAGATGGCAGCCAGGTGAGCATGGCCCTGGGGTCTTCTGCAGGTCAGGGACTGGTAGGGCGCCAGTCATGCTCCCTGCTGTCTGCAAGCATGTACCCACTCACGGGGCTTCCTTGGTCCTCTTCCTCTCCCTACAGATTGGCTCTTACTTCGGTGGTGAGCTGTGTGGCGTTGACATGGACCACGATGGGGAGACAGAGCTGCTGCTGATCGGAGCCCCCTTGTTCTATGGGGAGCAGAGAGGAGGCCGGGTGTTTATCTACCAGAAAAAACAGGTGGGGACCAGGACCGCCAGGAGGTGGGAGGAGAAACAGATTCCCAGCCAACCCGGGTCCCAATTATCTGGAAAGGCTTTCCTTGTTGGGTCACAGTGGAATGGACCTTTAGAACCAGAGGACCTGAGCCTCCGTGCCCAGGGAGGGTAGGCTGTGTGCCAGGCCCAGGGCCAAATCTTTTATTTACAGGACACCTTGGGTGGTCCTCACAGAGTCACCTTCTGGGAAACCCTGTGCTTTTCCTTCATAAACGGGATCACTGTGGCTCAGCAAGGCTGGGTCACCTTCCAAAGCCCCAAGGCCACCCAGACAACCAGCGGTGGAGCTGGGACCTGAGCCCAGGTCAGTCTGCTGCACTGGGCCCGTTCTGTGAGAGACCACACCCGACCCTCCTTCAGCATTCTCCAAGCACGCAGGGCTGCCCCCTGCAAATGCTGGCCAAGTGACTGAGGTGGAGCCTGTCACTTTGCTCCTTCCTAGCTGAGGTTCGAAGTGATCTCAGAGCTGCAGGGGGACCCTGGCTACCCGCTTGGGCGGTTTGGAGCAGCCATCGCAGCCCTGACGGACATCAACGGGGATGGGCTGGTGGACGTGGCTGTAGGGGCCCCTCTGGAGGAGCAGGGGGCTGTGTACATCTTCAACGGGCAGCATGGGGCACTGAGCCCCCGGCCAAGCCAGGTGAGAAGAGCCCTGCCTGGCCCCCCAAACCCATTCCCAAGCACCCAGAAGCCTCCAAACCCAGACCCCGCTCCCCAGCCCAACTCGTCCCACCCTCCGGCCCGTCCTCTCCCTAGCTTAACAGGAATTTTTCTCTTGATCTCAGCGGATCAAAGGGACCCAGGTGTCCTCGGGAATTCGATGGTTTGGACGATCCATCCATGGGGTGAAAGACCTCGGAGGAGACGGCCTGACGGATGTGGCTGTGGGAGCCGAGGGGCTGGTGGTTGTGCTCAGGTAAGACAGGAGTGAGGATGACCACAGCTCTCGTCCTTCAAACAGCTCCCCATGTAGTAGGACTCCTCTAGTCTTCCCCCAGCCCCAGCAGAGAGGTTCTCCTCCCGCACAGCCTTCATGTCTTACTCTGCTTTAAATGGCTGCAATTCAGTGATGGACTGGGATTTGAACCCAGGCCGGTCTGACATTACAACCTCCTAGAGAAGCAGCAGCCGGGGATGGCTCTAGAAACTGGTCACCCAGATGCAGGTCCAAGCTCTGCCATTTACTTCTTGGGTGGCCTTAGCCAGTCACTTAGCTGGGTGGCTCAGACCGTTGAGTGTCTGCCTCTTGGTTTGCATTCGGGTCCTGAGCTCAGAGTCGGGAGATGGAACTCTGTTGTGGGCTCCGCCCTGGGCGTGGAGCCTGCTCGGGATTCTCTGTCTCTTTCTCCTTGTTCCCCCTCACTTCCCCAAAGCTCATTCTTCCATATGGAAAATGGGTCAGAGGGCCTCTAGAAGGAAATGGGAAGCCCTAATGAATTACCATTATTATTACTGTTTCGAGGAGACAGGGCTGTTGAGGTCTGCTTTCGGGGATTAGAGTCCTCTGGATGCTTGTGGAAGGAGCCCCAGGTCTGACTGGGAATACTGCTGAGGCCCAGGGAGAGCGTTGCTTTCCACTCCACAGCTCCCGGCCCGTGGTGGACATCCTCACTCAGATAGCCTTCTCCCCGGCGGAGATCCCGGTACACGAAGTGGAATGCTCCTATTCACCCAGTAACAAGAAGAAAGAAGGAGTTAACATCACAGTCTGCTTCCAGGTCAAGCCTCTCACTCTCCAATTTCAAGGTCAGTGTCGTTTCCCAGAGCAGCTGCTTATGGCCCCAGGACACCCCCCAAACCCTGCCCCTTCAACTTCTGATTTTCTCCCTGCCCAGGACTGCTGGTTGCCAATCTCACTTACACTCTGCAGCTGGATGGCCATCGGACCAGAAGCCGGGGACTGTTCCTGGGAGGGAGACATGAACTCAGCGGGCACACAGTGGTCACTAGACAACCATCCTGCACCGAGTTCTGGTTCCACTTCCCGGTAAGGAGCCGTGGGGGCTGCCCTAGGAAGTGCGGGTGTGGCGGAGCTGACCACGGTGACGGGAGCAGCAGTGCAAAGCTCAGCTCGGTCACTGTCTGGCTGGGTCACAAGGCCCTTGGGTCTCTTGACACCACCATTTCCTCATGTAATAGTGGTAATAATACCGTTAGCATATTTCCTCTAGTTCTTAATCTATGGACGTAGGCGTTTTAACATCGTTACCATTAGAAAGTACTTCCCATTTTTTCCCCTAATTTTTCCACACATCATATATTTATGCTGCTACCCAGCTTTTCATAAGTATTTGAATAGCTACAGAATATTCAGTCACGGCACGTGTCCTGGTTTGCCAGGTGCCCATAGTCATTTATTATTAACATCCATTGCAGAAAAATATTTTCTTAATACCAATTTGGGCAACTGCTGAGACACCCAAATTCAGTTTGCTTCTAACAGTCCTGTGTAAAATAGGGTTGATGGTAAATTATTATGATCCTTTAAATATTTAATAAGATATTGAGTGTGGGATTGGTGTATAAGATTTTAAAGTTTGGGGGCACCTGGATGGCTCAGTTGGTTAAGCATCCAACTCTTGATTTCAGCTCAGATCATGATCTTGGGGTTGTGAGATCAAGCCCCGGGTCGGGCTCCACACTCAGCATGGAGTCTGCTTGAGATTCTCTCTCTCCCTCTCCCTCTGTCCCTCATCCCCCCCGACAAAAACAAAAAGATTCTGAGGTTCGTTTTAAATTTTTTGTTATGGGGAAATTTCAAACATATAAAAGCAGAAAATATAGCTCAGTGAACCCCCAAACAGCCATCACAGTGTTAACAGTTCTGAGCTCACTCTCCTAGTTCATTCATATCTGCACTCCGTGCCCCTCTGCTTCCTTGCATTCACCCCTACCCCCCATAAGATTTGGAGATTTTCAACATAAATTTGCCAGAGAAAAGGTAGTGTGTCATGATGGGAAGACCTTGGACTTGGGGATTGGATGGATTTGGGCTCACCTCCTAGCTCTAAGCCTTAGGAAACTCGGATTACCTTATGTTCCTCCTCTCTAATGTGGGGATATGTTGACCTTATGTTCCTCCTCTCTAATGTGGGGATAATAATGCCTGCCTCTTAGGGTTGGTGAAGGAGTTCAGGGGAAGATGATTTGGGTGCTTACAAAGTGCCAGTTTTGTATTCCCAGGGACTGGGAATAACATAAAAGGCCAAGACCCATCCCTGTTCTCAAGGAACTCGGATATTCTAGTTATTCTAGAATATTCTTTTCTTGTGCAAACCTCGGTAATGGCTTCCTAGAGCGGTTTGACAGAGATTCAGGGGTTTTGATCAGGACTCAGTGGGAAAGGTGGGGTGGTTGAGCAGCAACGTCTGCCATGGGAGTTGGGGCTGAGGGAGCTGACTTGTGCTGAGAAGGGACCCCGGACATATTATAAACACCTGATGCTAGAATCTCACCATTTGTAAAGTACAAGCCAGGTGAGCATTTAACTGGAAGATTAAACTCACAAGTGGCATTCCCATCACCCTCAGGTATGCATTCAAGACCTCATCTCTCCCATCAACATCTCCCTAAATTTCTCTCTCCTGGAGGAAGAAGGGACACCGAGGGACCAACAGGCGGTAAGAAGGGTTCACCTAGGGAATTGATAGGAAACAGGAGAGTAGAATTTCAGTTTAGCAGGACTGTATTATTGAGGAGTCTTTGGTTTTAAGCAATAGAAACCAAATACAGTAGGAAAGGAACGTATGGGAGCTTGTATTTGGCAAAGCAGGAGTGGGAAGAAGGAGAATCAGAGTGGAGACTCTGGGGGCTCTTGAGGGGAGGGGATAACGGGTGGACTCTTCAGACACAGCCCCTTCAGTGAATGTCCCTAGCACCAGCTTCAGACCTCCCCAGGAGCCCAACACTGCTCAGGCTGCAAGTTCCAGGGAGGCCGGGGCACCCTGGTCAGCCTTCTCACTGAAGTGTACTTAGTTGTGAACAGGTAGTTTCCTCAAAGCCGAATTGGGGGACCATCATGATGTAAAACAAGAGGAAAATATACCTTTCCTCATCTGCTGGACCACACACTCCCCACCCGGGGCCAAGGCCAGATTTCATCTCCTCAAGTCCTTGATGCTCAGCTAGCAGTTTGGCTTCAAGGCAGCAGAATCTGGTGGAAAGAGCCCGAGCCTTCCCGCCCAAAGATGTGGATTTCCTTTTTCCTGGCATGAACATCTGAGCAGGTTCCATCCATCTCTCGGACTGTGTCCCCGTCCATAAAATGCATCACGACATCGTGAGGCCTCTCCCAGAGCTGGAGCACGGGACTGCTAAGTGCACTCTTTCTCGTGGTTTCTGGCAGCACCCGCTGAGGGCTCCCCCGAGCATGCTCACTCTCCAGGGGTCTGCAGGGAACAGTGGCACGCTCCCCAGAAATGAAAGCCCCCGCCCACCAGAAGCTCATCAAGGGCTTAAGGGAAGTTGATTGAGCCCCTGCCTGTGCAAAGCCCTGTTCTGGGAACTGGCTCCACTGAGGCAAATAAAACATGGTCCCTACCCGGAAGGGGTTCCCAGCCTGCTCTGGGGGTCAGACAAGTCAACAGACAGTTACAACAGGCTGTGGACAGGCGTGGGAAGATGCGACCCTTGAAGTCCCCAGGTAGAGCAGAGAAGGCGGACATTCAGAAAGGAGGCAGAGTGTGAACACAGGCAACGAAGATGGCAGAACCCAACGCAGCAGGCGTTGGGAGCGCAGCAGGCGTGGGAAAGAGGTTGGAAGAGCACCCTGTTCCCTTTGAGACTGGAACCCCACGTGATGCATACCCTTACATCTCATTGGTCAGAACTTGGCCACATGGCCACGCCTAACTGAACTAAGCGCAGCCTACAGTCCAGCACCCCCCCCCCACTCAACCCCGTAACCTGATAAAAAGGGGAGGGTCTGTTTTAAAAGCAGGTGGCGAGGGAGGATATATGGAGACAACCAGCAGCCTCTGCCATTGGCACTATTTTTTTTTTCTTTTTTCTTTTTTTTTAAGCCAGGCAGTGTGGAGTAGAAACTCAGGGTAAAAAAAGAGACTTGGGCTCACAGTTGTCAAGAAAGGCTTCCTGGGGGAAGTGGCTCTGGTTCTGGGTCTTGCAAAATGAGTCGACTTTGGGTAGGTGGATTGAGGAGAGGCAAGAGGAAGAGCATAAGGAAAGCTATGGTGGTACATTCAAGGGAAATGAGGAGGTGGGCTTAGCTTCTGGGAGAAGGACAACTGAGCAAGACCGAGACCCTGGATGTCCACTTGGGGGCTGGCTGTGGTCTAGTGAGTGGCAGGAATCTGTGTTGAGGATGGGTGGGAGCAGTCAGCAGAGGCCCCCAGAAACCCTGCCCTGGGGGGAAGGGTCTGGAGGTCTTTGGCTGGTGGCCTGGAAGTGGAGGAGGTTGGAGCCTTTCTAGAACATTCATCTAATAACTCACAGGACAATTCTATGACACCATTACCCTCAAGATAAAGTCCCAACTGCCTAACGTGGCTTCAGGGCCCAGGGGAACCTGGACCTTGCTGTGGACTCCTGCCCTCCCCCTGCCCCCCCCACACGTCCCCTCCCCCACATAAACTCTGCAGGGGGTCTGAGCATCTTCCTGCGCTTGCACAGATGCCATCTCTCTTGCCTTTCTTCCTCCCTCTCCATTCTCTTCGCCGGGCTTTCTCCTGCTCATGGTTTAGAATTCAGTTGAGATCCATTCCTTCAGGAAGCCTCCCATCCCCAGGTGGGGGATAGGATTCCCTTCTGCAGGCTCTGAATATACCCCGTACTGTTCCATCAAACTCTCGAAGATGCTGGTCATTTCTCCCCTCAGACTGGGGCACGGGCTGTGTGTTTCTTTTGTTCTCTGGTGTGCACCCAGCAGAAACCCCAGAAATGTTGGGAAAACTGGCCTTGATCTGAGGAGAGAAGGAGAGCTGCTCTGGGGGGGGGAGCTGGGGTTTGCTGAGGACCACAGTGAAAGCTAGTCACAGGCAGGTGAGCCCAAGGAAGGAGATGGGCTGGGAGGAGCTTTGGAGCTCCTTTGTCAAGGCCAGGTTCTCCTGTCCAGTGGACACCCTGAGCTTCAGCTTCCCTTAAGGAGCTGCACAGGTGGCCTTGGGGCGGAGTCAGGAGGATGAGGTGCCACCTGGAGCTCCTGAGGGGCCCCCCAAGCCGGCCCAGCTGAGCCCCAAGCTCTGAGCTCCTCAGCCCTCCTTCGACAGTTCCGCTGCCTCAACTTAACCATCTTGTTTCCTGGCCCCCCCACCATTCTGTGCTCAGCAGGGCAAGAACGTACAGCCCATCCTGAGGCCCTCACTACACGCAGAGACCAAGGAGGTAAGGGGGAAGGGGCAGCTGGAGAGGCCAGGGTCTGTCCCTCGTGCTTCTGGGGCCTGGGCCTCCTAGTCTTTCTCCTTGGCCTTTCAGATCCCTTTTGAGAAGAACTGCGGAGAGGACAAGCAGTGTGAGGCAGACCTGGGGGTGTCGTTCTCTCCAGGGTGAGGCCTGTAATCCCATGGGCTCTTTTGTCCCACTTGGTGTTTTCCTGAGGCAGCTCCCGGGTGTGGGAGAGAACAAGGGGCTTCGAGACAGAACACCCGCATCTGTACTCACTACATGTGTCCTACGGGCCTTAGTTTCCCTCTCTGAGAAATTCCAGTCCCGTGGACCCTCCTGTCAGGATCAGATGAGGTCGAATCCCTCAAAGCCTGTGCACGGGAGCTGATTTCGGTGTATTTATTTCTTCTCACCTGGCTGATCCCTCAGCTCTGACAGCCCCCACCTCTGAGCCTGCTTCTACACCTGGGCCCTTGTGACTTTTGCCGGGTCTTGCCCACAGATCCGGAGTCCTGCGTCTGACCCCCTCTGCCAGCCTCTCCGTGTCGCTGACACTGAGTAACCTAGAAGAAGACGCATACTGGGTCCGCCTCAACCTGAGCTTCCCTCAGGGACTCTCCTTCCGCAAAGTGGAAATGCGCAAGGTGAGCGCCAAAGCATGGCCTGCCTGAGGCCACCCTTGTCCCCACAGCTTCTGCTCCCCTCGAAGAACCTCGGGCAGACAGGACAGCCTGAAGGTGTGGGCAGCAACTGGCGTGCTGAAGCCTTAGGTCCACATCCGGGTTCTCAGGCTGATGGCCACCCCTTCCCTCCGTGGGCTACGGATCCCTCGACCGGTGAGGCTGGGGGCATCTGCAGGGCTAGTGAGAGGGTCCCATGAGTGGAGACTGTGACACAGATTTCGTGAGCTCCAGCTCCCTCCCTCTGAAAGGTGACCAACATGTTTTTGCGGAGTGGCCTAGGTTGTTTTAGATACAACTTTTACTCTGTTAATTATTAGCCCAGAGGTAATGTATGATCACCCCCAGAAAGTTGGAAATCCCAGAGAAGCTTAGAGAAGACTATCGCCCCATATTCTTAAAACCAACAGTTACTGCTTTTAACGTTTTGGTGTTTATCCTGCTGTGTGTCTACGCATGTGCTTATAAATTACATTGCATCTTCGTTCATTCTATACCTGTTTTAACTGATTGGCATTTTGTTCTCATTTGGTTATTTTTCCTCCTTATTTTTAAAACAAATGGTTATTGTGGTAAAATATACATAATAGAAAATTTACCATTTTAACCTTTTTCAAGCACACAATTCGGTGGCATTGAGAACATTTGCAGTGTTGTGCCACCGGCATCTGTCTGTGGAATTTTTCCATCATCTCAAACAGAAACTTTCCATCCATTAAAAGCAATAACTCCCTCAGCCCCCGGTCATCTCTCATCTACTTTTTATCTCTATGAATTTGCCTGCTCTAGATTTTTCACAGAAGTGGAATCATATGATATTGCCTCTTGTGTCTGTCTTCTCCAATTAGTGTGGGGCTTGTGAGGTGGCTTGGGCGAATTTACTTCCTTTTTTAAGGCTAAATAATATATCCATTGTATAGATAGACCCCATTTTTTTTTATCCAGTCATCTGTCTGCGGACATTTGAATTATTCTCGTCCGATAGCATTAAACGCTTCCTCATGGGGCATCTAGTAGAGTGATGAAAAACTGGAGATCTGGAGTCAGACAGACCCCTGTTCCCATTCCTACCAGATCCCTGCCAGGTGACCCAGAGGTGGGACTTGGAGAAGTCACCCGACTTCCCCAAGCCTCGGTCTCCTTATCCAATTCCCTCCCCAATTTGAGACCGAGATCTGTCCTCACAGATGATGATGAAGATGAATGGTTCTGTGCCGCTTAGCCCAGGATCAGGGCTCAAGCTTATTTTTTTTTTAAGATTTTATTTATTTACTTGATGGAGAGAAACAGCCCGAGAGGGAACACAAGGAAGGGGAGTGGGAGAGGGAGAAGCAGGCTTCCCGCCAAGCAGGGAGCCCGATGTGGGTGGGACTCGATCCCAGGACCCTGGGATCATGACCTGAGCCGAAGGCAGACGCTTAATGACTGAGCCACCCAGGCGCCCCTCGAGCTCATTTTTAGAACAATTGCTGACTGTGTAGATCTCACTGTGTCCTCGCCTGGCGCCGAACCATTCCTAGCTCTTTGAACTGTTTGATCACTTCTGGATTTTCACAAAGATACACAGCACTACAGTGAACATCTCTGAATGAAGCCTCTGGCTGTGCCCCTGATTCTCTGCCCCACCCCCAACCCCGAGAATGGGCCCCCCCAGGGACAGAGCAGAGGGTGTGAGCCCTGAGGGTTGGTGGCCTCCGGGAACCTTGGCCTTGCCCACTAAGAAGTGTGTTCCTTCTCTTCTCACCCCCCAGCCCCACACCCACATACCCGTGAGCTGTGAGGAGCTCCCTGAGGTATCCAAGCTTCTGACCAGGATCCTTTCTTGCAATGTGAGCTCTCCCATCTTTAAAGCAGGCAGTTTGGTGAGTGTCTCAAGCTCCACAAGCCTCCAAGGGGCCGGGCAGAGGTGGGGAGGGAAGGGAGTAGGTAATGGGTAAAGAAGCCCCCCACCCCGCTCCTACCCCAAAGGGAATGACAGCTTGGACTTTGGAATCAGGGCTTGGGCGCCCTGAGATGCTTCCTTCCTCATTCCCTTCTTCTCCCCTGCCAGGTTGCCATCCAAGTGATGTTTCATACGCTGCTGAACAGCTCCTGGGGGGACTTTGTCGAGCTGCACGCCAATGTGAGCTGGTGAGCAGGTCCCCAGGCAGGCCCCCACGGGCCCCGCTGACCCGGCTCACAGACGGCCACACGGTCCTGGCCACGCGCTTCTCCTAACACTGCCCTCTGCTTTGCCCCCACGCAGTGACAATGAGGACTCAAAAGTCTTGGAGAACAACTTGGCCACCACCAGCATCCCTATCCTGTACCCCATCAACATCCTCACCGAGGAGTAAGTTGAGGGCTGAGCAGCCTACCGCCCTTTCCTCCCACCTCCACCTCCTTACCCGGGGCTCAGCCTCACCTCCCAGGGCTCTCCTTCAGAGCCTCCCCCTTTCCTCGGGCCCCCCAGGGGTAATCAGAACTGCTTCCAACCACAAGCCCAAGAGTTTTCAACACCCAGAAGAGCGGAGGCCCTTTAAGAGTTCTGAAATCAGCGGTTTGCTGATAGAGGAAAAAGCACATGGAGGGTTGACCTTATCAGCCCCTTGTGGGGCAGCTGTGCCTCCCTCCACGTTACCGCGGAACAGGCAGGCTCAGAGAAGGGGGAACCTCCCCCAGAGGCGTACAGCTAAGCAGCATGGCTGCTGGTGTCCGAATTTGGGTCTAAATGACCCCAAAACCCCATGCTAAATGCAGCCCCTTCCTGGAGGGACCTGGAAGGGAGAAGGAGAAACTCTTCACAAGTCTTCACAAGGAGAAGCCAAGGTCATGTGTACACAGAATAAGAGAGTCTCACAAGACTACGGCAGGAAGGACCCATGGGGATCACCAGTTGGATTTTCTCATTTACAGAAAAGGGGATGAAGCTCAAAAAGCAGAGTAGCTTTCTCCAGTTGGCTCAGGGAGAGGACAGGGACAGTGACTGAGCCAAGGTCTCTGGTACTTTTGAACGCAAATGCTAAACACAATGATATTGTCTGAAGTGTGGTATGAAATTAGAGCCAGGAGAAGTGATTTGAGTTGGAAGAGAGATGGATTCACGGAGATGTAGGGGCTTGAACTGGGGTTTGGAGAATGAAGGGGTTCAGATAAGGGCCAGGGAAGTGGAAGGACGTTGTCGCAATAGAGAAAAGCATGGGCGAAAGGAGGCAGCAGATAGTGGGGTGGGTTTGGGGAACAGGGAGTGTGCAGGCACAGGGGACAATGGATGTGGGGTGTGCAGCGGGTAGGTCTGGACATGGGGGGTGCTGTGGGCTGACCCTTGCGGGCAGCAGGGGGCCATCGGCGGATTCCGAGCAGGTAGATGGCAGGATCAGACAGTGACATTAGGAAGGTCATTGGAAGGATGAGATGGCGAGGGAGCCAGAGGCTGGTGCCGTTGTGTGGGAGATAAAGGACCCAGAGGACAGTGGAGACCCTCATGGGGCGGGGGGGACCTTGTGTGGTGGGGAGCACACAGCTCCAATGCACATCCGCCTGGGTTCCAGCCCTGGCCCTCCACAGCAGGATGCTGGGCAGCAGACGGACCCCCTTCCACGAGCCTTACTTTCCATAAGGGAAACAGCAGAGCGCTGGGTAACAGGAAAGCATGCCTGCATGATCCTTGGGGAAATCCCTCGGAGGCTTCCCCTGGCTAGGGGTCCCTGCTCTGCTGGAGATCCAGTCCTTGTCTTCCCCTTTCTACCTCTGCTCTTCCCTCTCTCCACAGCAAGGAAAACTCCACACTGTATGTCAGCTTCATTCCCAAGGGTCCCAGGAGCCACTCTGTCAACCACTTCTACCAGGTATGAGCCTCTGTGTGACAAGGCCCTTGGGGGTCACACAATTTTCAGCCCCATCTTGAGGACCGAGGCTGCGGAGACCCAGCCCTGTCCTCGGCGAATCCAGCGGCCTCCACCTCACCCCGTGATCCTTCCTAGAGCACCTCACAGCCTCTGCTGACTTTCCCCAGCCCCTTTCTCCAGCACCGGATACTTCCTCTGTGGGTGAGAGAGAACCTAGATTTTCATGCACACGTTTAATGAGCCACTGCTGTAGTCCGGGTACTTGGCTAGTCGCTGGGGCAGCAGTTACGTAAGTCAGGGACCCTGCCCCCCTCACCTGACCCAAATTTTGTGCCTGGCACTTTATCTCTGTGACCCCCCCACCTGTGATTCTCCCCCCAACCTGTGAAAGCCCCAGAAGGCAGAGGCGTAGCCATTCCCAGCGTACAGATGAGACATGCACAGCACAGAGAGGTCAAGTGACTTGCCAGGTGACACAGCTACTAAAGGGGAAAGGTCAGATTCCAGCACTTATTGAAATACCAGAATTCATGTGTTTAACCTCTGAGTTAATGATCTGTCGCTTCTCAATGCCATATGCTCAGGGCTATAATAGCAATCTTCATTATGGGAAGGAAGAAGAGGGAGGCCAGCCTCTGGGTCTAAAGCTTGAGTGGTCTAAGGCTTTTTTAGAGGTAACCTCTGAGAGAGGAGTAGGTACTGACTCCCCCAAGGACATTCTCATTTTCCTGTGGAAGAAACTGAGGCCCCACAGAGAAACTCTCTTTGCCCAAGGCTGCACTGGCGTCAGGGCAGACTGGCACAGGAGCCCAGCAAGTAAGGGACCCCAGCCAGTTAGCCCCTTTAGAACAGAGGCAGGAGCCATCTGACTTGGATACGATGACTTCCCCCCTGGGGAGGTCAGGTGCCCATTTGCACAGAGAATGGCCACTAGGCTTGGTTTCTAGTGCTATTCACTGGGATGCCTCCGGGTTCCCCAAGGAGGTTGGCAGACTAGTCCTTTTACCAGTGGAACAGTGGGGAAGATTTGGGCAGGTGTGGATCCAAGCCCCAACTCTACCCTTCGATCTCTGTGTGATCTTGGGCCAAGGGCTTAACTGTTAACTGTTAACTGCTGTGACACATGGCGTTTGGAAGAACTTGCAGGGGTTGGTCGTGAGGGTGAAGTGGCTTACTTACTCCACGTGGGGTGCTTGGCCCAGTGCCTGGGAAGTGGTGATGGTTAATGGCTGGGGCCGGTGTTCTACGCTGGCTGCAGATTCCCCAGCGACTGTGGAAGCCTGTTTCCTTCCTTGCCCCACTCCTCTGGGAACTGACGCAAACCCTTTGCGCTCCCCGCCACCACACACACCCCATTTCTCTCTCTCTCTCTCTCTCTCTCTCTCTCAAGTCAGCCTGGCCAGATGCCTCCAGCCCCCTCCAGCCACCTCAGCACCCTCCAGCATCTCGAGCTCTGCCTTTGGCTGCCTGGCCCACCGCTTGGCTCCTCTTGCTAAAGGCCCTAATGATCTCTGTTTTAACTAAACCCAGCTCAGCGTGGGACACTGGTGATCTTTCCCTCTTGCCATAAGTTCTCCTGTTAGGCTTTTTTTTTTTTTTTTGCCACAGGGAGGTCACCTGGGGTCTTTTGTAAGCTCCACAGGCTGGGTAGTCCAGTGCCAGCGGGGGTCTGCTTCCTCCCTTTCCTTCCCCTCCTCTCTCCTGGCCGGTTAGGACACATAAGCTTCAGCCAGCCTGAAAGCTTTTTGAAGCTCTGCGATTTCCAGCTGTGTGGCCTTGGGCGGTTTGCTTAGCCTCGCTGAGCATCAGTTTTTCAGTCAGTAAAATGGGGATAATAATCGCACCTACTTTATGGGGTTGTTAAGAGGAAAAACAGGACGATGCATGTGAAGTGTTCTGCATAGCGCTCAACACGTCAGCCAGCAAAGCGGTGGCTGCTTTGAGGCTTGTTCTCACCCTCATCCGAGGAAGGTGATGGAACACCGTTGTCCCAGTCTCGGGAGGCCCAGCCGGGGATCAGGTGCCAGCTCTGCTCCCCCATCACTTCAAACAAACCAGTCTCCCTGAACCTCAGCCAACCCCTCTGTGTCTCAGGGATGACAGCGCTGCCCGGGGCCTAGATCCAGCATTCAGCGACCACCTCGGGGGCCCGCACGCTCGCACCGCTGCCCACCCCGCCGTCTGAGTCCCCCTGCAGCTCCCAAGTCCACACTGTGACCCTCCGGCTCCTCTGTCCCCCGCAGCCTGTCACTGCTCTCCACCAGGATGTCTTCAAACATCTTTTTTTTTGGTCATGATAGAATGAGATACAAGTCACAGTCCGTATGATTTACCTGCTTCTTAAAAAAAGATTTTATTTATTTATTTCAGAGAGAGAGAGAGACCACACAAATGAGGGGGAGGGGCAGACAGAGAGGGAGAAGCAGATGCGCTGCTGAGCAGGGAGCCAGATGCAGGGCTCAATCCTAGGACCCTGAGATCATGACCTGAGCAGGAAGGCAGAGGCTTCATTGACTGAGCCACCCAGTCGCCCCTGATTTATCCGCTTTTAAAGCGTACAGATCCAGGGCACCTGGGTGGCTCAGTCCCTTAAGGATTTGACTTCAGTTCAGGTCCTGATCTCAGGGTCTGGGTTCAGTATTGGGGTCCTCTGCTCAGTGGGGGAGTCTGCTTGTCCCTCCCCTCTCCCTCTGCCCATCCCCCAGCTTGTGCTCTCTTTGTCTCTCTTTCAAATAAGTAGACAAAATCTTTAAAAAAAATAGTGTGCAGTTCAGTGACTCTTATATTTGCAAAGTTGTACGACCATCACCACAATCTAATTTTAGAAGATTTTCATTATTCCAGAAAGAACCTTCACATAGGGGAGGAATCCTACAGTACCGCGTCTTTTGTGACGGGCTTCTGTGGGTTCCCAGGGTGTTTTCGGGGTCATCCGCGCTGTAGCCCAGGCCCATGCTATGCTCTTTTTTCTTGCCAGATAATATTCCACTGTGAGGTAGGCCGCGCTAGATTTGTCCGCTCGTCTGCTGGTGGACATCTCGGTGGTTTCCACTTTCTGGCTTTTATAGACCGTGTTGCTTGAATGTTCCTGCCCAAACTTCGGTGTTGACAGGTTTTCTTTCTCTTGGGTATATACCTAAGAGTGCAATTTTTCCTCCTGAGGCTTTGACTCAATGTGTTCTAAACCAAGTGTGTCGCTTTCTTCTAAGCCAACACCACCTCAGGGGTGCTCAAAACCACCCTTTTCTTCAAGTTAAACTTCCAAGTCTGGATGAGTTTGTCCTTCCTCCATGCGTGGCCCCCGCCTCAACTTCTAGTCCGTGTTCTCTTGTCTCCTTGGCCCCCACGACCGCTCAGACTCTGGCCCCTCATCTTCTTGCTGCTGTTGGCACAGGCTGCCGGCTTGGACCTCGGCCTGCTGTCCCCACTTCTTTCTGTTCTAGGCCTGCTGTGAGGGAGCCGCCCGGAGCCTGCCCTCCTCAGCTAACTTCTGTGACTCACCATTGCCTAGTTGAGGGTCCCCTGATTTCTGGTCTTAGGCCTTCTGGTCACACAACCTCACCTCAAGCTTCCTTTCCAGACATGTGTCCCACCTCTCTGTCCCAGGCCCCAACCTCCCTCCGTGTCTCACTCGCCTGGTGCTGTCCTGACTCCCTGCATTTTCGCTTCCTGGGGGCCTCCCCCCATCTTCGTCTGTTCCACTCCTCTCAGTCTTCTATGGTTAAATTCAAAGGCCACTCTGAGGTAGGCCTTTTTAATTTAATGGACCTGATATTTTTCAAGCGTCTGCAAATGTTTGTCAAGTGACCCATGGTAGAACCTTTCAGATTGGCTCTGAGATTCCCTGCTCGGCCTCCCTGAGCCGTTCTGTGGTGCTGCTCCTGAGTTACTCCTTCCCGGCTTCTGGATCTTCCAGCCCTCGCACAAGCTCGCTCTCTCATCTAAAGGGCACTCAGGCCTTGTTTCTTAAATCAGTTCAATGCCCTCACCAAAGCAAGTCCTTCCCAACCTGCATTGTGCAAACAATTTTCGCATCTATGCTTGTTAAATGCCCTTCCTTCTTTCTTTCACGCATTCGAACATTGACTTTTCGGGAGGCCCGCTGTGTGCTAGATAGTGCATCAGGCAGCAGGGAGTCGTCAGCAAAAGGAGCCACAGCTGCTGCCCTCACGGAGCATGTAGCCCCTGGACAGACAGACCCATGTCCTGCTAAGGACGCAGAGCACTGTGGGAACATGCAGTGGGGATAGGGGGGCGCTGCCCTCTCCTTGGGGAGTCAACCGATCACCTTGAAGGTTTGCCCTCGGAGAAGGCAGAGAGGCACATGTAGCCCGCAGGGGCAAGCTTCGAGGACGAGCTGTCCTTGCCTGCCGCCTGGCAAAGAGCAGGCCCTCAGGCCTCAGCCAGTGAGCGTTGCCTCTGGAGGGGTGGCCGGCATTTAGGGCTCTGCTGTCCCATGTCCTCTGTCCTAGGTGAGGATTCAGCCCTCTGTCTACGACCACAACGTGCCCGCCCTGGAGGCCGTGGTTGGGGTGCCGGGGCCTTACAGCGAGGGGCCCATCACACACGAGTGGAATGTGCAGATGGTAAGTAGCCATGGCCCAGGGGAAGGAGGGACACTCGGGTTGGTGGGAGTGAGCTCATAAGAGGGGTACAGACGTGTGGGAAGGGAGTGAGGAGGGATGCGTCCTGTTGGGCTCAGTGATTTCTGAACCTGCCAAGAGCCAGTGGGAGTGTCCTGGGATGCTCCGGAACTGAGGAACGGAGAGGGAGGCCACGCTCTGGCCTTAAGGGGCCAGCGTCCTCCCTCTCTGCTCTGGACTAAGCGAGGACCCCATCTCATCACTCCTAGGACTCTCCTGTGACCTGCTATCGTGAGGATCTGGAGAGGCTGCCCAGCGAGGCTGAGGTCCGGTGGGCTCAGAAGTTGGGGTGGGGGCCGGCAGAGTGCAGGTGGGAAGACAGGCCTCTCTGACCCCCGCTCTCTTCCTTCTCAGCAGCCTTGTTTGCCCAGAGCCAAGTTCCACTGTCCACTTGACTTCAAGGAGGAGATCCTCGTCCGAGTGACCGGGACTGTGGAGCTGGTGGGGGAGATCAAGGTTAGCAGCTGCTGGCAACAGGTGCAGTGGGTCGGGGGTGCTTGAGGGACAAGCAGCAGACTCCCCACCAGATGGGCTTCCTACATTTTTCTTTATGACCCTGATGCAAAGCCCTGATCTTTTCACAGCAGCCGATGAAAGACATCCGTGATTTGCTTGGAATTTGCCAGGCGGTTTTCCTGGGCCTACGGATGGTTCTTCTGGGTTCTTTGTAGGGAAAATTTCCTTCCAGCAGTGGGGCGTGGCCCCTTAGGATGCTCCAGTGGAGAAATCAGTAGCCGTGGTGCTCCCCACCAGGGCCTGTTCTCCTCAGCTTCTCCCCCTGAGTCAAGGTGGGGTGCAGAAGTCAGCAGGTTCTGGTCCTTGTTTTCCCCGGCCTGACGTCTCCCACTCTCCTCCACAGGCCCCCTCCATGTTCAGCCTCTGCAGCTCCCTCTCTGTCTCCTTCAACAGCAGCAAGCATTTCCACCTCTACGGCAGCAACGCCTCCCTGGCCCAGGTAGGGCTCTGGCTTCTCAGAAGCCCCGGGAACAGAGGTCGGTGGAGGGCTCTGTAGAGCCCCGGGGGGCGGAGTTGGAGGAGCTAGAGCAGAAGCCAGAGGGCCCCCGGCTGGGCCCAAAAGGAAGAGCTTCCGGGCAGTCAGAGCGGTTGGTCTTGGCGAGGGCCGTGGAGGGCAGTGCCATGGGCTCCCTGCCACCACCGGTGGGCAAGCAGTCAGGCTATGAGGTCACCCGTCTGATGAGATGCGTCAGGCAGAGATCAGTGTGTTGGCAGCTCAGCAGAGGGTACCCACCCCCTGCCCACTCGGAGCGTGACAGGAAAGTGCTCTAAGCAGAACAAGCAGTGAGCATGGGGGCTCAGGCCACCCAGGCAAGAGGGTGGCAAGGCGGTTTGCAGAGCAGGAAGCTCGGAGCAGGGGAAGGGAAGCTGCCCCTCATTAGGTAAGCCTCAGCCAGGTTCTGGAAGGTTTGGCATGCTGGGCCGAGATTCTGACATTTCATTCTGGCCTCAAGACAGCTACATCAGGGCTTCCGCTGGGTCATGTGCATGTCTGCCTGCTGGCTCCCGGGGCTGCATGGTGTGGGGTGGGGGTGGGGGTTCCCTGGAGGGAGGCATCCAGGCCAGCCTGGCAGTGTGGGGCAGCAGTCCTGACCAGAGCCGCGAAGACCTAGCCATTCACAAGCATGTCAGAGGTGGGAGAGCCTTCTCATGTCCCCAGCTCTCCGCCTGCAGGTCCTTATGAAGGTGGATATCGTCTATGAGAAGGAAATGCTCTACGTCTACGTGCTGAGTGGCATCGGAGGGCTCTTGGTGCTGCTGGTGATTTTCGCCGTTCTCTATAAGGTGGGAGCTTCTGGGAGCCACGGGCCTGCCTTAGACAGCCAAGCTGAGGAAAAGGGTTTCGCAGGAGTCAGGGCAGAGACTGTCAAGATCCAGGACCGTTAAAGATCAAGGTGGCCTCGGCCCACTCCCTCCTTCCACAGATAAGGCTCATGAAGCCCCAAGAGCAAACAAGACTTCCCCCCTATCCCTCCACCAGGTGCTGGCAGAACCAGGACTGGGTACCCAGGGAAGGAGGGGGCGCCCACGACTCAAGGGCCGGGCCCTGGGACACAGAGAGACATACCACAAACATGGTCCCTGCCTTTGGGACACTCACAGTCTAATGGTGGAGACAGGCGCACTGTGGGGGCTCACAGTCTAATGGTGGAGACAGGTACACTGTGGGGGCTCACAGTCTAATGGTGGAGACTGGAGCACTGGAGAGGGGAGCTCCCAATCTAATGGCAGAGACAGGCACACACATGATAAGGGCTCCACTCAAAGGCCTGTACGCTGGAACTTCACTTAGGCTGGGGGAGTCTGGGAAGACCTCCCAGGAGAGGAGGCGTTTGAGTTGGGATTTGAAGGAGTCGCCAGATGAAGAATGCCGGAGGACAGATGTTCCATAAGAAACCCTCAAATCCTCCAGAAAAGCACAGAAAATCAGTTTCTTCTTGTTGCATTCCCCCAGGGTCGTCATTAACAACCATTTGGTTTCTGTTCTTCCAGGTTCTAATTTTGTTGTTTAAATATGTGTATACGTGTGAGCATGAGAGAGGCAGAGGGAAAAAGTCAGCGTCTGTGTATATAGGTAGAAAACATAAAAGGGGGGCGCTTGGGTGGCCCAGTCAGTTAAGCCGCTGCCTCTGGTTCAAGTCATAATCCCGGGGTCCTGGGATCGAGCCCCGCTCAGCGGGGAGTCTGCTTCTCCCTCTCCCTCTGCTATTGCTCCCCCTGCTTGCGTGCTCTCTCTCTGTCTCAAATAAATAAATAAAATCTAAAAAAACAGAAAAGAAAAGAAAACGTAAATGGAAGGATCCCATATAAACTGCTCAGGAGCTTGGGTTTCCCACCGAGTATTCTGTGCTGCTGTCTCTCCGCGAGAGCACGCTCACATCCACCTCTTGCTCTGTAACCTGCGCTGGTTTGCCACTGTCCAGATGCCCCGCCTTTTCTTTAATAAGATCCCCACTGATCAACATTTAGATTATTTGTAATTTCTACCTATTTTTTTAAAGATCATTCATTTATTTACTTGAGAGCGAGCTGGGCGAGGGAGAGCACAAGCAGGGGGCGGGGGGGCAGAGGGAGAGGGAGAAGCAGACACCCTCTGAGCAGGGACACCCCCAACCCTGACTCGGGCTCCATCCCACGACCCCGGGATCATGCCCCGAGCCAGACGCTTCATGGACTGAGCCAGGCAGGTGCCCCTAATATCCACCTGTTTTAAACAGTGACCGAAAAAGGCTCTTGGCTCCCACATCTTTGCGCACTTGTCCAAAAGCTCTTTAGAATTAGTTGCTGGAGCTGGAATGGCTGAGCCAAAGAACATACATGTTTTGGGGAAAAAAGAATATGTATGTTCTGAGCTTTCAACAGAGAGTACGGGACCCGCACTAAGCGCTATGGGAGCGCAGGCCCTTCTGTTAGTGTTACTGGATATTGTCAACCTGCCTGCCCCAAATATTGGTCCAGGACACTTTGACGAGCCTGAAGAATGAACTGTTGAGCGTTCAGCTTCTCGGCATGTTGTCAGGAAGCCGGTGTGGCAGACGCCTCGCCCCAGCCCTGGAGCGGGTACCATGTGTGACTCATGACCATGGGGGCCCTTTCATGTTTTGCGAGGCCGACGGGCCCAGAGTGTTCCATGGTCCTTGTGCTAACTCCGGTTTTGTTTTCCTGCAGTTTGGCTTCTTCAAACGGAACCTGAAGGAGAGGATGGAGGCTACTGCGGAAGCTTCCAACGGAATCCCTGGAGAAGCCTCTGACCAGCCAGAGTCCATGGAAGAGGCTGGGGACCCGGGCTGCCTGGAGCCCCTCCACGAGGAGGAAGCACAGGACGGAGGTGGCAAAGACTGAGGCCCAGGCCCGACGCAGAGCGCCCAGGACTGGACTCGGGAAGCCTGGGGTCCCTCTGCCTCGACCTGTGTCTCGCTGTGTGTCTTCGGGCAAGTCACTGCCCCCACCCAGGTCTCGGTGTCGCTGTTTTAACACAGAGCTCCCTCCTGGCTGCCTGCTCTGCGGGCTCCTGGTCAGGGTCCATGAGCGATGGCCGGGCAGGCCACAGAGGGCAGGCCTTGTCCTGAGCAGCTGGCTCTGGCTTCCCCCGGTTCTTCTTAGTACCCTCCCCCAGAAGAGGATATCCAATCTAAATCTGGAAGAACTGTCATCTCAGGACCTAGCGACCCGGCCCTCACACCCACCTGCTCTTGGATGTCCCCAGAGGCCTCAGACTCCCAGAACCTTCAGTTTCCTGCCTGGACTCCAGTCAGCTTTCCGTCTGCTGCCAGAGAGCAAACCTGATCTGTGTCACTACAGTGCTTCTACAAACCCCTGGCTCTGGGGCTGGACACTGGCTTCCTTACCATGCCTTCCAGAACCTGCAGAATATCTCTAACATGCCAGGGTTGCCTTCCTGGCCTCCTCCGGAGACTCCCCGCCTCCCTTCCTGAGCTCCAGTTACACCTGCCTTCCTCAGGAGCCAAGCTCCTTCCTGTCTCACTTGCCTTCACCCAGACTGTTCCTTCTGCCTGCAACATTCCTCCCTAGCCCTTTCCCTGGCTCTCAGTCAGCCTTCGGCTCTCAGCTCCGGGAGAATGGCCTCAGGGTAGCCCCTTGCCCCCCACCCCACAAGGGTGTTCTCCTTTCCCCTATTACACAAGCTTCCTTTCGCCTGCACTCTCCCTCATAGCGCAGCTCATGTTTGCTACTTAATGTTCCTCTCTCAAATCCAGCCATGGACTCCATGGGGGTAAGGACCATACCGGTCATGTTCACCTTGGAGATGTCACAGAGCCAGACACAGTAGGCGGCTGCCACAATTTCAGCGACCTAGTGAGGGTGCCTGTGAGAGGATTGAGAAAACGTTTGGGTGAGCTCGTGACATCTTCCCCCACTTCAAGACTCGGTCTTCCCCGGGCTCCTGTCCCCTTGCTCCAACCCCCCCACCCCCACCCCAGATGCCTCATGACCCATCTCGGCCACCACTGGGAGGCTATGAGCTCAAGGCAGAGTCTGTCCATCTGGCTCCCGGCACCAAGCACAGTGCCTGCCTCTGTTTACCCAGTAAATGTGAAAATCCATCCAATTTTGTGATGTTTTTATGCTGGTCCCCCATTTCAGCCTGGCTCAAGGAAATGAATATTTCCTTCTCAACCTTTTCTCTAAATGGGACCCAAACGGCTGTTTCCTCTCTCTCTCTCTCTCTCTCTTTTTTTTCTTTTCTTGTTATGACAACGCTCAGAGACTGATCTGCAGGAGGCACTGACAACTCATTAAGGTGTGAGAGCACACCCTTCCTGGTCTTTTTAAAAACAACAATAACAATTGGTGGGGCTTGATCCTGAGGCCCCCATCTTTAGGAGGGGGTGCGGTCCTGCTCCTCGATGCTGCCCTCTTGTGGTCAGTAGAACCCCCAGGAAGGGGGTGGTTTTAGGGGTAGAAATGGGGTAATTCTCAGCCCAGCTCTCTGGGTCCAGCACTGGACGCTGAGAAGCAACCTATGGTCTCCCAAGCAGTGACCTTTGATGGCTGCCTTCTGCCTACAGGGGAGTAAACGAACATTCTCAAGCCTGGCACACAAGGCCCAGAACAGTATTTCAAAGCCTGCTGGCCTCTTCAACCTCATCAACCCCCTTCTGGTCCAGCACCCAGGGAACCATGGGGCTGGCTCTTAAGGAAGACCTCAGGAATGAAGAAGTGAGGCCCATTTTCCCAGAGAGAAGGGGAAAGAATGTTCTAAAGGGCAGGAATATCACAGAAATGCTAAAAGTACGCAGTTATCTGTAGGTTTCTGAAATTCTGTTGGCTCCTATGGATTCATGCAGTATTTCTTGAAAGATCTGTGTCAGGGCCTGTTCTGTGTCCCAAGGGCACGGTAATGAACATGACAGACAAGTCCCTGCCCCCAGGAAGCATCACCCCAGTGGGAAAGCAGAGTGAAAAGGTAGAAATGTGATTCCAGGTGTCGAGGAGGCTGTGAAGAGGGTAAAGCAAGATAGCAGGTTGGAGAGGGATTGGGAGGGTCCTCTCACATTGGTGATGCTCTGTGACACACACACAAAGTGTGAATATTTTCATCAGGGATGGGAGCAAAATAGCACAGAAAATCTGGGAGGTTCGTTTCAGGAACCTACCCTCGTCCTGCCCAGGAGTCTATATCCCGACTCGCTTAACAGCCCCCGTCCTCAAATACCTATGTGTCCTTCCCCGCCTGTGTCTTTGCAAATGCTCTACCCCTTTCCACCCTGTCCAGGTCCACCACCCCCTTCTATCCTTTAAAATCTTCCTACTTCAAAGCACTTCCAAGCTTTTCTCATCCCCTCAGCTCCTAGACAAAATGATCCATTTCATCTTCACTTAATACCCCATCAGAACATAGGACACTGACTGTGTGGGCTCCTCTCTCGAGACTGGGAGGTTCTAGAAGGCAGGATTCAGTCTTTGCTCACTTGTGTTACCAACACTGGCCCCTCATCAGGGCTGGCAACAGAAAAGATGTCCAAATAAGTGTTTGATTCGGTGGCCTTCACATGTTTTGGGTTTAGGACCCCTTTATACTCTGAAAAATTAAAGATCTCCAGAGTTTTTGTTTATATGGGTTATACCTCGTGGTGTTTATCCAATTCGAAATTAAAATGGAGAAAAACGTAAAACATATGGACACCCAAACCCACATGATCCACAAGCAGTCAGAATGATGACATATGTTCTCATAGGCCATGTAGCCTCTAGAAAACACCATCCCCGTGGCACAAAGTGAAAAAGGAACACCTTAGTATCGCTGGGAAATAGTCAAAACTAATCAGCCAGCTGGAGTCCAGGCTCTGCTGCTTCGAAGCTGTGCCCTGTGGGGCTGTCACTTACCCTCTCTGGGACTCGTTTCTTTATCTGTAAAATGGGAATAATTGTCTATCGCTCAGAGCTGTCCTGAACATGATGTAACACTTGCGAATGGTCTGGAACTTTTGGAAGCACACCTGTGCTTGATAAAGGTGAGGAATAGAAAAAAAAAAAAGGTGAGGAATAGAAGTGGTTTATTGTGGGGATGTCTAGGCGGCTCAGTTGGTTGAGCATCTGCCTTCGGTTCAGGGTCCTGGGATCAAGGCTCCTTGCTCAGTGGGGTGCCTGCTTCTCCCTCTGCCTGCCACTCCCCCTGCTTGTGATATCTCTATCTCTCCCTGACAAATAAACAAAATTATTTATTATTTATTATTTATTTATTTCTATTTTATTTATTTATTTTATTTTATTATTATTTATATTTTTATTTTATTTTATTTATTAATTTTTTGAAAAAGTAGTTTAGTTGGGCAGGACAGTGCTGTCAAAGCAGCACATCAGACTGCAAGTCAAAAGACCTGGCACTGGTTTTTCACCGTGACCTTGAGAAAGATGTGTGCCCTTCTTGGGCTTGACCTTGAGAAAGATGCATGCCCTTCTTGGGCTTGCTCTACCTGGGATCTGGAGGACCTCAGGAGCTGTTATGTGGAAGAAGGGTGTGTCAGCTGAGCAGCTGAGCCCCGCCCCCCACCCCCCACAACCTGCTTTAAATACCAAGGTTCCTAAGTAGCAAACAGGCAACTTCATCAATGAAACACTCTAGGCTGTGCCTGGGGCCTCCCGGCTTTCAGTGGCCTTCAAACAAGTTTGGGAGCTGGGAAAAAAAGTCACCTCCAAACTATGAAAATTAAATTGTATAATTGAAATAAATGTTAAAGTAAATGTAATATGTCGGTAGTCAAATACATTTCTATTTAACATTTGTAGTTCCATACATGAACTATATTAAATTTGGAGTATTTTAATATTTGAAATTACATGCAGTAGGGTACCTATACAAGAATGTGCATAAAGTTTACACAGATCTTTAAAAGACCAAGATATTTTACTTGAAAAATAATGTTCTACTTCCAAAAATAATTAAAACTTAAAAAAAAAAAAACACCAAACACAGGGCGCCTGGGTGGCTCAGTGGTTTAAGCCTCTGGCTTTGGCTCAGGTCATGATCTCAGGGTCCTGGGATCCAGCCCCGAGTGGGGCTCTCTGCTCAGCAGGGAGCCTGCTTCTCTCTCTCTCTGCCTGCCTCTCTTCCTGCTTGTGATCTCTCTCTCTGTCAAAAAAAAAATAAAATCTTTAAAAAAAAAAAAAAGGCACCACCAAACACAACCAAACTGTGTTGATCTGTGTGATTTCTTTTTTTTTTTTTTTCAAGATTTTATATATTTGTCAGAGAGAGTGCACACGAGCAGGGGGAATGGCAGGCAGAGGGAGAAGCAGACTCCCAGCTGAGCAGATAGCCCGATGCAGGACTTGATCCCAGGACCCTGAGATCATGACCTAAGCAGAAGGCAGACCCTTAACTGACAGAGCCACCCAGGCGCCCCAAACTATGTGACTTCTAAGGCTCCTTTCAGAGCTTGCAGAACATAAGAGGCTAGACAGAAACATCCTTAGAGGGGTGCCTGGGTGCCTCAGTGGGTTAAAGCCTCTGCCTTCGGCTCAGGTCATGATCCCAGGGTCCTAGGATCAAGCTAGGGCTCTGCTCAGCAGGGAGCCTGCTTCCCCCCTCTCTCTACCTGCCTCTCTGCCTACTTGTGATCTCTGTCAAATAAATAAATAAAATCTTAAGAAAGAAAGAAAGAAAGAAAGAAAAAGAAAGAAAGAAAGAAAGAAAGAAAGAAAGAAAGAAAGATCCTTAGAGAAGTTATTTGCTCTTGGCAAGTTATAAGGCCCTGAGGATGGGTGTGGGCCTGGGGGTGACTCAAGGATTTGAGGCCCAAGAGCCTTTGTAGAGCCCTGATTCGCCTCTGCCTATGTGGCCGAGTCGCTGGGACTGATGGAGCCAGGCAGATGTGGTCAGAATGTCTCACCTGCCTTCTGTCCACGGAGTGACTTTAAGCAGGTCAGTTATCCCTGAAATGGAATGAAAAAATCTTTGCAGGGCCGTTGGGCCCTTGTAGGCATTCATCTGAAGATGCTCCCGGCAGCTGGGTGATTCCCCTAGGTGTGGCCTGTCCTACTCAACCAAGGTCAAGGCAGACCACACCCCAGGATCCCACAGATTCACTGCAGGTTCCAACTCCCCATTCCTTCCTGAGGGCCACGTATTAGGAGGGATGAGACTCATATAGGAAAGAAAATCAGGATAAAAGTGGGGTGGGAGCAGGGTGATACCAATAGGCCCAGGGGTCCTAAAAAAGAGGCAGAGGTGTGGCAAATCAGGCCCAGCTTGATGGGTGGATCTTAAAGGCTAGAGTCCTCTGATCCTCTCACTGGGTCCCCCGTGTGCCCCCTACAGGTGGGGCCGGGACTCCAGGCACTCTCTGTGGTTCTGGTCATTCAGGGTCTGCATGACGGGAGGACTAGAGGTTCTGGCTGGGGAGGCGAGAGGAGGATGGCACAGCTAGGTGCTGGGAGCCAAAAAGATGGAGCACAGGCTCTATGCCTGGCTATGAGAACAGGGTCTGTTCTCTGGACCAGGACACACCCTGTTTGGTAAAAGGGATATCCCACAAAGTCAAAAGCTTTCTCACACTTCCTACAATGACCTCCCTCTGTGTTTGTGCCGGCTTCAAAGCAGGAGACAAAACTTGGGGATGTATGGGCAGGTTGTGTCTCCTGAGCATCAGATTTTAAGATTCCAGGGAAACTTGGAACATAAAAGCACTTCCTAGACAGGTCCCTAGGGCTTTACCAGCTCTGTGTAGTTATTATCACTGAGTGTCTCCCACTGCCCAGGGCACTGCCCATGTACACATTTTAAGGACAAGTCTCTTTTATCACATAAAGGTTTTTATTGAACTCAAATTCAGGGGCTCCAAAGCCTGAGGAAGACAAGGGAGGCTGGGGTTTGCACTGAGGCAGGAGCCCCCACCCAGGGCCCAATTCCCCACCCCACCTACCCTCACCCCTTCCTGACTCAATGAGGGTCTCAGTAGCTACCAATCTAAGCTACCCCACTCTAATTAAGTAACCCTCCCCCCTCCCCTCCCACCCCCGCCTAGCGCTTTGCCAAGCCAGGCACCTACCAAGGGCCAAGCTGCTGCTGAAGGCCAGATCTCTGCTGACCTCTTTTCTGGATCTCTCCCAGAACCTCCCACTGCCTGCTTGGCCTCTCTCCAACCCCTCTTCAGAGCCCATTTGCCAGAAGTCTCCAGGGCATGTACCTTCCTCCACCCCGGCCCTCAGCTCCTCCATCCTCCCCCAGCATTTCCACTATTCCCTCTAACAATTTCTCTAGCTCCCCGGCCCCTTCTCCTCCGCCCACCGCCTCCCCACCCCACCCCAGGCAGGGCCCCAGGTCAGCGGCGGCCAGCTGCATGGGTCCGCTGGTGGCGGATGAGGTCGGAGCTCTGCGAAAAGGCCTTTCCACAGTCATCGCACTTGTAGGGCCGCTCCCCGCTGTGGACCCGGTGATGCTGGAGCAGCGTGGAGGAGCGGCAAAAGCCCTTGCCACACACGGCGCACCTGTAGGGCCGCTCGCCCGTGTGGGAACGCTGGTGCTGAATCAGCGTGGAGGAGCGGTTGAAGGTCTTGCCGCAGTCGGGGCAGCTGTAGGTGCGGCCTGGCAGGTGGGTGCGGGCATGGATGGCCAGCACCGAACTCTGGCCAAAGCGCTTGCCGCACTCCGGGCACTTGAAGGGCTTCTCTCGGGCGTGGCTGCGGGCGTGGGGGATGAGAGCCGAGCGCTGGGAGAAGCTCTTGCCGCAGATGCCACAGCTGAAGGGCCTTTGCCCCGTGTGCACCCTCTGGTGACTACGCAGGGAAGAGTTCTGGCTGTAGCACTTGCCGCACTCGGGGCAGCTGTAGGGCCGCTCGTGGCTATGGGTGCGCTGGTGCCGCAGGAGGTAGGAGCTGTCGCCGAAGGCCTTGCCACAGTGCGGGCACTTGTAGGGCTTCTGACCAGAGTGGGTGCGCTGGTGGCGAAGCAGGTAAGAGCTGTCGGCGAAGGCCTTGCCACAACGGGGACACTTGTAGGGCCGCTCGCCCGTGTGGGTGCGCTGGTGTTTGATGAGGTCAGAGCTCTGGGAGAAGGCCTTGCTACAGACCTCACATTTATAGGGCTTCTCACCCGTATGGATGCGCTGGTGTTGGATCAGGGTGGAGCCCCGCCCGAAGCTCTTCCCGCAGATGCCACAGATATTGGGCCGAGGGCCCTGCCCACCCCTGGCCCGGCCACCCCGCCGGCCTGGGCCCCGAAGGGACCCTGTCAGGCCCAGGGGATTCTGGAGCATCTCGAACTGTGGTGTGGCCAGCAGGGTCCCTGTGGGCATCTCAAAAGGTGGCCCTAGGGGTAGGCCCCCTGTGGGCTGCTCCCCAAACCCCTGGGTGAAGGAGTCCAAGGGGTGGCCTCCCAAGGGGATGCTCAAGGGGTTCTTTTCCTCGGGATTCAGAAGCACCTCAGCACCTTCCTGGAATTTGGAACTTTGAGCTTCAAATTCAGGGCTTTGGGTTTTGAACTCGGGATTCTGGGGTTCAAATCCCGGGCTCTGGGATTCATATGCGGGGCTCTGGGGTTCATACCCAGGGCTCTTGGGTTCATACCCAGGGCTCCGGGGTTCATATCCAGGGCTTTTGGGGTCATACCCAGGGCTTTGGGGCTCATATCTAGGACTTTGGGTTTCAAACTCAGGGCTCTGAGAACCTGATTCAGGGCTTCTGGGTGCAAATTCAGGGCTTGGGGGCACAAACCCAGGGCTTCGGGACTCAAATCCTGGGCTTTCAGGCTCAAACCTGGGGCTCTGGTGTTCAAACTCAGGGCTTTGTGGCTCAAACCCAGGGCTCTGGGGTTCAAGCCCAAAGGGTATCTCTTCGACCTCATAGTCCCCACTGCCTTCTTGTTGAGACATTTCTTCTTCCTCATTCTCACTCATGTTGCCTGCAGGATCAGAGAATTACAGAAAATCCAGGTAGTGTGGGGCCTGGAAGGTCATTTGGTCCCACCACTAGTTGCCACAAACGTCTCCCTTTCCTCCAGCAGGGTCGCTAGCCCTTGAGCAGGTGCTGAAATTCCCACCTCCCCCTCCGCGGACCCAGGACGTCCAGTCCCCGCCCCCGCTTCCTCCAAGTCCCAGGTGTCCCCCCCCCCCCCCCCCCCCCCCCCCCGGCTCCCAACGGCCCACAGCCCCCTCTCCCGCTCCCGTTCCCAGGCACGCTCCTCGGAAAGGCGCTCTCTCCCTCACCTTTGAGAGACCCTTCGGGGCTCCCCAGTTCGTCGGGGCTTTGCACATCCCCGGGCTCCAGGCCCCACGGCGACGCTTCCCGTTCCATCCCCGCCGGCTCCCAGTGCGGCGGCGGCGGCGATGGCGGACGATCCTACGATCAGGCCTGAGTCCCCTGAGACCCGGGCCCTCGCCGCTCGCCTGCTCAGCGCCGCCCAGGGGACCCGGCTGCCCAGCCCGGGCCCCTGAGGCCGGACGTCTTGACCCTGGGCCTCTCTGGCCGGCCGGGCCCCTCCCCTACCCGCGGCCCCGCCCCCACCCCCAAGGTCTCGCCTTGCCCTGGGGCCCTCCAAGGCCCCCGTGCGTCGTGGCCTCAGTGGTGAGGGTCTTCACGACTCGCCCTGCCGCCCCCGAATGCCGCTCCCCGCCCGCGACCCCGCCGTCTGGCCCCCCAGCCCCGGCTGGGCTGCGGCTGTCCGACCCCCTCCCCCCTTCCCCCCCAGCACAGGAAGTGTCCGTCCGAGGCCAGTTTCCCCCGCTGGCTCGCGCCACGGCCTCTCTAGGAGCGGCTGGAGGTGGAAACTCGTTGGCATTAACCCTGGGCTGGATGGCCCCGGCTTTGAGGTGGGGGATGACGAAGAGCCCTGCAGCCAGCGGGAAAAGCTGGGGTGGTTAGTGTGCTCTTTCCTAGGTCTCCGTCCGTCCAGGAGCCTATCTATCCGTCACCCGGGCCCTGCATCCGTCAGTGCCTGTGGCCAAGGGCGAGGCGACAAGCGAGACCAAGGTCAGCACGAAGGAGCGACGCTTCCCGGCGCCAGCGGGGGCGGCGTCTAGCTCCCCTCCCCTCCCCGGCCTTGGGGTGAGCTCCGGCCGCGCCTCGGGAACCTGGACGTACCCCCAGCCTTGAGCTCCTGAATCTGGGACTGCACCCCCCCCCCACCCGAACTCTACTCCTCCTCCCCGGCGCCCCCCCCCCCCCCCTCCACCTCCTCCTGACCCCCTCCCTCTCCGCTCCTCCTAATCTCCACCCTACCCCCTCTGGGAGGGCTAGGATCGTTGCCAAGGAAACAGCTCCGCCTCCGGTTTCCGGAGGCACCGCCCCTACCTCCCAGTGAGTACAGCGATTGGCCGGGGGAGCTCGTCCTCTCGTCGTCCCGCCTCCTCCCCCTACACCAACTGCTAGGCGTTACTGGTCGCCAGGGAACGCGAGGCGCCTTTCTGATTGGATGGGGGGGAGGGCGGGCCGGTTCCACCTCCCCAGCGATCAGAAAGGCCTGCGAGAAGGCTGAGAGGGAGGTTCCCCGCGTCTCCCTTCCAGGGGTCGGCCTGGTGTTTTCAGAACTTTTCCCGCCCCCATTTACCGTTCATTATGTCTTATCTCCCTGAAGAAAGCCAAGGGATCTGGAAAGGGACAACCTTCCTCCCCTGGTCTTCCGCATGCTTCCTTTCCCAGCACTTTCCTTTCTCGCAACAGGTTCCAGGTGCCGAGGGGGCCGGTTGGCGGATCCTCCCGCAGAGGAGGCTGCTTTCTTTTCTATTACTTGCCTATCCCTTCCACCTTTCCCCGAAGTGAGAGCCTTAGTCCCTGGTTCCTGGATTTTCTCCCAGAGAGGCAGGGATCCTATGGGACTTACTTCCAGGTGAGGGGGGTGGTCAAGTTCAGGAGAAGCAGAGAAACTTCTGGCCTTTAAAGGAGCTAAGCTCTCTCCAGTCCTGGCTTGAACAGAAGCTTGTAGAAGGAAACCTAAGAAACACTGCCCTTGGTGCCGCTTTGAATCAAGGGAAAAGTGATTCTGGAAAACAATTCTTATCCCCGTTTTTTACCCTTGCTGCTGAAAGTATTTTGGTAGCGATCTTTGACAATTGATGAGCCAAATTCTCACTGTGTGAGTGATGCAGAGGCCAAGATTGTTTTCTCGTTGCCTTCCCAGACAAATGAAGGAAAGAAACTGGTTTAGGAGGAAAGATGGCACCTTCCATTCTCCTGAAAAGAGATGAGAACAAGAATCTGGAGAATTGCAAGTAGTACGAGCTTAGAGAAAACAGAGGCTTACACAAAGAATCACAATTACCTTCCTACAAATAAAGCAGGAGCACTTTCCTCCCTGCAGAGGAACAGCTTCCAGCTCCAGACCTGTCTCCCACTCCCTATCTGTCCTAAAGCCTTCTGTGAAGAATGGTTCACACCATCCAGCACTAGAGGCCCCACATGGGCAGGACACCCGACATGGGTATGGACTACGGAAGGAGCAGGGCCTGGAGCACCCTTTGGTCATTCCCAAAGCACTCACACAAATGAGAAGCAAAAGTCTCATGAGACTCTTTTCTCTGACCTCCAACCTGCTAACCCACTAGAAGATTTACACAGGAGAGCACAGTGTGTGGCAAGGCCTCCAGCCACAGCTCTGACCCCCGTCCTATTGCCTGCAGCCCTCTCTATGAGGCCCAAATGTAGTGGAAGTCAGGCCAAGGCTGCAGGCTGCTTTGGCACCCACATTACCATGTGGAAAACCAGTCTTCCCAGTGCCCAGAGCAGAAGAGTCGCTGACTTCGGGCAGCCTCCTCCAGCACCAGTCCTATCCACGCAGTGGGTTGGAGAAACAACCGGCCTGCCAACCACTCACCCATTGCAATGAGAGGCTCAAGACCAGGGAATCCTCTGATGTAGGTCCCAGCTTGAGCCGGCACCAGCTAATTCAAGGCTAGAGTCCACTGACCTTATTCTACCACGTGTCCTGGTGAAGAAAAGCTCAGTCGGGGAACCACTTTGTCTGCCGCGTTATTCCTGGTGTGCGGCAGCAATGAGGCCGAGGTGTTCAGTGTGCAGACAAGACTTCTGGTCTGGCCAAATTGACTGACACTTGAACGAAGGTCCTCGGTGTGAGGGGGACTCCTGCGTGAACTGCTCTTTCCCTGTATGCGGACAAGCCCTCTAAGGGACCTTCTGTCAGATGCTACAAGAGACACCCCAGTATATTCAAGAAGATTTGAGGTGCCCAGCAAGAGCTCGGCCATGGCACAGGCCCCTTTGAGAAGAACAAAGAAAATGGGAGTCTTTATATATGGCTAGCTCATCTTCCAACCTCAAGCATTTGCAAAACTAAAAGCAGCTGGAGTGTAATATTTTGTTCAGAGCATCATTACCAGGTATAAGAGTCCATCCCTGGAGATTCTGATTTAATAGTCCAGAGATAGACCCCAGGGAGCTGGCTATGTTTTAAAGTTACTGAGTGGGATTCTGTGGCAGAAAGGCCTTACTTTGAAAAACACTTGCCTAAGGGCACCCGGGTGGCTCAGTCAGTTAAGCACCTGCTTTCAGCTCAGGTCATGATCCTGGGGTCCCGGGATCAAGCCCCACATTGGGCTCCCCACTCAGTAGGGAGTCTGCTTCTCCCTCTCCCTCTGCCCCTTCCCACACTGCTTGTGCTCCATTTCTCTCTTATAAAATCTTTAAAAAAAGAAAAATACTGGCCTATTTGGGTCATGAACATCTTTATACATTCTGTTCTTGGAGAGACACACATAAATATTTAAAAATGTTTAGGAGTCTTGGGGCGCTTGGATGGCTCAGTCGGTTAAGCATCTGCCTTTGGCTCGGGTCATGATCTCAGGGTCCTGGGATGGAGCCCCACATCCCGCATCAAACTTCCTGCCCAGTGGGGAGCCTGGTTCTCTCTACTCCCCTGCCACCCCAACTCTCCCCCTTGTGCTTTCTCCCAAATAAAATCCTTTAAAAAAATGTTTAGGGGTCTTTAAAAGCGCAAATCAACACTTGCCCTTATTTTACATGGCTTAGACTAGTTAGGAATGGGTCATGTGGTCATGACTTTGACCTTTCAATCTGGCCATGTGGATGGGGCTCATTTATTATGGTTCAGACAAGCATTTCTCTTGATGCACCAAGGGAACAGTAGGAAAACCCTCTTCCGGCTTAAAGTGCTTTGGGGTCTTAGCCTTTAAAGACCTATGGTAGCAGAGAGAAGAGGGAGCCCCATCTCTGGTGGGAGTATCCATGCCAAGAAATGAGGAGCTGAGAATGGAGTGAGGCTGAGGCTTAAGCATTTCACTTAATTTCATGATTAAGTGAATTTCACGAAGGATTTCATGATTTTGACACTCAAAAATCAATTAAATGGCAGAAAGATGGGTCACAAGGACAGGAAGCAGAGGAGCTCGGTCTGGTTTGGGGGCCCTAAACGAGCCTTGAAAACTTCAAAGCACTTGGAGAAAAGTAGTAATTATGGTAACTTTAATTGGCAAGCTGAGGGCAGGATCCAGATATGGCTTTGAATTTGACAACTGGTGTTGCAGGCTGGGCTTTCCCCGGGCAGTGCTGAGGGTGAGGCAAGGGAAGGGTTGCACCCTGGCTTCTCTTTAGGGAGTTAAAAGCTGGCACAAAGGTAGTTCCTGTTGCCAAGGTACTTCTTTTCACTGCATGTCTCCCTTGTGACGAGATGGCACCTGAGCCAACCCTCCCAGTAAATGTTAGGGTAAGCCAGGTCCTGGTGGGGTCAGATTTGAAGATTAAATTGATGTCAACTCAGTTGGTTATTTGACCTGAACAGTGTCTTTTCCCCCAAATTTTCTACCTCTTCCTTTAGAAGCTTCTCTGGGTTGACAAATCTGGTTTCTTCCTAAGGTAAGCCAGACAGGATATGGGGTACAGCTGGAGGAAGGCAGGTGCGCACAGACCAGCAGAAGACATAAGCCCCTCCTTGAGGGGGTAAGGGAGGCAGGAACAAGTGTGCCTGTGGCTTGCTGCTTCGTCAGTGGGTCAAGGCTGGACTCTGACCACAGCGGAACTGGGTGGCTGATGAATAATGGAGTCACAAGGGACCTGGCTTGGGAATACAGATGAGCCGTTCCCTTGGCTACTAACCCCAAGTGTTCCTGGCCTTGTCCCTCTTTGTTCACAATGAGATACGTAAAAAGAGAAGAGGGAAGCTCTGCTTCTATTTGCCCTGGAACTCTCATCTCAGGCTGGTTGCTCCCTGCCTTGCTTTACTATGTGGCTGTTCTGTCATCTTGGAACTGGGCTTCACTGGCATTGGGTTGCTCTGTCCCCAGTCCAGGTTCATTGCTTGGGAGCCATCATAGGGAGGGAGCAGATGCCTCCAGAACCCTGGCTGAGACACGGGCAAGGAATTCAGGAGTAGTGTGGCAAAGACAGCAGTAAACCAAGACCCCTGGAGTTTCACTCTGCATGTGACCTTGAACGAGTTGTTTGCCTTCCCCAGTCTCAGAGTCCTCAGATGCAAAAGGATGGAAAAGCTAAGATCTCTTCCAGTTCCAAAATGTGATGAGTCCCTTCTGGCTGGGTGGAGGGTGGCTAAGGCCTGAGCGGTAGGGCTGTCCCAGGGAGGCCCAAGGAGGACTGGAAGGCATACTGAGAGCCTTCGTCTTCAAAACTAGGAACTGCCCATCAGTCCAGAGTCCTCCCGTGGTGGGGCAGAGACACCTCTCGTTTTGGCGCAAAGAGAGCCCTGAGAGCCTCTTCCTGACTGGGCTGTTCTTTCCCAGCTACACGGTTCCCTCCTTGGGCAGTTACAAGGGCAAAATGAATTGATGGACAAGACTTTGTAAACCAGAGAACGTGATACAAGCAAACGTCTGAAATAAAGCCTGCTTTTCCTTCTTTCCAACCGCGCTTTCACACAGGCGCCATTGCCCAGAATCCCTGGGTCAGGGCAACATGAATGCTGTCCACCAGTTTGCAAACTCAAATGGCTACAGGAGCCCAACGGGTCAGGAAAACAAGGGGAAAATGGCCAGCAGAGAGGGCCTGCTGTACCAGGGACAAGGACAAGCGGGGACAAGGGCCAGCTGACACCGGCTGCAAGCTGGGAAGGGCTAGTGGGCAAGGCCAAGCAGCTGCCCTGTACCTCCTGCCAACTGTGCTTTTGTGGGAGCTCGGGTCCGGTTGTCAAATCCTTGGCTTTTTCCAAAGAGGCCAGAAACCTGAATTTTTGTGTGAAATATCCTTTTAAGTCTTAACCATGATCTGTAACATTTTTAAATGTTGGTTGGACCAAAAAGAATTTGTGAAAGGTTGCTACAAGCCAGATTCATGGCCATCAGTTTTTAACTCCGGCAGTAAGACAATGGATACAGCAAATTTCCCTTCTGCCTCAATCCTCTTCACGTGTCTAAGTGGGAAACCAGCTTTTTCTCCCGCACAGCGGAGGTCTTGTGCATGTGCTTAGCTCAGCCCTCACGGAACAGAGGGGTGTCTGGGGTCTGGGGCCACAGGGAGCAAGGTGGCAGCTGATCAAGCTTGTGAAGGCCTAAGAGAAAAGGGTCCTCATTCCCCAGGTCCACCTTTTGCCTGGAATTCTGGGACCTCCTTAGAGCTGCCTCAGAAGTTTCAGGCCCCTGAGCCCAACCTGGGCCTCAGGCAATGTCTAGATCGTCACCCTTTGCCTGGACATCTTTGAGACCATCACCCACACTCCTGGAATATTTCTGGGTAGTGCTGGAAGCCCACAGGTGGGCCCAGGTCCTCTTGGCTGGAGGCCAGAGGCACAGGCAACACACTGGCACCACGGCCCCTGTGCCCCCCGGCGCCAGGCCTGTGGACCCACTGGTGCTTGGCCATGGCTGACTTCTGGCCGAAGCACCTGCCGCACTGAGGACAGGGGTAGGGGCGTTCACCGCTGTGGGTACGCCGATGGGCTGCCATTTCGGAGCTCTGCCGGAAACAGCGCCCACAGTCTGGGCACGGATAGGGCTTCTCGCCTGTGTGCGTGCGAATGTGGCGCCGAAGGTCTGACGCATGCGCAAAGGCGCGGCCACAGTCCGGGCAGGGGAAGGGAGTCTCGCCACTGTGGACCCGCTGGTGCTGGTAGAGGGCAGAGCTCTGGCTAAAGCAGCGGCCGCAGTCGGCACAGCAGTAGGGCTTCTCGCCCGTGTGGACCCTTAGGTGAGTGGTGAGGGCAGAGCGCTGGGTGAAGGCCCGGCCACAGTCCGGGCAGCGGTGGGGCCGCTCCCCGCGGTGGATGGCCCGGTGCTTGCTCAGAGAGGAGGCCTGGCTGAAGCCCTTGCCACAGTCCGGGCAGCGGAAGGGCTTCTCACCCGTGTGCGTGTACTGGTGCTCCACCAGCGTAGAGCGCCAGGCAAAACTCTTCCCACACATGTAGCAGCCATGACGCTGGTCGGCTCTTGGGACAGGGGGGTGAGCACAGAGTTGGGGGCGACTCCGGCGAGGTGCCTTGGACGGCTGCTCCAAGCTATAAGGGAGCCCAGCAGAAGAACTTTGCATTAGAGCCTTCAGTCCAGGAGGCCCAGCTTCCACAGAAAGGCTCTTCTCCAGGGCCTCAGTCCCTTCTCCTTGTCTTTTCTCTTCCTTGTTTCTGGAATCTGCTGGGAGGTAAGGGGAGAGCTCAGACCCTGGCTTATCCTGGTCCTTAAGGCCAAACCTCAAATGGTGACAGAAAAGCCTTCTAGACACAGCCACCTTCTGGACCCACCACAGCCTCTGGGACTCAGCTGGGGACAGGCAGGGAAGCTCGGAGTGACACCTTTTCCTGGGCTGCAGAGGACACAAAAGACCCGGAGACGAAGGAAGGAAGAAAGGAAGGAAGGAAAGAAAGAAAGAAGGGAGGGAGGGAGGGGCAGGCACCATACATTCTGCCTCAGAGCTGGGGAAACGGGAGCAGAGGGGACATTTTCGCTGGACCACGGAGGATGAGTGGAGGTCTCAGGACACTCCAGGCAGCAGGAACAGTGGAGGAGAGGCAGGAAGGTGGCCGGCGTTGACAAGTTCACAGGGAGGGGGTACAGTGCAAGGACAAACGGGAGGAAGTAAACAGTGGAACCCAAGAGAAAGGAGACGCCCACAAAAATACAACAGAAAGAAAGGATACTAAAACACAAGAGGTGGCAGAGAAGCTGAAGTGTAGGGAAGCTGCAGGACAATGGAACACCCCACAGAGCTTCCGGACCAACAAGAACAGAGGGGCACAGATTCGCTGGAGAGGCAGGTAGCTGGGGTCCTGCGCGCTAGCAGAGGCCGGGGCCACACTCCCAGACACTTTCTGGACTGAACCCTGCAGCGAGGCAGGGGCCGCCATGGAAACCTCAGCGGGGAAAGCAATCCAGGGAAGAAAATGAGGAGCAGGGAGGGTGTTGGCCTAGGGCAGCTGGATGGCTCTGGCCCAGAAGCGGTCCCAGGAGACGCAGTCCCCAATACTTCACCTGCGTCTGCTTCTGGCAGACACTCTCCCACCTCCGGATCCCGGGCAGCCGGGCCCCACAGGTCGGCCTCTTCCTCCACCCAGGAGATGAGAGCTGGCTTGGTGCCTCGGAACCCTGGAGGAGGAGAACGCAAACCCCACGCTGCCGGGAGGACAACCCCCGCGCTCCCGGATCCCGGGCTCTCGGGCCTCCCACTGTAGGCGCCCGCCCGGGAGGGTGGGCGGAGTGGGCGGGGATGTGGCCCGGGCGAGCAGGCGGGGCCTCACCGAGCGCGCCCAGGTGGCAGTAGATCTCCCGCATCACGTCCCGGTACAGGGCCCTCTGCGCGGGCCGCAGACAGCCCCACTCCTCCGGGGAGAAGTACACCGCCACGTCCGCGAAGCTCACGGCGCCCGGCCTTCTCCGCTCGCGCGCGGCGCCGACCGGTTCCCGCGCGGGGAGCGGGGTCCGCAGCGGCGACATGGCAAGGGCCAGGCCGGGGTCCGCGGAGCCAGCCGGGCCGAAGCCGCAGCAGCCGGCCCCTCGAGGGCCCACGGCCAAACACTGAGAGCCGCTGGCGGAAGGGACACAGAGCATCGGACAGAAATGGCGGCAACGCGCCGCGCGAACGTTGCTCCTACGCAACCGTGTCCCGATGACGCCTCCCCCGGGGTCTCCAAGTGTCTTTGTCCTCGAGCCCTCAGCCAAAATGGCCGCGACGGCTACCAGTGCGGGAGGGGGTGGCTTTGGGCCACCCTTGCCCTGCGAGGGGCCCGCACCAACCGCCGCACTGGGAGGTGCAGCCTCAGCCCCGCCGGGGTTTGGAGGCGGGACGAGCGCGGCGGGAGGTGCGGGCGGACTCCGCCCGCTCTGCCCCTGTGAGTTTCACGAGACTTGTCGCCGGGAGGTTCCTAAGTGGGTTTCCGGCTTTGGGCCTGTCCTTGGGCGACAGCGCACTTTTCCCAATTTCTCTACTGGAAGCTTCTTCGAGCCTGAAATTCTGGGAGCTTATAGTTCAGGAGATCGTGGGGGCGGCTGGGAGGGGGTTGGGTAAGGTCTGTAAAAAGAAAGACCCACCTTCTGCAGGCTTACTTTCTCCCTACATGCCCTGCAGGAGGCCTCTCAAACATTTGTTTACTTCTAGCTCAAGCCTCGCTCCTAAGCTCTGATCACAGAGCCACCTCCCCCCACCCCCACCCCGCACGAATTCCCACTAGCACCTCGCACTAGGCCGGGCTCCAGCTGAACTCATCATCTCTCTCTTCTCCCTGCGGGCTCCTCCTTGGGACCTTATGAACAAATGGCATCAACGCTCCCTATCCTTTCTACCTCCAGCCTCCCTCTCTCACTCCACACATTTATGGATGGCGTTCTCTGGGTCCCCACATGCCTTCATAAATACTCTACTTTTTTTCTTAAAATTTTTTTTCTTTATTTGACAGAGATCACAAGTAGGCAGAGAAGCAGGCAGAGAGGAGGGGGGGAGCAGACTCCCTGCTGAGCAGGGAGCCCATTGGGCTCCATCCCAGGACTCTGAGATCATGACCTGAGCGGAAGGCAGAGACTTAACCCATTGAGCCACCCAGGCGCCCCATAAATACTCTACCTTAAGAAGACTTGATAATTTTCCTTTGGCTGCCTAAATCACTGCATTTCACATACCTCTTGGAAATGCACCTCCCCTCACCACGTCTGGGGTCTAGTCTGGAGCTTCTCTCTGCTTGCCTTCTTCCAGAGGTCTTCCTGAGGCTTCTGCCTAATGCGTTGTATCTGGTGGATGCTTCTCCCCACACTAGAGGAGCTGGGCAAGTAGAGGTGATCAAAGCAGAAGGGGGAAAAGGAAAAGACAAAAAGCCTGGGAAAAGGTAAGGATGCAGATTTGCCCAGGGATCTGACTGAGCCCTAGTTACCCCTAGCCTCAGGTCCCTGAAGGACACAAGGAGAAAAAACAAAACAAAAACACAAAATTTCAGTAAGAGTAATGGCATTTTATCATGTCATTGCCCACCCTTCACAGTGATGCTTCTCACACACAGGCCTGGAAGAGGTCTGGGTGGTGCTGGAAACTCACAGATGGGTCCGGACGCTCCTGAGGAAGAGCCCAGGGCAGAGTTCACACCCGTGTGTCAGCCCTTGAGGTCCACGGCACCAGGCTGGCACTGGGGTCTACTGGTGGTCCTCTGCCTGAAGCACCTTCCACACTGTGGACAGGAATAAGATAGCTTGCCTGTGTGAGTCAGCAGGTAGCATGAGAGGTACTAGCTGTGGCAGAAACAGGTGCCTAGTCCTGGCAGAAACAGGACTAGGCACGGACAAAGGCTTGTCTTCAGAATGCACTGAGTCAGGTGAAAGGTCATGGCAAAGTGTGCCTTCTCTCAGCAGGTGCTGTGTGAGTACAAGTCACTGAGGCTGGGTCTAGAGTTGGAGCTTGGGAAAGGCCTGTCTACCTGGGATGCTTTGACCCCAGGCTCAGACACCAAGCTAGTGTCCCCGGAGGCTCATGACAACTCCCCAGTAGACTCCTTCTGCTGGTTTCTTCCAAATACATCATTTTTTCTGAGTGGCCCTTTGAAACACAGCAGATTCAAATTTTAATTTTTGTCCAGTTCAGTCAAACTCTACTAAATGTTCAGGTGACAGAATCAACTTTCACAAGTGCAGATGAGTGCTTAGCCCCTGGAAGCACCCACCTAGATTGTGTTGACCAATTGAGGGGGTCACAGCAAGTCAGGGACATTCCCACTTCAGGACCAACCCAAAGAGATACCCTCAACCAGAGGAACAGCTGTTACAAGCACAGGCACTTAGACAGAAAGGTGAACTGCTTCCAACCTAAACTTTAATTCATACACTGCCGCTGACCTAGAGATTGGGTAATTTGTGCAGTGTGACCTGACCTTGGGAATCCTGGATGCCTCAGTCAATTAGTGAAAAAGAGAAGGTCAAGATTCTAGTCTCCAATGGGTATCATAAATTTAAGCCAGCAGAACATAGTAAGGAACATATAGATGATCTTTTTCTTTTGTTCTTTTCTCTCTTTTTTTAAATTTTATTTATTTATTTGACAGACAGAGATCACAAGTAGGCAGAGATGCAAGCAGAGAGAGAGGAAGGGAAGAGGGCTCCCTGCTCATCAGAGAGATGTGGGGCTTGATCCCAGGACCCTGAGATCATGAATGAGCCGAAGGCAGAGGTTTTAACCCACTGAACCACCCAGGTGCCCCTCTCTCTCTTTTTTTCTTAAGATTTTATTTGTTTATGTGTGAGAGAGAGCATGAGTGGAGGGTGAGGGGAGAAGCAGATGGAGAGGGAGAACCAGACTCCCCCTCTGAGCAGGGAGCCCAATGCGGGGTTCAATCCCAGGACCTGGAGATCATGACCCAAACCAAAGGGAGACACTTAAGTAGCTGAGCCACCCAGGCACCCCTAGATGGTATTTCTTGTTCAATAAACATCTTCCCTTCCCGCTGGACCTGGAGCATAACCCCTAGTTCTCATCTTTCTTTCTCTCAGACATCCACCTGGGGATCCTGAGCATCTACACTCCACAGTTGGGCCATCTGCTCTGCCTAGGAGATGAGGACTGGTTTGGGGTCTGGGAATCCTGAAGAAGAACCCTAATCACTCAAGAAACAATTCATTCATCTAATGAAAACATATAGGGCATCGTTTGTGTGGCAGGCATTGTTCCAGACATTCTCGGTGCTGGGAGGCACTGGTGAACCAAGATAATGTTCCTGCTCTAAGTTTATACTAACCTCTAAATTTACACTAACGGAGAGAGATGCCGCCTAAGAGCTATGGGGACAAAGGTAAGAGACCTTCAGGCAGTTAGAGAGCCAGACAAAGAGCTGCAGTTGAGACTTCCTGCTTGGGGCAGAAGGGCTCCAAGAGGAATTTCTTAGAGACCGCATTTGAAAAGGGTACTGAAAGATGTTAGATTATGCTCCTTAAGCCAGATATGTGTCCAAAACCCCCCAAAGATTCCTTGTAGCTAGAGCCAATGGAATCATTAGGCTGTAGGGAGAGACTGGGTTTGAACTGGAGGTTAGTAAGCCACGCATGGGTTTTCACGCTGTGGTACACAGGTTCTGAACTTTTTGCATAAGTCCTGAGGAACCACGGAAGAGCCTGCCAAAGTCGCTCAGTTGCAAATTTCAGCTGGGCCGATCTGGCGGGGGTCACGGGAAACGAAGTCATCCGAGAGGAGGAGTGAGGCCGAGTCCGGCACTCAGAACTCCGCATCCCATCCGACCCTCTCCCTTTTCAGACACCCGGGATGGCCGGACCTCACCGAGAGCACCCAGGTGGCTATCGATCTCCCGCATCACGTCTAGGCACGTAGGCCTCAGCGCGGGCCGGAGACACCCCCATTCCTCGGGAAAGAAATCTTCGGCTACCTCCACGAAGTTCACGGCCCTGGGTATTCTCCCCCTCCTCCTTCCGGCCGGCCTTCGCGGGCACCTCAGCACGGAGCCGGGAGCAAGACCAGGGACCCAAACGCCCCTCCCCAACAGCTGCCCCGCACCGGGCAGGGGACGCCCAGGATCCGGCCTCCAGCGAGCTAGGCGACCGGAAGTAACCTCGGATGTGGCCGCTCTAGGACAGCTAGAAAAAGTCGGTTCCGCGAACTCGGTGGTTCCACGACAGACAAAATGAAGGCGCCCTCAGAAAAGATGATGGCATTCCAGTACTTTTTCAATTTTGGAGAAGCATTTAGCAGAGTCACTGTGGGCCTGGTATTGATGACCTGGTTAATTACGCTCTCGAGCTGTCTTTTCTGTTCTGCAAGCCGCATTGGGAGCGCCACTTGCCCACAGTTAAGATGGCCGCGGCCGCTTCGACGTCCGTGCTCGGGTCCTCCGGGGGAGAGGGGAGGAGGCTCCGGACTGTGACGGCAGCCAACGGCTAGGGGTCCGAAAGAGGGGAAAAGGGGCCAGGATTCAGGGGGCTCTCGGCCTGGTGACTCTCTCCCAGGCCCCTTCAGAAAGCCCATTCAGTGACCTGGTCTTAAAAGAAAATTTATTTTGGCAAGCTAGTTCATTTCTCAACTTTTTTTCATTTACAAGTTACATCGTAATATTCTGTGACGTCTCCCCCCACCCTTTTCTTCTATTAACACTTTCTTGAACATCCCCCCAGATATAGCCTATTTCCATACGTTTGCTAGCTCTTTAACCGAGGACACTGGGCCAAAGGCCTCTGAATGCCTTGGAGTTCAGCTATTTGACAGAAGAGGAAACTGAAGCCTGGTGGTTACCAAGGTCGGGCAGCCCGTTAGTGCCTGAGCCGCTTCAGACTCCTCAATTTGAGCCTTTTCCACCATCTCGCGCTGCCTCCTCCAGGCCTGTTCCAGGAAAGCAACTGAAGACTTTGAATGTACTGACCCCTACTGAACTCAATTCTCCGTGTAAGTGATGATTGTGTAGAAAGTAGAGGAGTTACTGAATCACCTGGCTCATTTGTTTCAACACTCTGTGAAGGTGCCCCCAGACTTCCCAAATCCAAGCTCCTCTAACAATGGCGGACTATGCCAGGCTGCAGTTGGTTCTGTGCTAGGACTAAGACATCAATCATGTTAGTTTACCTCACTTGATCACTTAGTATATGCCAGACTGTTCAAAGTGCTCACGCCTGTTAACTCACTGAACTCTCACCATCCCTCAGCGATAACTGCCCTTCTGGATCAGGAAACGAGCACAGAGGGGTGACCTTGCCCCAGGCCACCCAGCTAGTAAGTCAGGAAGCCAGGATTCAAACCCAGACAGTCTAACCCCAGAAACCCACGCTGTAATGCTTCGAATAATTCAAGGTACAGTGTCAACAACCACAGAGCGAGGTAGGATTGAAGCCAGGTTACCAAGATGCAGTTGAAATGTGAAGTAGTATGTGGAACAGCAACCTGGGAGGTCAGAAGAGCGGCTTCTGGTCGCCTCTGCAATTCCATGCTGTTATGTAAATGAAAAGAGAAAAAAAAACCTTAAATGATGGGCTATGGTAAGTATTGAAAGTAAGTAAAGGGGTTGTATTTAAGGGTCGTGTCATGGCAAAAAAAAAAAAAAAGATGTCATTCAGGTGTTTAGGAGGTATGTGAAATTGCCCCGGGGGGAGGGTGATGACAGGCTTCACAAAAGGTACCCTGTTGTTGCTCTCCCCACTGGGTTCCTCACACTCAGACCCTTGCTGTGACCCCTGGGTTGCCTGGCTGGTCTCTGGGCCTCCTGCCTTTTGCCTTTCCCATCCGTCAACACCACAGCCTGGCTTAGTGAAAAGAGCAAGAGCATCCCCTGAGAATTTGGGGACTTCTACTGTGTGATCTTAAGTAAGGTCCTTCCCCTCTCTGGGCCTCAGCCTTTCTCAGAGTGTATTCTGTGCAACAGTATTTACATGAAAGTCTGTGGAAAGAACCAAGCATTCTTCCCCATGTCCCCCCGAGAGTCTCCTCAGCAAAGAAACCTATTCCACCCACAGCTTCCTAAACCCTGCTTCAACTTTTGAACCCAGCAGCTCCCCAAAGCTCCCTTCCTGTTCCAAAATGCTGCGGTCCTCCCTGTCATCACCTCCCAACCCCGGGTCACCCCAGGAACGGCCCCTCCATCCTCCTCCTCACTCAGCCAAAAATCTTATCATCATTCCTAGCTTATCTGATGCGCTCAGCCCACACGTCCAGCCCACAGACAGGTCCTGTCCCTTTCACTCGCAGTGTTTCCCTCCGACCTTCTGCGACTCTCCATCTCCATTCTGCTGGCCCCACTGCAGTCCATTCTCAGAGTAGCCAGAGTGGGTTTGCAAATCACATTACCTATGAGGTCCCTAGAATAGTCAGACTCAGAGGGAGAGAAAATGGAATGGTGGTGGCGGGAGGGGGGAGTGGGGACATAGTGTTTAACGGGTACAGGTTTCAGCTGGGGAAGATGGAAAAGTTCTAGAGAGGGCTGGTGGTGATGGGTGCACACATGTATTGTACTTAATGCCACTAAACTCTATACTTAAAAATATTTGAGGGGCCCCTGGGTGGCTAAGTCATTGAGCATCTGCCTTCAGCTCGGGTCATGATCCCAGGGTCCTGGGATCGAGCCCCACATCAGGGCTGCTTCTCCCTCTCCCACTCTCTCTGCTTGTATTTCCTCTCTCACTATCTGTCTCTCTGTCAAATAAAGAAAATCTTTTAAAAAAATATTGGGGCGCCTGGGTGGCTCTGTGGGTTAAAGCCTCTGCCGTCGACTCAGGTCATGATCCCGGGGTCCTAGGATCAAGCCCCACATCGGGCTCTCTGCTCGGCGGGGAGCCTGCTTTTCCCTCTCTCTCTGCCTGCCTCTCTGCCTACCTGTGATCTTTGTCTGTCAGATAACTAAATAAAATCTTTAAAAAAAAAAAAAAATATATATATATATATATTTAGGGGCGCCTGGGTGGCTCAGTGGGTTAAAGCCTCTGCCTTCCACTCAGTTCATGGTCTCAGGGTCCTGGATCGAGCCCTGCATCAGGCTTTCTGCTCAGCAGTGAGCCTGCTTCCCCCCTTCCCTCTCTGCCTGCTTGTGATCTCTGCCTGACAAATAAATAAAATCTTTTTAAAAAAAACCCATATATGTATGTATATATATATATACATATATATATATATATTTAAAATGGCAAATTTTGCTGTATTTTACAAGGCAAAAACAAACACAACCCAGTGGTTTTCCAATATGTTTAGAATCAAATCTAGATTTGGCACAATGGCAAGCTAGAGTTCTATGACCCGCTGCTTTTCCCCTCCGAGCTCATCTGTGATTCTCCTCCACTCAGTTCCTCAGTGCAGCCACCAGGGTCCTTTCTGCACCTCACCCAAACTCGTCCCTACCTCAGAGCAGGGCACCTGCTACTTCCTCTGTTTGGGAACATCCCCCAGCCCCCCTACCCTAACTCCCAGCCTCTGAAACCCTGCACTGCCCCCCTCCCACAACCTGCCACCTGACCTGTTTCCCCTTGGGTCCTTCTCATCATCTGGGTCTCAGCTCAGTTCCACACCAAGACCCAGCCTAAGTACCTGTCTGCAACAGATGCTTTGAGGACATCTTCTGTTTTAGTACCTTTGTAGTACTCATTATTTACAGTTATAATAACTTGTCTCCTGTACTGGCTTATCACTTTTCTGTCTTACTTTTTTGTATTTTATTTATTTATTTGAGAAAGAGAGACCAGGAGCAGCAGGGAGAGGGAGAAGCAGGCTCCCCACTGAGCAGGGAGCCCTACATGGGGCTCGATCCCAGGAGCCTGGGATCATGACCTGAGCCAAAGGCAGACATTTAACGGACTGATCCACCCAGGCACCCCACCTGTCTGTCTTACTCATGTGCTGGCTTATCACTTGTTTTACCCCACACTTCTCGAACGTAAGCTCCACAACAGTTCATTATGTTTTCCACACTGTATCTCGGCACACAGAATAGTGCCTGGTACACAGCAGATGCTTAGAATGTATTTGTTAAATGGATAAACAAAAGAAAAGAAAAGAAAGCACTCACTGTGCCGTATGCTGACCTGGGCTGCTCCGTGCCTCATACACTGTGCCAGGTTCCACTCCCCTCTCCCTGGGGTGCCTCTTCTCTCCAGTCCCACCTTCTCTTCACCTCACCCCTCTCCAGTACTGGTCATCCCTTGTCCTCCACACTGTCCCACTCCTGACTGATGGCCCCTCGCCAGGCCCTCAGGCTCCCTTGCTCCAGCTCTTCATGCTCGAACCCCCTGGAATGTACTTGTTCACGGCTCCAATTGCCAGTCACTAAGTCATGCAGATTCTGTGGCAGAAACCTCTCCTGGGTATCTTTCTCCCCAGTCCCCAGGTCAGCGAACAAGCACAACTGCAAGAAAAATCTTGCTTTTTAGCCTGGTCCCAGCTCCTGCTCACCTCTAGCTGGTAGCAGATGCCCAACAGATCTCAAGTCTAGTCTCCTGCGTGGGTCACATCTTCCGACAGAGCTGGTCAAATACCCCTGCTTCTGTTAGAGACCTGTCTATGGCTCCTCAGTGCCTACCCGGCAAACCTCAAGCCCTCCTGCAGGGATCTGTGGCCTTCCCAGATTGCTGTGTGTGTTCTTCTAAGACCCTTTACCTAGTTGTCTATGTTTCACTCAGGTGGAACTGCTGACCATTCCCTAGGCAGGACCAACCTGGTTGAAATCTTTCCCATCCTTCAAGGCCAGTTTGAACCTCCTCCTCCAGGAAACCTCCCAGGTCTCCTCTTTGTCTTCCTCCCATACTATTTTGGAATAACAGTAACCAGTGTTTACTGAACACTAATATGCAAGGCCTTCTTCTGTATTATCTCGTTTAATCCATACATCACACTTAGGAGGTAGGTGCTGTTATTATGCAGGTTTCACAGATGAAGAAACTAAGGCACAGAGAGGCAGGGCAAGCACCGACTCCACACTGTGCCCATTTTCATCCTTTCTATGAAACAAGGCTCCCTGTGCTTGAAAATCTACCCCCACAACAATTCCTACTCCGCTATTCCCTCTGTTTCTACTAGACTTCCTACTCATGATATGAGAAGCACAACCATCTCCTCTCCAAGCCACATTTCCTGGTGGATCAGCAGCCAGGATGGGTTAGGTGGTCCCTCTGGACTTCTTCCAACCTAGTCTCGATCACCATGGAACATGGGACCCAAGTCCGAGTGTCACTGGAGCCCAGCACGAACCCCACAGAGGCTTCACATGGTGTTTGCTGAGTGAATGAATGAATGAATGGGACCAGCCTGCCCCACCCTGGAACTCCCTTACCACCTAGCCGTCTCCCCCACAGCAGCCACACAATCTATGGCCCCTGAATGTTGACAGCACTTTCTAAGTGCAAGGTCACTGGCCTTGGTGGGACTCTCCATCTCCTACTAAGACTCCCCTGGGAAGGCAGGGCTAGGCCCCTGCCCAGATCCCCGTTTCCACCTCACCCTCACCGGAGCCCCTGCTTTGTTTTCTGCCGAGATGTAACTGCCATAGAAAGTGGTAGATAACTAGGCACCGTGTCAGCTGTGTCCAGCTTTGCTGCTTTATAGTCATGACACTGAGAAAATCACTTTGTCCCTCAGAGCCTCAGTTTACTCATCTGCAAAATATGGCTTTGATGTCCACGCCCTGTCTCCTTAGCAGGCTTTTTTACATTTTCTGAAGCATAAAATGTCAACGACAGTTCACTCTTTCAACAAATGTTTATTGCACATTTACTGTCCTACATACTATCTTGTTAAAATTTCAGCCTTCACAGTAACCCGTTGAGGTAGCTATTTTTAATCTTTATTTTACAGATGAGGGAGCTGAGGCTCAGGGACAGCATGTGACTTGCCAGCTGTGCCTGGGGACAAGTTGCGGAGACTAGATCTGTGCTTAGGTACTCTTTCTACCCACGTCACTTCCCAGGCTCACTGCTGCTGTCAATTAGCCGGGGCTTGACCACGCCCTGGGTCCCGGGGGCCCCCTCCCCAGGCCTTAGTCCCCTCAGCCTTTGCCTCTGATGTAGAGCAGCAGCAAGGGGTAAGTTTCTGAGACAACGGTAAAACCTCAGTGAGATTAACACTTTGAGAAAGGTCCAGCATCTCACTCTATTCTTTTTTTTCTTTCTTTCTTTTTTTTTTTTTTTTTTTTTAGAAAGACTGGGGCGAGTCAAATTTAATCTATTTGTATCTTTACAGGCACTTTTCTTTTTACAAGTTTTGAAACTTGAGGGATCCTTGAGGGAAGCCCAAGGGATTAATTTCGGTTCCCAAATCCCTGCCACCGGAGCCCCCCTCAGGGCTCAGGCAGTCCAAGTTCAAGCTCAACTCCAGCCTGCGCGAGGGGCTCACCCGCACTCCTCAAAGATGTCTGGGTAGTGTCGGAACAGCACAGGTGGGTCCCGGTCACCCCTCACGGGAGCCCGAGGCACAGCCCGAATGCCGGGCCTCCGGCCCCGCCGCCCCCCAGAGCAGGAGCGGTGGATCCACTGGTGCGCCTCCACAGCGAACTTCCTCTTAAAGCGCATGCCGCACTCGGGGCAGGGGAAGGGCCGCTCCCCTGAGTGCATCCGCCGGTGGCTGACCAGCAGAGAGGGGTAGGTGAAGCGGCGGCCACAGTCTGCACACACGTGACGCCGCTGGCTGTCCTGAGTGTCCACGCTGGGCGCTGGGGCTGAGGACTGTACGCCTGTGTTCTGGTTCCAGGCAGCACTGGTGGCCGGCTGTGCTCTGCTGGAAACTTTTCTGACGGTCCAGTCAGGGTTGTGTTTAACCAGCTCTTTCGAAGGCTCCTTGCCGGGAGTCTTTCTGGGTCCCTTGGCTCCCGGCCCTTCCTCCCGTGCTGCTTTCTTCTTGTTTGGGGTGTCTCCTGGGAAATGGAAAGTAAGATACATTTTATTTTATTTTTTAAAGATTTTACTTATTTATTTGACAGAGAGAGAGCACAAGTGAGGGGAGCAGCAGGGAGAGGGAGAAGCAGGCTCCCTGCTGAGCAGGGAGACTGATATGGGACTCGATCCTAGGACCTCGGGATCATGACCTGAGCCAAGGGCAGCTCAGCTGACTGAGCCACCCAGGCGCCCCAAGATACATTTCATTCATTTATTTTTTAAGATTTTATTTATTTATGACAGAGAGAGAGCGCGAGCGAGAGAGGGAACACAAGCATGGGTGAGCTGGAGAGGGAGAAGGAGGCTCCCTGTGAGCCTGATACGGGGTGGATCCCAGGGGGCTGGGATCATGACTTGAGCTGAAGGCAGATGCTTCACGACTGAGCCACCCAGGTGCCCCCCACCCCCAAGATACATTTAAAAACACATTTGCTTACATCCTCTCAGGTTATAGGGTTCTTATAGTTAGGGAAGCAGCAGAAAAATCCTCCCCAGCGATTGACACACAGGCTTTGAAGGATGATAAACAAATTTCATATCTCCTAAGAGTGACTTATCTGGGCCTTGCCTCTCATGTTTCAAATGGGAATCAATGGTTTCTTCACTTCACAGGGTTGTTGGGAGGATTAAATCAGGAGAAGCATGTTAGGCATTTAGTAAATGCTCAATAAAACAATAGCTATTACTATTGTGTTTGCTCGATTTTTTTATAGGATAAAACTTTTACAGATGAGGAAACATCTTTGCTCAAGGTCACTCTGCTAAGGGATGGTGAGGGGAGAAGAGCCACGTTGTTGATTACTGGGCATTTTCTCTTGTACCACCTCTTGTACCACTTTGCCTTGCTTGAGGAATGTGAAAGGCAGACCTGAAGCCCCTTGCATTCCTAGGTTTTAATCGTTCCTGAAAGGGGAGAATGAGTGGTGTTTTCTCCAAAAGGGCCCTAGAAACCTGAGTCTGGGACTTGGGGTCCTGATTCTCCCACTCTAGTCCTAAAATGAGTAGCGTCCCAAGTTCTGAAACCTTGTACCAGGTCTGCCTTCTTTCTCCTTTAGTATCCAACATGGGGCAGGGGTGAGAGGGTCTTTAATTCCTTTAGGGCTGCTGGAAGTGGGGATCTAAAGGAAAACTTCGTGAGACAGGAAGCCCTGGAGCGCCAAGTGGGGGGAGACTTGGGACAATCCCTCACCTCTCAGAGCTCCTCCCAGGCTTTCCCCCTCCTCAGGATCCTGGGCGGCGGGGCTCCAAGCCTCACTCTCCTGTTCCATCCAAGAGATGAGGGCTGGTTTGGGGCCTGGGAATCCTGGGAGAGAACAGGGATCACAGTGCTGGCTTGAGAGGCTGTCCTGGGCAGATGGCATCCCCCTGCCAGGGTAAGGACACCTCCTCAGAACTTAGGCTCAACGTGGACAGGGTCTGCAATGCTCCTGCCTGAAGGAAGCGGATGCTGGGTGGAAGCACTCCCTAACCTGAAGCCCTGGGAGTGGAGGTGGCTGGTGCTGTTGGTGGGATAGTGTGGGATTAGGGCTCACAATCCTCTCGGTCCTCATGTCATCTCCCCTGTGAACCCCAGTGAAGGAGGAGGGGGGCTCTGACCCGGGGCCTCACCGAGCGCGCCCAGGTGGCCGTAGGTCTCCCGCATCACGTCCCGGTACAGGGCCCTCTGCGCGGGCCGCAGACAACCCCACTCCTCCGGGGAGAAGTACACGGCCACGTCCGCGAAGTTCACGGCCCCGGGCTTCTTGTAACCATGCCCGGTCTCCCCCGGTCTCAGCGCCAGAAGCGGGGCTGGGGGCGGCGCCATGGGGCCTCCCGGCCCCGAGCAGTGGCCGTCCTGTCCCCGAGGCCACCGCCTCCCTGCGCGCGGCCTCAGCTTTCGTCGTCCGCAGGAAGGGCTCCGGAGGTCGGGGCCCCGCCCAGCCTTGGCGTCCGAACGCAGTCGAGGGCACCGAGGTAGCTGGTAGCTAGGGATTCGGGGGTTGTGATGGGGACAAACAAAATCCCTCGGTGTTTATTCACTTCATGGCACCTTGGATTTAGCCGGGTTAAGGGACCCGGAAGGTGTCTTCAGAAAATATGGCGACATCCTGGCTTCAGTTGTCAATGGATGCTCTTAAGGGCGCCATTCCTTGATCATAACAAACATGGCGCCTGCCTGCCTTCTCTAGCCTCAGCAGCCGCTTGCCCTCAACTACAATGGCCGCTGCAGGTGGGAGTTTTAGGAGAGGCGGAGACGGAACACAGAGAAGTGGACTGGGGGGCGGAACGTTCCTGCCTTCAAGAAAGATGGACAAGCGGTGGCTTCCAGTACCGCTCTTTGCCCGCGCTGCCCGGCGGCCGGTGATTGGCCCACAGAGCAGGAAGAGGCTGCACCGCCAGGCCCCCGGGTGGGCGGGCCGTCGGAAAGCGCACCTTGGTCACCTGGCTCTGGAATCCCTGGAGACCCTCTTCATCTGTGGAACTCAGCATTGTGCAGTCGACGATCTCCCTCTCTCCCTCCCAACGGCAGGATCTGGAATCGGGCCCCTACCCCTGCGAGAGAAGCACAGACCCTCTCCAAACCCTGGGGACAGCTGAGGTAGAAACCAGGTACACGTTTACCGTTGGGACCACGGCTGCGGAGCGCGCCCAACTCCTTGCACCCGCGGGACGGCTCTCAGTCTCTGGACTGGAGCTTATGGGGAGGAACTTTGGTTCATGCGGTTAGAATCGGAGTGGGGAGGGGCGCCTGGGTGGCTCAAAAAAAAAAAAAAAAAAAAAAGAATCGGAGTGGGGAAATTATATCTTATATATTAATTTTCTGCAAGTTAATATGCATGGTTTTGTTTGTTTGTTTGTTTGTTTTAAAGATTTTATTTATTTGACAGACAGAGATCACAAGTAGGCAGAGAGGCAGGCAGAGAGAGAGGAGGAAGCAGGCTCCCCGCTGAGCAGAGAGCCTGATGCGGGGCTCGATCCCAGGACCCTGGGATCATGACCTGAGCTGAAGGCAGAGGCTTTAACTCACTGAACCACCCAGGCGCCCCTGCATGGTTTTTAAAAAGGAGTACAAAGGTTTATAATGAAAAAGGCAGCCCCCTGTACCCTTCACCTTTGTTCCCTAGAGACCACTTTGTTGAACTCATTTTATGAATCCGAGTTACACCATACAAACAGTAAAATGCACAGTTCTTCAGTGCAAAATTGGCTGAATTTTGATGAACGCATGCAACCGTGTTAACCATCCCCCCCAAAACAAAATATAGAGCATTGGTGACCCCTGCGATGACCCCTGCATGTTTCGTTGTGCACACTTTTAAGTCATTACACAATTTTTGACTGTGGTGAAATACAGGTAACAAAAATTAACCATTTTATATCTTACAGTTCAGTGGCATTTAGGACATTAACATTATGCAACCATCATCACTACTTTCATCGCCCCTAAAGGAAAGCCCCTACCCTTGGAACAGCCACTCACCCATTCTCCCCTGCCTCCCTCCCTTGACAATCGCGAAGCTTTCTGTCTCTGTGAATTTACTTTTTCTGGATATTTCCCATAAATGGAATCATGCAATATGTGGCCTTTTGTGTCTGGTGCCTGACAGCAAAATGTTTTCAAGGTTCATCGATGTAGCATTACAGGTAAGGTAAGCATTACCTTACTACTTTTTTTATTATGGTTGAATAATATTCCATTGTACAGATACAGGTTTCCCCTGCTATCCCAAAGTAGAACATTTCTATGAAACCTTTCATAAGCTGAAATGATGTAAAGCAAGAAGGCAGTTACCATTAATTTATAGGGAAAATTTTTTGAGCATTCCCAGACCCTATAACCAAGTTCTCTTAGGCTCTACTGATGCCTTAGAACACATCTTGCTGGGGCGCCTGGGTGGCTCAATGGGTTAAGCCTCTGCCTTCGGCTCAGGTCATGATCTCAGGGTCCTGGGATCAAGCCCCGCATCAGGCTCTCTGCTCAGCAGGGAGCCTGCTTCCTCCTCCCTCTCTGCCTGTCTCTCTGCCTACTTGTGATCTCTGTCAAGTAAATAAATAAAATCTTAAAAAAAAAAAAAAAAGGACACATCTTGCTTATAGATGCACAAAATAAATGTAGAATAAACACAGATGCTCACATAGTTCAAAGCTTAGTAGCTTGATGCTGAAAGGCTGAGTTTAGGTCCCTGGGAAGGACCTTGATAGGGCCACTCCTGCTGCTCAGCCTGTGAGCTGTATCTAAAAGCAAAAATCCTCTTCAGGTTTATTTTGGTTAGTGAAGCAGGTACTAATGTAGGTTTTCCTTAAAGCAAAGTAGCCTAATGGGAACTTTCGAAAAACGAGGGGACACCTGGGACGCCTGGGTGACGCAGTCGGTTGAGAGCATCTGAATCTTGGTTTGGCTCAGGTCTGATCTCCGGGTTGTGGGATCGAGCCCTGTGTCGTCCAGCCCCGTGCTCAGTCTGCTTGTGTTTCTCTCTCTCCGCCTCTGCCCCTGCCCCCTGTGCTCTTTCCCTCTCTCTCTGAAATAAATAAATAATTTTTTTAAAAAGTAAGGGGACACCTGTATGCTATATTTTATTTATCCATTGTCAGTTGATGGAAATTGGAGTCGTTTTTACCTTTCATGTTGCTGTGAACATTCGTGTAAGGCATTTTGTTTATCCGCTTTGAGATAAAATTCACTCATTAGATAACTCACATATTTAAATTGTACAGTTCAGTGGGTTTGGATATATATGTTATTTTTTTAAATTGCCGTAAAATTACACAAGACTTAAAATTTGCCATTTTAATCTTTTTTTTTTTGAAGATTTTATTTATTTATTTGACAGAGATCACAAGTAGGCAGAGAGGCAGGCAGAGAGAGAGAGAGGAGGAAGCAGGCTCCCTGCTAAGCAGAGAGCCCGATGCGGGGCTCGATCCCAGGACCCTGAGATCATGACCTGAGCCGAAGACAGAGGCTTAACCCACTGAGCCACCCAGGCGCCCCGATTTTAATCATTTTTTAATCATTTTTAAGTTTCCAGTTTAGTGGCATTAATTACATTCACAGTGCCGTGCATCTGTCACCACTATTTCCAAAACATTTTCAGCACTGCAGAAGGAAACTGAGACTCCACAAGGTGGTCGCTGCTCATACTTTTCCCCAGCTCCTGGTAATTTCCAACCTGCTTTATGTGCCTGTGAATTTCCCTATTCTGGGTACCTACCTCATGTAAGTGGAACTGTGTAACACCTGTTGTTGGTGTCTGACTTACTTCACTGCCATCTTAACCATTTTTAAATGTACTGCTCAGTGGTATTAAAGACATTCACGTTGCTGTGCAAACATAACCACCATCCTCTCTAAAATGTTTTCATCTTTACAAACCGGATCAATACACTTTTAACACTCAGCCTTTCTTCTGGAGGTTTTTGTTTTTGTTTTTTTAAATATGCTTTAGATTCTCTCCCTCTGCCCACCGCCCAACACCCCCGCTTGCGCCCACTCCTTTGCACGCATGCGCACGCTCTTTCTTGCTCTCTCTTCTTAAAAAACACTTTAAAAAAGTATGCTTTTACTGTTGTCGCTTGATATATTCATTTGATTTTTATTTATCTATTTTTAAAGATTTTATTTATTTCTTTGACACAGAGAGGGCACAAGAAGAGGGAACAGCAGGCAGAGGGAGAAGCAGGCCCCCCACTGAGCAAGGAGCCCAATGTAGAACTCCATCCCAGGACCCCGGGACCATGACCTGACCCAAAGGCGGCCACTTAACTAACTGAGCCACCCATGCACCCCTTATTTTTATTTTTTAAAAAAGATTTGATTTACTTGTCAGAGGGTGCACATGCAAGCAGTGGGAGTGACAGGCAGAGGGAGAAGCAGGAGGCATTCCTTGATATATCCATTTTAGAAATTATTTGTGGGCATCGGGCTATGATACTTACTTAGTTTCTAGCCCCATCTCCCTCAGCTCTTTCCCAACATAATGCAATAAATTACTCTAAGATTTCCTGGGGCGCCTGGGTGGCTCAGTCAGTTGAACATCCTACTCTTAGAGTTCCGCTCCGGTCATGGTCTCAGGGTTGTGAGATACAGCCCCACATTGGGCTCTGTGCTCAGTGCAAAGTTGGCTTGTCCTCTTCCCCTCTGCCCTCTCTGCTCATACGCACAAGTTCTATCTAAAATAAGTAGATAGATAGATAGATCAATAGATAGACAAATAAAATCTCTGAAAAAATTTCCTGTATGTGCTGTAATTATGTTTCCTTGCTTACCAACTATTTGCTCTTTTTTACTGAAACGTATTTGACATCGAACATTGTAAATGTAAGGCGTATGACACGTTTTGATAAATTTATATATTGTAATGATTGCCATGGTCATTGTTTGCCTTTTAAAAATTTCCAGTTGTATTCCCTTTCTCCTTGCATTATCTGTGCTTTCTGCTTTTTTTAATTTTTGTTTTTTTATGAGATTTTATTGATTTATTTGAGAGAGAGTGAAATCGGGGGAGATCACAGAGGGAGAGGGAGAAGCAGACTCGGCTCTGAGCAGAGAGCCCAATGCAGAGCTCCATCCTAGGACCCTGAGATCATGACCTGAGCTGAAGGCAGATGCTGAACCGACTGAGCCACCCAGATGCCCCCATTTTGTTTTTGTTTTTAATATTTTATCTATTCATTTGAGAGAGAGAAAGACAACGAGCATGATCGGGGTCACGGGTGAAGAGAAAAGCAGACTCCCTGACTAAGCCACCTGGGCTCCCCTCTGCTTCTTTAAGTTGTTCTAAATTACTGGGGATAGCATCAGATCTCAAATTACCATTTTTTCCCCTGGGAAACCTCCTTCTTTGACCCCTCTGTCTTTTCTCTCTAGACTTGCCTGAGCCTCATCTGTCATCCCGGGTCTGACTTCCCTACTGTCCAGGATTGTATGTAGCCTCTGCTTCCTACATTCAGTATGTTCCTTTTTTTTTTTAAGTGGGGATGGATCATCTTAATAGCTTGTGGCATTGGACTATAGATACTGGATAGATTTGTCCTGTTGGGAATATTCCTGCAATTAGGCAGGATGCCAGGAGCATGGAGCTAGTCGTTGGGTTAATGAACAAAACCTAGGTCTCTGTTGACAGCAGTCCACTGTCTGGTCTCAGAACCTTGAAACTCCTTGCTTGGCTCTCCTACCTGCCATAGCACACACTCTTCTCTCCTTTGTGTTCACAAATGTTCTTCATGGCTGTAAGTTAGTGCCTTCTCCATCTTCATATTTTCTTGCCCCACCCTTGTGATTTTTCACCGGAATACTTATGGCTTTTGGGATGACCTCTTATGATTTCACCTCAACAATTACTTGCTTATTTCATAACTTTTTAAACTTGAGTCCTGATGAGGCCTCACTGCACTCATTGTGGTGAATAGTGTAGAAGTGGAATAAAGAAAAATATATCGTCAGGGGTGCCTAGGTGGCTCAGTGGGTTAAGCCTCTGCCTTTGGCTCAGGTCATGATCCCAGGGTCCAGGGATCGAGCCCCCCAATGAGCCCTACCTCGGGCTCCCTGCTCAGCGGGAGGCCTGCTTCTCCCTCTCCCGCTCCCCCTGCTTGTGCTCCCACTCTCGCTGTCTCTGTCAAATAAATAAATAAAATCTTAAAAAAAAAAAAAAAAAGAAAAATCGATCTTCAGATAGGAGTCTCTTTCTAAACAGAGAATCAACTTTACCTAAAAAGAAACCACAAAGGATTTCACCTGGACCAAAAATTGCCTTTGTTTACTCAGGTACTATGTTATAAATCACTTCTTTTTATACCAGGGATGGAGAAAACTGAAGGAGATGGAACCAAATAATTAGCCTGGGGGTTAACTAAGGAGATTGAAACAAACTTAGGACTAAAACTGCCCCATCCTAAGTGTCTGATGTCATGTTGTTTTTCCTGCCAAACATAAAAATACAAAGATGCTCTTGCTTTCAAATTGTTTTATTGCCCACCAAATTGTATATGTTTGTTCCAGAATCTTAATCAGATATAATTATAAGAAGTTATAAAACAGACAAAGATAATTACAGTTCATAAATTTTACTAGTCTATAACAAGCTGCATTTGAATTTTTCTTTTTTTTAAGATTTTATTTATTCGAGAGAGAGAGAGAGCGCGAGCAGAGGAAGGGGCACAGGGAGGGAGAGAATCTCAAGCCGCCTCCACACTGAGCGCAGAGTCTCACATGGGGCTCAGTCTCACAACCCTGAGATTGCGACCCAGGCTGAAACCAAGGGTTCAAGGCTCAACCAACTGAGCCACCCAGGCGCCCCAGTGCATTTGAATTTTTTTTTTTTAAAGATTTTATTTATTTATTTGACAGAGATCACAGGTAGGGAGAGAGGAAGGGAAGCAGGCTCCCTGCTGAGCAGAGATCCCAATGCGGGGCTCGATCCCAGGACCCCAAGATCATGACCTGAGCCGAAGGCAGAGGCTTTAACCCACTGAGCCACCCAGGCGCCCAGTACATTTGAATTTTGAGAGCTGCTGTTTCTTGCATAAATCTCAGCCTTCTGTTGAAGTGTTTAGGAGGGAAGAATAATGATGCCTGCAACTTACTGTGAAATAAAATAAGATGTATAAATAAGCAGATAGGGGATGGACTGACTGATTGGCATGTGATAAAGCAAATGTAGCATAATTGTAGAATCTAGATTAAGTATAGACATCGTGGGGGCACTCAGCCACTTGTTCTTCAGACCACGACGACGTGTGAGGTGCTTTCAGGTTTTTTCTCAGACAACCCTGTGGAGGAGCCAAGCGAGACCGTGAAGGCTTCAAAAGGTTGAATGACAGGCTTACGGTCCCACAGCTAGTGGGAACTGAGCCAAACCCGGCATCCAGATCTACTAGTTCAGGAGAGGCTATGTGGTTCAGTAAAATAACACCCAGTTCCCATTCCTAATCGTCTTTGGAACCCAGAGGTTCCAAGAGCAGTCCTTTGTTCACAGAGATACTTGTGTACCCCAGGACCGCTCCTGGCATGCAGCTCTGCTTAGTCCCACCCAGGTCCTTATTCCTTCAATAGTCTGATCAAAAGTATGGCTAGCAGGTCAGAGTGGGTCAGAAAGACCCTCTTAACTACTGACACATTATAAGCATACACTAAAAACTTGACTGGAGATACTTGGCCTTGATTTCAAGACTAATGGCAGGTAATTTACTCTCTTAAACAAAAATGCCAGCATTATGTTTCCAGCTGCTGTGGCCCAAGAACACATCTTCGTTCAGAAGCTGTAAAATCCCGACAACATGCAAGTATCTGAAGAGAAAAACACTGCAATCACTGATTCATAGAAGTTGGAGGGGAAAACCTTTAAGCTAAGCTTGACACTCCTGTGCGCTCTGTGCGATGCGAGCCTGGGGCAGGACGATTCCCCACCTGAAGCCATTGTTCTCCTCCCTGTGGTCATCTTCAGGACTTTAAGACCAAGAGTGCCAACAGTGGCTTGACGCTGCACGTGTTTCCTTGCCAGATGTCTCATCGACACTGGCTAAAAGAATCCTTGGGTGAACTTCCCCTACTGAGGATAGGCCCAAGGTGTCCCTTCTGTTCCAGGGGATACTCAGAATGTATATGGGCTCCTTTAATGGGTTCTTGCACTAAGGGGCCCCATCTCTGAGGAACAGGAGAGACACAGACCAGAAAGCAGAATGCTCTGAGGGAGAGAACAGTCCAGGGAGAAAAGCCAGGTAGGTGAATGATTTCCTGCGAAGAAACTCCCAAGTGGGACTCGGAAGTTGCTACTGCCCCTCGGAACAATTTGTTACTTAAACTATAACCCCTGGAGGATTTTACTAGTTGCCAAGCATATTTAGATATGGCCTTAAGAAAAACATATACTGGCAACAGGTCTTTGGGGAGAAAGACGATACACGACCGTGAAGCTGGGCAGCTGGGGATGCATGGCCCACCCAGGGCGGAAGGCCGCCCCTTCACAGAAGCCGGGCAGCCAGGAATGCCCAGTCAGCTCAGGGTGGAACGAAATATTGCCTGCTTCCCTTTTCCGTTATCGCTCCTTTCTCTTCCCAGAAGCGCCATTGTTTTTTAGATGTGTCCTTTGAATGTGCTTGGTTAACTATAAACTTTGTCCTCCTCCTTGCTTGTCCACAAGACGTGACTAATGTTTGACTTTCATCGGTCCTTCTGTTGGCTATTGTTTCTATCTAATAAAAGTGAGACTGTGGAGTTGCTCATGGCTTCGACTGTTGTCCTCTGCTCCCAATCTCTTGCAGCTGACTTGTTTGTGCCTAATTCTTCTCCCGTCGCCGACTGGAAAAAGTGGGAGCAAGAGCCTCAGAAAATGGGTTCAGCCTTCAGGTGGCCTTTCAGATTCCCTCCTCCTTCCAAAGGACCAGCTTTGTGCTCCCTTAACTCAGAGCTTTGTTTTCCTTAAATGCTTACTTCCTTTCCATTCATTCCTTTGCTCCAAATACATAAACTTTGCCTTTTCCTTTCCAAAGAAAACAGGTCATCTCTTGCGAGCTCTATCACCCACATTCTTGAAATATATCTGGAAAGCACCGGAAATGAACTGGGGGATCCTGGCCTCCCAAAACAAGGACTGGCTCCGAAAGCCCTACCGCAGGCCGCTGCCACCTCGGCCTCTTGCCAGACCGATGGATCCACTGGTGGGCTTCCAAGGCATACTTGCGCTTAAAGCCCTTCCCACACTGTGGGCAGGGGAAGGGCCGGTTGTCAGAGTGAATGCGCTGGTGACTGAGGAGGAGAGAGGAGTAGGTGAACCGGCGGCCACAGTCTGGACAGGGGTAGGGCTTCTCGCCTGTATGGGTGCGCCTGTGGATGGCCAGCAGGGAGCTGTAGGCGAAACAGAGGCCGCAGCTGTGACAGCTGTAGGGCTTCTCGCCTGTGTGTTTGCGCTGGTGGATGGCTAGCAGGTAGGGGTAAGTGAAGCGACTTTTGCAGTTTGGGCATGGATAGGGCTTCTCCCTGGTGTGAGCCCGTCTGTGGATGGCCAGGGAGCCCCTCTGGCGGAAACGTCGCCCACAATCAGGGCACGAGTAGGGCTTTTCCCCTGTGTGGATGAGCTGATGCTGGAGCAGGTACTTGCGCTGGGAGAAACAGGCCTGGCACTGGTCACAGGGGAAGGGCCGCTCCCTGGAGTGGACCCGCCTGTGGGTGGTCAGGAGGGAGGGGTAGCTGAAGTTGCGGCCACAGTCTGAGCAGGAGAAGGGTGATCTGCGGGTTGTAGTGTCCTTGAACCAAGGCTTGACTGGGCTCTGCCCAGAGTTCCAGCAGAGCTCTGAGCAGGTGGCTCTGTGACCGGCACCCGGTGGCCTGCTGGATGGTGACCACTCCTCGAGAGACACTTCCTCACGCTCCATCTCTTTTTGCTTTGGACTCTTCATCAGTTCTTTCTCTTCACGCTCATCCCTGGATCCTGAGACAGGGGGAAAGATAAAAGTTGAAACTCAGTAGCACATTCCAGACAGTGGCCTGCCCTGGGAGGCAGCATGAATTGTCTGAGCATATGGCAGTGTTCGAGACTGGGGCCTCATCAGGCCAGAAGTCCATCGTGAAGTAAATGCAAAATTCATCATCTGACTGGTGTTAACACGAAAGCTTTGAAAATGGGAGATAAATGGAGGTGTCAACAATATTGAACCCCTCCCTCCTCTGTCAGGCAATGAGGGTGGTGATGGACCCAGCCTTCATAGAGCTTACTGTCCAGAACCTGTTTATGATCCCTTTCCAAAATAGCCATTAAATGATCTTCCTTGGTGCCTTCAAAGGCCATCGCCAAAATGTCTACACTTGGGCTATACTCCAGGTTCCATGGGAAGACCTGGGAACAAGCATTTATTATGACACGGCTGCAGAGAAAACACGCTTTTTGATGTTGAAATCTCTGATGAGTGATAGCATCATTACAGTGTGACCCACATCATACCCAAAAGGAACATTTCATTACACAACAAAAAACAAATTACAGTTGTGCTTCTCCTTTCGCTTGGCTGCCCTGGCAACTCAGGCGCTATTTTGCACTAAACTGGGGTTTCCCTGTATAACTAAGTGGTGCTGTAAGTCCCAATTTAGCGGTTCTACGAGCCATTTTGCAGTGAGACTGGAACTTTCTGGGGATGAAGTATAGAGAGACACGATGGGGCTTTGGAAGGGGCGGTGTGTACTGTGGATCCGAGTTGGGGCAGGGGCTTCTCAAAGGTCCCATCCTGGGTTTGAAGTGAAGTACCTGTTATCTTTCCCCTGTCTCTGATGACAGCTGCTGGGGTCTCACCCTCCGGATCCTGGGCCTCTGGGCTCCACGCCTCCACTTCTCCTTCCACCCAAGAAATAAAAGCGGGTTTGGGGCCTGAAAATCCTGCGGAGAGGAAACATTGGGTTCGGCTGAGGACCCGAGAGGGGAGGATGAGGGTGCTCAGTTCCCACACTTCCAGCCCACTTGTTTCTGGGGACATTAGTTCCTCCTTCCCATGGATTACTGGGTCCTGGCTGGACGGCCGGGCCTCACCGAGCGCGCCCAGGTAGCCGTAAGTTTCCCGCATCACGTCCCGGTACAGGGCCCTCTGCGCGGGCTGCAGACACCTCCATTCCTCCCGGGAGAAGTACACGGCCACGTCCGCGAAGCTCACGGCTCCGGGGCTGCTTTCTCCGGTCAGCCCGCTCCCGGCCTCCCGGGGTACATCCGCCAGGGGCGGCGCCATGGGAAAGCCCTCTAGTTTTACGCCAAGAGAGGCTTCCTATCCTCTGAAAAAATTCCTCAGGGCCGTAGCACTGCCCTTGACCAACATGGCGTCTGTCCGGCCTCAACCTCCCTTTCCTTTCCGGTCGCCTCTTACGTACCAAGGGGAAAACCAGAAAGGTGATTGGCTCCGCAGCACAGCAAATCGTAGATGACGTGCGCTGATTGGACAGCGCCTAGCGGACCGGTGAAGAAGGAAGGCTGTAATTGGTTATGCTGGAGCGGCCTATTTGAAAGACTGAAGGGAAGGGAGCGGCTGGTCCGAAGGTGGAAGGCGCTGAGGGGTTAGGAGGCTCTCTTTTCACCTGCTTTACCCGAACGGGACCTAAAAAAGATGTTTTGACGGGTTGGAGCTGCTCCCTTCTGCTACTCCGTGAGACCTCTTGCGAGCAGATGCAGATGTCCCGGGCTTGTAGGTGAGTAAAAGCCCACGGGCAAACGATTCTGGAGATGATGGAAGTGAGGGATGGCCGGTCCCCGCCTGCTGTGGGTGCTTAGGGCAAGGCTAGCCCCTGTGCCTACCGGTATTTGATTTGGCCCATGCCCCGACGTCACAGATGTCTTGGCTTTCACAGTTGCAGAAGCTGAGAAACGGAAGGCCCAGGTCACTGCTCACCGGCACCAGAGTCAGATTCAACGTTACTCTCTGGCTTCCGGGTTCAGCTAAGTGCTTAGCTAAGTGCTTACTGTACCCTGTCTCCGTCGGAAAACTTGTGTTTAAATTACAGCTCATAAATACTAATAAAACTGGGAAACGAATCAGATCATCTCTTAATCTGTTTTCCAGACTTTTCCATCTAAGCAATATTTACAGGAGCAGCAAAGGAAAGTTCTAGAGCTGTAACACAAAAGCTCTCCATCCCTCCAGTGAAACCACTTTGAAGACATAGTACAGCTTTTCAGTTTATGTGGCCATGCATTCTATTTCATAATATAACCACATTCAATAGAATGCATAGATTTGCAAGTGTTGAACGCTGTTACTCTATGGGGGGAGTGTAAGTTGGTACAACTACTTTGGAAAACTGGCAGTATCTACTAAAGCTGAATATATGCATACCTATGACCCAGCAATTCCACTCCTCCCTGTATACCCAACAGAAGTGCATAGGTATATTTACTGAAATATGTGCTCAAACGGTCACAACAACACTAGCTGCAGTAGCCAAAATCAGGAAACTACCCACAACAGTAGGAAAATGAATAAAAATATTGTGGAATATTCATGGGAATGCTATTCACAGAATACTATTCAGAAATGAGAATGAGTGATCTAGAACTACATGCATAGTATGGATGAATCCTGCAGACACGCTGTTGAGCAAAAGAAGCCAGACACAAAATGATATGTAATATGCGATTCCACTTATATAAAATATAAAATCTGGCAAAACTCTCCAAGTTATTGCTAATCCAAGTTTTTTGTTTGTAAAGTACTGATAATTTTTTTTTTTTTAAGATTTTATTTATTTGACAGAGAACAAAAGTAGAGGGAACAGCATGCAGAGGGAGAGTGAGAAGCAGGCTCCTTGCTGAGCAGAGAGCCCAATGCGGGGCTCAATCCCAGGACCCTGGGATCATGACCTGAGCCAAAGGCAGACATTTAACTAACAGAGCCACCCAGGCACCCCAATATTCTGTTTCTTGATCTAGGCACTGGTTACACAGATGTGTTCTATTTGTGAGAATTGACCTGCACGCTTACGTATGTGTGTTATGCTTCAATTAAAAAAACAAAAAGTTGGGGCGCCTGGGTGGCTCTGTGGGTTAAAGCCTCAACCTTCGGCTCAGGTCATGATCCCAGGGTGCTGGGATAGAGCCCTGAATTGGGCTCTCTGCTCAGCAGGGAGCCTGCCTCCCTCTATCTCTCTCTGCCTGCCTCTGCCTACCTGTGATCTCTGTCTGTCAAATAAATAAATAAAATCTTAAAAAAAAAGTCTCCTCCCTCTAGTCTTCCTTCCCCTTCCTAGAGGCGACCTCTGTTACCAGCTTCTTGTGTCCTTCTGGAGATAATTTAGGTACGTAAAAACATACACTTTTTTTCTTTTTGTAAGTAGCATAATAAACACACTGTTCACTTTGCTTTCTTTTCTCACTTGATACATCTTGTAGATTGTTTAATTTCAGCACATATAGATCGCTTTTTTTAATGGCTGCATACCTAGTGTTCCACTGTATGGATGAAAACAGTTTATTTCGTTCATTTTCCATTGATGAGCTATTAGTTGGTTTCCCATCTTACTACCATAAAATACGTAAGTCACATCCTTAGATATATTTCTTTAGGCACATATATGAGCATGTCTGTACAATAAAATTCTAGAAGCAGAATTGCTGATTCTAAGGGAAGGCTAGTGTTTTAAGCCATTTATTAATTAAGATTTTCTCCTAGGGCGCCTGGGTGGCTCAGTGGGTTAAAGCCTCTGTCTTCGGCTCGGGTCATGATCCCAGGGTCCTGGGATCGAGCCCCGCATTGGGCTTTCTGCTCAGCAAGGAGCCTGCTTCCCTTCCTCTCTCTCTGCCTGCCTCTCTGCTTACTTGTGATCTCTGTCAAATAAATAAATAAATTAAATCTTTAAAAAAAAAGATTTTCTCCCAGATCCACAAGAAACACTGATATATCCAGAAGATATATGATATTTATTTTGTATCTTCAAGCTGCTCCGTTTTGAGAAGCATGGCTTAACGTCTTTTATTTATTCAGGTGGCCTGGCAAACCGAGTAAGGGACACCAAAGATGTCCATGTTCTAATCCCTGAAACCTGTGAATATGTTATATTGGCAAATAGAACTTTGCAGATATGATCAAGCTAAAGATTTTCAGATGAGAAGACTATCTTGAATTGTCCCAGTGGATCTAATGTAATCACAATGATCCTTATAAAAGGGAGACAGGAGGCTCTTCTGGGCTTGGAGCTGGTTTGCAGCAACATGGCTAAAATGTACCAAGAAGGTCAGAACTTTCATTAAATGCAGGACCCATTATGATGCCTCCCTCAAGAAAATGATGAAGAAAATCGAAATAAAGGGCTCTTGGGTAACTCAATCGGTTAAGCATCTGCCTTCAGCTCAGGTCATGGTCCCAGAGTCCTGGGATCGAGCCCCACATCAGGCTCCCTGCTCCACGGGAAGTCTGCTTCTCCCTTTCCCTCTGCTCCTTCTCCCACTCATGCTCTCTCTCTTTTCTCTCTCTCATTTACTCTCTCAAATAAATAAAATCTTTTTTTAAAAAAATCGAAAGAAGCCAGCACTCCAGGTACACTTTCGCTCCTTCTGTGGCAGACCAAAGATGAAAACATGAGCCATGATCATCTGGCGTTGTGGTTCCTGCGTGAAAATGGTAGTTTCTGGACCTACAAGCCCACTTCTGTTGTGATAGTGAAGTCTGCCATCAGATGACTGAAGGAACTTTTTTCATTGAGTTAATTTATATAAACAAAAGAAGAGAGGGAGGAGGCAGGAAGATCAAAGCCGAAGAAGATGTGACAACAAAACAGGTGGGAGTGATGGATTTCTGGAAAGGGGACACAAACCAAGGGCTTTGGGCAGCCTCTAGAGGCTGAAAAAGGCAAGGAAAGGATTCTCCTCTAGAGATGGCCAAATGCAACCTTGCTAACACCTTGATTTTAGTCCTGTAAGACCTATTTTCAGACTTTTGACCTACAGAATTGTAAGATAGTAAGTTTGTGTTATTTTAAAGCACCTGGTTTGGTAATTTCTTATAGTAGCAATTGGAAACTAATCCAGGTAACATTACTGAGGAGCTGTTTCTGAGCTTTGTCAAGCACTGTATCGGGTGTGGGAGCATTCTCCCAGCTCTGAATTCAAGAACTGAAGGTCTGCAAAAAGCATTACTCAAAGAGATTATGCTGAATGAAAGAAGCCGTGGACAGGAGAATACACACTGTAGGACTACTCTGGCGAGATACGGATGGGTTTAACCAGGAAGGGAACTTTGTAGGTTGATGGTAATGTTCTATATCTTGATCAAGGTTCTGGGTGTAAGCATTGTCAACACTCAGCAGATACACACTTGAAATTTGTTTGCTTTTTCTATGGCAGTTTTTTTTTTTAAGATTTTTATTTATTTACTTGAAAGAAAGAGCACAAGAGGACTCAGAGGCAGAGGGAGAAGCAGACTCACAGCTGAGCACAAAGCCTGAACCAGAACTTGATTCCAGGACCCCTGGGATCATGACCTGAGCCAAAGGCAGACGCTTAACCAACTGAGGCACCCAGGCGCCCTGCTATGTCAATTTAACTAAAAAAAAAAAAAAAAAAAAACCCATAAAGCAAATACTGAGCTCTAGTTAATGATGTGCATGCTGAAATGTTCAGGGTAACGTGTACTGATGTTGACAATTTCTTTGAATTGCATCCAAAAAAATAAAGTGGACTGGAAGAGAGGTGGATAGTTAATGCCATGAAGTAAGTACAGTAAAATGTTAATGCTAGAACGAGGTGGTGCGTATGGGGGTAGTCACTGTGAAATTCCTTCAGCTTTACATTTGAAAACTTTCAAAATAAAATGGGGAAAAAGAAAAGAGAAGCAAGCTGGATATTGTCCAGACAAGTCATGAATAACCATTTTTAAAAACGTACAATTAAGTGGCATTTAGTGCGTTCACAATATTTGGCAACTGCCACCCGTCTTTCAAAACTTTGTCGCCTTTGTGATTTTGATTTGGTTACATTGAATCTGTAGATTTCTTTCAGTATTGTGGCCATCTTAACAATAGTAAGCCTTCTAATTCCATGAACGCAAGGTGTCTTTCCATGTATGTAAGTCTTTAATTTCTTTCAGCAGTATGTTGTAGTTTCCAGTATACAAGTCTTTTGCCTCCTTAGTAAAATTCATTCCTAAGTATTTTATTCTGTTTAATGCTACGGTAAATGGAATTACTTTCCTAATTACTCTTCTGGATTGTTCATTGCTGATCTATAGAAATGCAACTGATTTTTGTGTGTTGGTTTTGCATCTTGCCACTTTGCTAAGTTTATTTCTTAGCTCCGACAGTTCGTGTGTGTGGACTCTCTAGGGTTTTTATTTTTTTTTTTTTTGAAGATTTTTTATTTTATTTATTTGACAGACAGAGATCACAAGTAGGCAGAGAGGCAGGCAGAGAGAGAGAGGAGGAAGCAGGCTCCCTGCTGAGCAGAGAGCCCGACGCGGGGCTCGATCCCAGGACCCTGGGATCATGACCTGAGCCGAAGGCAGAGGCTTTTAACCCACTGAGCCACCCAGGCGCCCCTCTCTAGGGTTTTTAGATATAAGATCCTGTCATCTGTGAATAGAGATCATTTTACCTCTTCCTTTCCACTTTGGATACCTTCTGTTTCTTTATATTGCCTCACTGCTCTAGCTAGAACTTAGGATACAGTATTGAAAAGAGGTGGCAAAAGTTGACATCCTTGGGGCTCCTGGCTGGCTCAGTCGATAGAGTATATGACTCTTGATCTTGGGGTCATGGGTTCGAGCCCCACTTTGGGTGAGGAGCTGACTTTAAAAAAATAAATTAAATATTTAAAAAAACAAGAACAAAATCCGGGGCATCTTTGTCTTGTTCCTGATTCTAGGGGGAAAGTTTTCCATCTTTCCCCATTGAGTGTGATGTTAGGTGTGGGTTGTTCATCTGTGGCCTTTATCATGTTGAGGAAGTTTTCTTCTATATCGAATGTATCAAGAGTTGGGTTTTTTTTTCATGTTTTTGTCATGTTTAGTTTTGTCAAATTCTTTTTCTGCGTTGAGATGATCATTTTTTCCCCTTGTCCTATTATTGTGGCATAGTACATTGACTGACTTTCATCTGTTGAAGCCTTCTTGTATTCCAGGAATATATCCCATTGGTCATAGTGTACAACCCTTCTAATATGCTGCTTTGGTTTGTTAGTATTTTTTTGAGGATTTTTCTATCAATTTTTGTATGGAATAGTGGTCTATAATTTTCTTATAATATCTTTGTCTAGCTCTGGTATCAGTGTAAGAGTTTTTAAAATATATTCTAGACTCAAACCCCTTTTCAGATATATCTGTTGGAAAGAACTTTCTCCCATTCAGTAGACTGTCTTTTAATTCTCTTCAGGATATCTTTTGAAGCACAAGTTTTAATTTTGATGAAATCAGTGGATCTATTTTTATCTTTCATCATTTGTGCTTTTTTTGTCAAAGCTAAGAAACCATTATCTGATCCAAGTCACAAAGACTGACATCTGCATTTACTGTTAAGAGTTTTATAGTTTTAGCTCTTACGTTTAGGTCTATCGTTTGTCCACATTGAGTTAATTTTTTTTAAAGATTTTATTTATTTATTTGAGAGAGAGAGCACAAGTGGGTGGAGGGGCAGAGGGACGAGCAGACTCCTTGCTGAGTGGGGAGCCTGATGTGGGGTTTGATTCCAGGACCCTGAGATCATGATCTGAGCCGAAGGCAGACACTTAACCAACAGAGCCAGCCAGGTGCCCCAAATTAATTTTTATATATGGTTGAAGGAAGGGATCCAGCTTCATTCTTTTGTATGTGTATATCTAGTCTCCACACCATTTGTTGAAAAGACCGTTTCACTTTTTGAATTGTCTTGGCAATTTTGTTGAAAATTAGTTGATCACAGGGGTGCCTGGCTGGCTCAGTTGGTAGAGCATGGGACTCTTGATCTGAGGGTCATGAGTTCAAGCCTCATATTGGGCATGGAGCCTACGGGAAAAGAAAGAAGCGGGGGCCTGGGTGGCTCAGTCACTCAAGTGTCTGCCTTCTGCTGAGGTCATGATGCCAGGATCCTGGGAGCAGCCCCACATCCAGTTTCCTGTTCAGTGAGAAGTCTGCTTCTCCCTCTCCTTCTGCTCCTCCCCCTATTCATGCTCTCTCTGTCTCTAATAAAATCTTAAAAGGAAAAAAAAAAAAAGAAAGAAAAGAAAATCACTTGATCATAAATACAAGGGTTTATTTCTTGGAAGGACATTTTCTCTCATTTAATGAATTCCTGTCATGTAATCCTTCCATCCTTCAGTTGCACAGGAGTGTCCGCTGTGACCTAACTGGGAGTATAATGACTTAAGTGAAAATGTTGTAAGGTTCTTATGTTTTGCTTATAGTTTGGAGATTTTGTTCATTAGATTTTTTTTCCTTCAAAAGCCAAATCCTTTTAAATCCTTTAGCAAGTCCCTGTGAAAATACTATACTGTGTACAATAAAAGTGAAAGGTGAGTACCTAGTATCTGATGCTTAACTGACTGAGCCACCCAGGTGCCCCAGTATTTTTCATTTTAGATTAAAAATAGGGGCACCTGGGTGGCTCAATCAGTTAAGTGACCCACTTTTCATTTTTGCTCAAGTCAGGATCTCGGGATCTTGGGATGGTGAGATCAAGTCCTGCATGGGGCTCATGCTGAATGTGGAGCCTGCTTGGGATTTTCTCTCTCTCCCCCTCTGCCCCTCCCCCACTTCTCACTCTCTCTAGAAAAAATAAAAAATAAAATTAAAAATAGGCAGGCATATTACAGAGCTTGCTTCAGCAGCACATATACTAAAATCAGAATGATACAGAGAAGATTAGCATGGCTGCTGCTTACGGATGACCCGCAAATTCGTGAAGTGTTCCATATTTTGTGCAGTCCCCCCACCAAATGGCCACGCTTTCCGGATGAACTTGGAGGAAATGATAGGAGTCAAAGCACAACGTGCAGCACTGAATAATGAAAATTATGGCATTTTGCTAGAAAAATACTAAAAATAAAAAGAGGCATACAGATAATGAGAAATGTTAGACTTAAATAAGTGTTGGAAATTTATGAGTAACTTCCAAAAGAATGTATAACTTTCAAAGAACAAGGAGTGAAAACCTGCATAAAGAAAGAATACGTAGCAAAAAATCATTAAGTCAATATACCATGACAAATTGAGAAATTTATTTGCAAATTATATTCCAAAGGACTCATTTCTTATTAAAGAACTACAAATGCTAACAACAGAAATATAGGTAAACAATATAAATGGCAATTCACATAAAAGAAAATCCAACATCTTAAAGCATTTGAAAATATAATCACTTGTAACAGGAATGCAACATAGAATTGCATGATGGTATTTTTCAGCTTTCAGAGGAGGAAGGATCAAAAAGTTTACTGATTGCGGGGAAAGGTTTGCTGAAGAGGGTTGGCAGGGGGAAAAAGTTTGCTGACACTCCTGTCCCAAAATAGTCCCCCTCGTCACTCATCCCCTCATCCTGCACTGAGCACTGCCTCATATGGTTTATCTTTTTCTTTAGCCTGGAATCTCCATGAGGGCAAAGACAATATTGTCACTGTTGTATTTCCATCTCCTAGAACATTGCATGGCCTGTGGCTGTTGCCCAAGATATTTGTTGAATGAGGGGATGAACGATGCGCCGTGTCTCAGGAGGCGGAGGCAGTCACACATACTGCTGATGGGAGTGTAAATTCATACCACCTCCTTGGAAAGCAATTTGGTAATAACTATTGAAATTGATGAAAAAGTTCTGGACATAGTGACGGGTTGTACAACATTGTGAATGTACTTAATGCCACTGAACTGCATAGTAAATTTTATATTTTACCACAAAAAACCCCGCAGTTTTGGAACTGCCACAGCAATGTAAGAGATCAACTTTTTTTACTTCCAAAATTCACTTCTTAAACACCATTTGTAGGAAATTTGTACAAAGTAGGCTGTGAATGGAATATTTTATTTGTAAGACTGACTCCTGGATAGCAGCTGGCAGGCCCAGGAATGCAGACTTGCCACATGGCCACAGCTACAGGTAAGATGACCCGATCCTGTGGTGACATCTTTTATTCTGGGTGCTTCTGTCCCTTTCACAGGTATGTTGCCTTTCACTTTCAACTCTGTAGGAGTGTTTCCTGGTCTTGCTTTTGATGACCCCTAAACCAGTAACCTATTTGTTTTTTTAAAAGATTTTATTTATTTATTTGACAGTGAGAGAGGGAGTGGGAGAAGCAGGCTCTCCTCCAAGAAACGAGCCGGATGCAGGGCTCAATCCCATGACCCTGGGACCATGACCCAAGCTGAAGGCAGATGCTTAACTGACTGAGCCACCTAGGCACCCCTTCTCTGTGTTTGCTGTTAAGCTTTAATTCGCAGGACAATCATGATACTTTTTTTTTTTTTTTTTTTGCATTTTCCTGGCTTCTTGACCAATTGCTCTCGGAACTTGGGAAAATGAATACATTTGCCAAGAAATGCTGAGAAGGAATTCCTACGTGTGCACACTAGAAGGAACCACAAGAGGCACCAGGAACACTAGAAGAAAATGGAGCATGAAAGCCAAGTTATGAGAGCACTTCAGTAGAAAAACTAAGATAAATAAGATAAAAATTAAATTACTGATTTGCTAACTAAGTCCTGAGGTGTCTTAAAGGACAGTTTCTGTGGAGTAGTACCTTGTAGAGCAGCCAGCATTGGAGGCAGACCTGGCTTGGAATCCTGGCTCTTAGGTTTACCAGATACGTGATCCTGGACAAGTTATTTAATATTACCAGTGAGCCTCAGTTCCCTCCTCTATTAAAGGGAAATAATACCTACTGTCAGGTGTGCAATTTAAGGTTACCTATTGTTTCATGGATGCTGGCAGAAGACAAGAGATGCCAATGTCATGGACAGAAGGCCTTATTCATGGTACAAGCCAAGTGAGCATCATGTATGTATCGGCTCTTTTGCCTCCCAAGCCCCACAGGCAACATGGAGGGGCCCGATGCATGCCGGGCACACAGCGAGTGGCACTGTGGGGGAGGAACAATGAACTTGAGGAACCTGGTGCTAGGTAAGTAGTAAGCAAGCTGCTCTTTGTCCCACGTAGAGACACTCCTTCTCCCTCACGGTTGCTTAATGCAAACACAACCCGAAGAAATGGCTGGGGAAGAGTAAACGAGTTGTCAGGGCCTTGTCTTTTTTTTTCCCCCCATATACTCTAGGTTATAGCTTACTAAAGGAAAAGGATACAGATTAAAATCAGCAAAGGATAAAGGTGCATGGGGCAAAGTCTAGGAGAAACCAGACACGAACTTACAAACTTGCAGGTGTCCTTGTCCCATGGAGTTGCCCTTTATTCTCCCAACGACTTGTGACAGTATGTGTGAACTGTGGCCAAGCGGAGAAACTCACCCAAGCCTTGGTGTCTAGGGTTTTTATTGGGGAGTCAGTTACACAGACATGGAGACTCACATGACTGACCTCAGCTGCTCAGACTCCGTCTCCCAGAGCAAAGACAGGCATTCATCATAAACCACATTGTTAGGATAAACTCATCTGGTCAGACTGGTACCGCATGACTCGAGGCCTCCAGTGTACAGGAACACCCTCATCAGGCAAAATAGTACAAGGGCTCAGAATTTACCTCCCAGGAAGGAGCCAGGTGCTAGTCCTGAAGGTGAGCTTTCTTTGGAATGTGCCAGGTTTGAGCAGCCTGGGCCTGCTGAGTTAGTCCTTTTCTGCACACTCCTGATCTTCATGAGTCCACAGCCTGGTGAACTACAGTGATGTTTTGGATCTCCAAGAATTAGGATGTGTCTAGATCCAACGTCCAGTAAGCCCTGAAAACTCTAGTTACTTCCCCTTTTCCCGTGCCCTGCCACCCTGGGACATGGCTGCAGGTGCATTTGGAAAAGGCTAGAAGGAACATATACAGCATGTCTCATTCAGGAGCCTCTAGGTCTGGAATCCGCTCATCTGACCATTTGTTGAAGGCAAGGCCTTGCATTTTTGGCAAAAACAGTAAGATATGGGGCGGTGCGAGAGACACATGGAAGCACAATTACTTTGTGTGGTTCTCATACACATTACATGGGAATGTATGTAAAGTGCTTTACACAGTACCTGGCCCATGGTAAATGCTCAACCCGGTGGCTATAACACTTGCAATAGGCCAAAGAACACAGTGAATGCAGGCTACCGTTTCAAGAAATTTAGCTGAGGGGTGCCTGGCGGCCTCAGTCGGTAAACCATGTGATTCTTGATGTTGGGGCTGTGAGTTCAAGCCCCATGTGGGGTGTAGGGATTACTTAAAAATAAAATCTTAGGGGCGCCTGGGTGGCTCAGAGGGTTAAGCCTCTCCCTTCAGCTCGGGTCGTGATATCAGGGTCCTGGGATCAAGCCCCGCATCAGGATCTCTGCTCGGCGGGGAGCCTGCTTCCCTCTCTGTCTACTTTTGATCTCTCTTTCTCTGTCAAATAAATAAAATCTTTAAAAAAATAAAATCTTAAAAGACAGATTTTAGACTGGCATGTGTGTGTTCCAGAAAAGAGAGGGGCTCTGAAACCATAAAACTAAGAGGAGAGGAAGAATAACAGTTGTAGCAAAGTCCCTGAGAGGGCAGTAGGGGAAATCATGAGCACAGCTGTGTTGGTGAGCGTGGCGCCCAAGTAAAAATACTGGTCAGAGTGGGGAATGCAGTGTTAAGAGCTCCTATCTGAAACCTTAGGTTTCTTAGTGAAAGAGAAGGTATTCACTGGTTAAGGATGTAGGGAAGACTTAAGTCATACTGAAGGCTCACTGAGATTGGAGATCAGGAAAGGTGTGCTGGCCCCTGTAGGTAGCACTGCAATTTTCCCCTCTTTGCAGCTCATGGGTGATAAATCAATATTGGGAGGGTGGATTAATTCATTCTTTGGGTTGCAAGTAACAGAAACTCAAACTACCTGAAACAGAAGGGGAAT